AAATAACCTATTTTAGAGGCAATTCCATAATCATTGATAACACCCATAACATATTCAGCTATATTAGAGCCTGAGTGTTTATTATCAATTTCCCGTAGAGCAAGAACCGAATATTCCAGATGACCAGATTCAGAGATATAATGCGCAATTACGCCTAGAATCGCAAGTGTATTTGGTGATGTCCAAAGATCAATCGTAAAGTGTATCTTTGAGATAGCTAATTGGATATCATGTATTATACGTTTCTTCTCAGCCTCGAACATTCGTATTGTCCATGTGCGTATAGTTGTGTTAGAATTTGGTAACCAGTTATTAATCTCGGGATTTAAATAACTAAGTAAAGTACGAAACTCTGATTGAACTACCATATTAAACGATATATTACAAGATGTAATCCATCGTATATATAATTGCTCAAGAACAGTAGAATCTAGAGTGTCGGTCGTAGTTGTTGATAAGCGTCGGCGTTTATTTGTGAGTTGTTGTGCTTTCGCGAAGGCATTGCTGATATTAGCTTGTAATAAGCTAGTTCTGGCTTCCTGATTCGAAAATATATCAATCTTATGCTCCTTCTTAAGATGATTTGTAATTATAGTTGTTCCACCAGATTCGAGATATTCTTTTGGGCAATAGCGGCATCGCCATATCGACTTTCCAGCAGTATTAAGCAGAACCTCATTATATTGAATAGAGGTATAATTCCAGATTTTCGAATGTCGTCTTTTTATAATTGAGGTAGATGTGGAAGGAGATGATGGTATTTGGAGAGTTGCAATTGGAGAATGAAATATATCGGATGTCTCACTACCAAGCTGCGAGAGCGTATCAAATGATTAAGATATCATTTTGCTAAAATGTTTACATAAAAGATAAAGTAGATGTAGAATTCTAAAGTAATAAACAGCTTATGGATCTATTAATAATATATACTAGTTATTATCTACAGAATTGTTACTAATGAACGCGTATTCACGGTGTGGAGATCTCTTGCATTCCAGAGCTGATATTGTTACATAGTCATATATGGTCATATGGCAAAGAGCAATATGATATGGTGACCATATCTGAAGAGTGATATGATATGGTGACCGTATCATATTATATGGTCATAATAATATATGGTCATATATATGACCATATGTCTCACACTATTGGGAACACTGAAATCCTTTTGAGTTCCATCATGGGCTTCAATATCTGAATACAATCATTGCCATTACTGGTTGTACTAAATCGGATGATGGTAATTTCCCTGCAGTTTAACTAACAAATTACGCTAGATTCCGCTAACTTCATACTCTATATCGCATTCCCAAGGGGAAGAAATAACGCTGGTAGCACACCAACTGCATTAACGATGCCTGCGATCCAAAACTTTCGTCCTAGGGAATTGAACCCTCCTGGATACAATGTGGAATTTGTCAGTTTCGTGCCTGGCTGGTACTTGAATATGAGGGTATAGATAATGCCACCCACATTACCACCAGCACCGATCAACCCTGCAACAGCTCCAATGTTTTTTGGCCGAAGATGCCCGTAAACAGAGTAACAGGCGCCATTTGCCGCAAACCCAGTCACGGCAATTAGTACAATAAATCCAATTACCCCACCAATCGTGGCAGTATTACTGTCGATGTATACTCCTAGTCCAATCATGGCAATGCCCTGCGCGAAAGCCGTCGCAAATAACCATTGGACTTTAGAACGCAGCCCGTAGCGCTTGTAAAGGAGATCTGACACTATGCCACCAAGAGGGCGAGCAAATATGTTCATCAATCCGTATGTTGACGCGGCATAGGCGGCGTCCACCGCAGTGAATGACTCACTCTGAAATAAATTGTAAATGAGACCGGGGAGTGCGGCATCTAGTGCTGTTTCTAGACCAAACGTCAAGAGGTAACAAACAGCGCAAGTCCAGACGCGCACGTCTTGCAGGATTTCCAGCAAGGCTTTCTTTGTGAGCGGTTCTGTTTGAGTGACTGCCAGTGAAATGGCTTTCGCCGTTTCCACTATGCTTCGCATGACTGGCTTTTCTTGGTCGATCGGGGTATCCTGTCCCGTTGATATACCGCTTGCATTGTTACACTCGACCCTAGTACCCATAGGGCGAATGGACTCTTGTCGCTTGGACCATCTTCCTGTAGGATGATCTCTACCGACAAGTAAGATGAATAGCGCAGAGAGTATTAAACATGGCAGCGGAACGACCAAAAAGCAGAGCCGCCACGACAAATGAGAAGTGTACCCCGACGTCCTGAACCTCTCAAATAGACCAATCATGACCGCTACAGTCACGCCACCACCAAGGTTTCCCCAACCGCCAGAGAAGGCATTAGCTGTGCCAACAATAGACGTGTCAAAAAATGTAGTCGTGTACGCCTGCGTGGGCACGAATGTGCCTCCGAGGATGGAGATGAAGAACCGAACAGCCTGGAGTTCATGTATATTCGTAACAATCGCAGCAAGACCAGATGGAATGGCCCCAATTATGAGTAGTGCAGCAAGCACTTTTCGTGGGCCGAACTTGTCGCATGCTGGACCAACCAACAACCTTACAATTGCAGCTCCACCAAGGGCCGCGAGGTTCGAGTTCACCACCTCATCCTGACTGAGCCCAAGGTCCTCTTTGACGGCCTCAGGTACAAGAGGTGAAAAGGCAAACCATGAGAGAAAGGCAACGAAAAAGCCTAGTGTGGCGAGCCAGAACGCGGCAGAGTACGTATCCCAGAAGCGCAGGAGAGGGAATGTGGTACTTTTGTGGTTGAGGGGGTTGACTTCAGCAGGCCGCCAGAGAGAGGACCATTTAAATGCGCGCAGAGGCACAGTTTCTGTGGAGGTAGGGCCTTCAGAGAAAGATTCTGTGCGTTCTTGAGCTCCTGAGGTGAAGACTTTCTTTTCAGTTGTTATGGCCATGGTGGGTCGACCTTGTATCTAAGAGAGATATTGGTAATAAATTGCGACGAAATGAGATAGAACTCCTACCTTATGTTAAAGCAAGTATAGTTAAAGCATAGGAAAGAGGACCGATATAAATAAACAAAAGAGTGAATGTCCGCGGAGAAATTTAATACAAGCCAGCCAAGATGATGGCTGCCCGAGTGCATCCGACTAGCTAAAATACAATTCCTCCACGATAAGGCACAAGAGGTAGATCTATTGTGTTGTAAGAGCATATCCAGTGTTACTTATCAGTCCACTCACAATCACATGAAAGTAAAAGCGTTGTAAGTCGTGGAAAAGGTAAAGCTGGCGAATTGAATGCTTCTATGATTGGCTTCTTAAAGTCGGTCGCCGTTTAAAGATACAAATATCAATAGAACTTGAGCAACTACACTTAAAACATAGTGTGTCCAAATACTTTAAAACTAAGATTTTTACTTGTCAATAACATGTCTTGGTTGGTTTGACTCTTGATTGAGGAAGCCTGTTTGCCACGGAGCACAATTGCAACACTTAAATACCAAGGAATTAACAGTTGAATCAAATATGACGTAAAAATGTTCACATCAGTTTAAAGAAAAACTAATTTGATGATACAATTTTAGTTAATTCAACAAATATCAGCGAACAACATAGTTTACACCTGTTGAAGGTGACTTGGCAAGACCTGATACACAACCATATCACAGTAACCCCCCAAATCCATGCTAATCTAAGGCTTTTCCCTCTGAAAGTGTCTTATAGGCTACAGATAAGAGTTTTTGAGTCTCGATACGAGCGCAGGTCGGGAAAATACGGCTCGAGTAAGTAGCGTTGGCGTGCGATAGAAACCATATCCGGCCGACAATGCCATTACTGGCGGTCACGTTATCCTATCACCCTGCAAACAAACATCCGAGGATCTGTAAATCGACAAAATAATATTTTCTCTATTTTCTCTTTGTTTCATGCTACCATGCCAAAGCAGACGCGCTAACGTGATCGCCATTGCTCTTTACTGCAGAACAGTCCCCGCCTCCTGGTGCTCCGCCCACAAGGCCCCCAGCCTTTGGCCCCGATATCTCCAATACATTTTTGTCGCCATTTAAAAGCAGTTCCATCTCTTCTTTTGCCTTTCTCAACATCCACTTGTCCGTAGCCAGTACAGAGTCAAGCACTTCTGTCTGTGGGAGCAGCACCAGCAGCGCGTCTTCCTCTTCATCCGCTTTGGCTTCAAACGTCATAATCGAGTAATTCTCATCGGAGCACTTTCCTCCTCCTTCTGCATTTAATAAGAAATTCCTCTTATGCAGCGGGCATGATACATACTCCCTTCCCTCCTCATCTTCACCAACTAACCCATCAGCAAGCACAAAGGCCTTGCGATGGGGACACATGTTTTGCGAAGCCCGCAGCCCGCGACCAGGAATGTTCCAAATAGCGAGCTGTACCTCTCCGTATTTGACGGTAACTGAGCTTGGCGAGTCCGATTGGCGATGAAGCACCGAAAGCTTACATACAGTTCGCCACTCCCATACAGCGTCTTTTGCAAGCTGTAGTACATTAAAGTGCAGCGGTGCGCTGTCTTGCGGCCAATCAACAGGTCTCTGCTGTCTTCTCTCCGTAATCTTTTCCGACACAATTTGTGTGTCATCCGTATTGGCAAACTGCTTGAACATGCTGCTGTCCTTGTTCCTAACGACATTTGTCCATTCGCAATGGTATAGCCCAACCAATACATCCATCTCTTTATCCAGATCAGCACATATTCCCAACTTATCATTCACAATCACATCCCTAAGTGCCTTGAGACCGCCAGGATACCGCTCCATCCAGCGTGCCGTACGCTCCAGCTTATCCGCTGAGCGAATGTAGAGAATAAGAAACCTATCCACAACACGAACGGCTTCTCTGCGTGTGACATTCTCAACAATAAGCTCTGCATGGCGCGGCTTGGCACCGCCATTCCCGCCCAGGTACACATTCCAGCCCTGCGGTGTGCCAATTAAGCCGAAGTCTTTGCCTTGGGCCTCCGCACATTCTCGCACACAACCGGACACGCCTCCTTTGATCTTATGAGGGCCTCGTAAACCCTTGTACCGCTGCTCTAGCTCAACCGCTAGCCCAACAGAGTCGCCCACGCCAAACCGGCACCAACTGCTCCCTACACAGGATTTTACTGTGCGCAGCGACTTGCCGTATGCATGGCCGCTCTCAAAGCCGGCGTCTACAAGCCTCTCCCAGATCCGCGGTAGGTCCTGCTTCTTGGCGCCAAACATGTCGATACGCTGGCCACCTGTGATCTTGGTGTATAGATTGTAGTCGCCTGCAATCTCAGCGATAGTCTTGAGGCCCGCAGGGGTGACTTCGCCTGCAGGAAGACGTGGGACGACTGAGTAGGACCCGTCGCGCTGAATATTGGCAAGATAACGGTCGTTTGTGTCTTGTGTCTGACGCAGCACTGGTTTCATAATGCTGTCGTTGTAAAGTGAGCTGAGAATAGATCCTATAGCTGGTCGACAGACTTCGCAGCCCAGACTGTCTGCTTTTACACCTGCTGCGCGCATCACCGCAGTGAAGTCGGTAAGTCTCTTAAATTTTATAACTTGGTAGAGCTCCTGGCGAGAGTATGCAAAGTCTTTGCAGATGTTGTTGGAGATCTCCACGCCCTGTGCTTTGAGCGCGCCTTTGAAGATGCTCGTCGCCAACGGAGCACAGCCGCCGCATCCCATGCCGCATTTTGTAGATGCCTTCATGGCACCAAACGAGTGGATACCTTTCTTGACGCAGCTAACAATATCGCCCTTTGTTACGTTATGGCAGCTGCAAATTTGCGCCTCGGCGGGTAGCTCATCGCCTTCTTCTTCGCCCTCCTTTTTGGCACCAATAATGAATTCGCCAGGAGGCTTGTTTACTGGAGCCCCAGTTTTGCATAAGCTAACAAGCGTCACAAAGTCAGAAACGTCACCGACCATCATGCCACCAACGATATGCTTGCCATCCGCTGTGAAGATGTACTTTTTGTAGACGTCGCTGAACGGATCTCGATAAACGAGTGCTTTGACCTTGCTTTTGATGCTGTCTGGCGTGAGGTCTTCAACTTTTGAAGCTGCTGTTTTCTCTCCAGGTAGAGGTCCGCTCAGTTTGCCCTTGTCTGCAAAAAAGTCGCCAAATGACGCGACATCCACTCCCATCAACTTGAGCCTGGTACTGACGTCTGGCGTCTTCATGTCTCGTAGTTTGTGGTGCTGGCCTTCAGTCAGATTGAACGCAAGGACTTCTGCCATTTCCACCCCCGGCGCAATCAAGCCAAAACATTCACCTAACCAGCTGGCACACTCGCCAATGGCATAGATGTTGGGTAGGTTGGTTTGTAGACGCGCATTCACGACAAATCCTCCACGCTCTGCAACAATCAACCCGGCAGCTTCGGCTAGATCATCGCGGGGTTTGATTCCAATAGCAAACACGAGCATGTCCACTTGAATAACTTGGTCTGGTTCGCCCAGATTACCTTCAAGCAGCAACCCATCGAGCGTCTTACCGGCAACAGTGATATCCTTGATACGTGTGCGCACAAGAACATCGATACCGAGCGCTTTCACCTTTTCCAAGACCAGCGTACCACCCTCTTGATCAAGCTGTCGGCTTAGCACCCAATCATTGCGCTCTACCAGTACAACTCGATCGACATGATCCAGTTCGGAGAGTGCCTTTGCTGCCTCCAACCCGAGCAAGCCCCCTCCAACAACGGCGGCTCTGCGAACAGGGAGTCTGCGAGTGCCAAATGAGTTCTCTGCATATTGAATCATATCATCAAGATCCTTCACATTTCTATATACAAAGGTCCCTTGGACTTCGTCGAAGCGAGTTTTGGACATATATGGTGGCAATGCCGCATCAGAGCCAGTCGCAAGAATGCACTCGTCATAAGCAAATTCAAGGCCCGTCATGGTGGTGATGATTTTCCCAGCTGCATTAATAGCGATGACTCGATCCGATAAATGGTAATGTAGCCTGGCCGCGTGTGACGAGTACCAGCTCATTGGATTGAGCTGCAGACTTTCAATGGAGCGATGTCTCAGATACTGAGTGAGTCCAACTCGATTGTATGCAAGATGAGGCTCTTCTCCAAAGATGGTGATTTCCCATTCATCGCGACCACCCTGTACATCGTACTTGAGTAGCTTTTCCACAAAGGCAACGCCCACCATTCCAAAACCAATTACTGCGACGCGTTTTTTGTTTCGGCCAATTTTCTTTAGATGGACATGGTCATCTTTATCCCGGAGTTGGGAGGGTAGATGTGTTGGTGCATGATTCGAAATATCATCCATGGTGTTGGTCAAAGTCGGTGATCAGGCAAGACCCGTGATGAACAAATGCAATTGGCGTAACAATAAAACTTAGCTTGCAACAAGAAGAATATAAAAGAATTAAACGAGATTAAAAATTTTCAATAGGACTATAGACAGCCGGAAATTTATCAGGTACCAAGTTATGCAGCTAGAGATAGGCACTAAGTGTTTGGTTCGACGTGATGCGCCTCCGCTCAACACATGCCAATATAGACTAAACGATTCTTATCTCATCTCCCGCGGAGAAATAAACTACACTAGATTTATCCCCGATTTATTCCATCCACCCAATCATGTTATTTGCGTTTGCTATCAGGTCTGTTCTCATATCTGGTGGCAGCCACAGGAGAGATAGCGCCACTTACAACCGTTGATTGACAACGTGGGGGGCCTTTGAGGCTTGGGGTCGGAACAAAGCGTACAAGGAAACAAAAAAGAAATTAAAATAAAATAAAATAAAATAAAATAAAAATTCGTATATCAGTCTTCAAAGCTGAGTTTGAAATTTATTGTAATCTAGTAAATACTAAACAAGTCAGTAAAACCATCAGCTGCCATGACTTCCTGAAATATCAGCAGGTACAGGTCACATATTGTGTCATCCAGCGTCTCGGACAATAACACCATGGATTCCATCATGTCTTCCCCATTAGCATCCTCAGTTCCTTCCATCTCCTCCGATGATGAGGACGGGGCATCGACAGTCTCATCTGCTACAACAACCACCACGCCATCACAAAGCTTAAGCAATGTTTGCATTTTGGAAGAAATCAAAGCCATCATCGACCCTAAAGTTGACAACACCCGTTTGTGCAAGGAGCCTGTCCTCCCAGCCATTCCCAAAAGCGTCGATATCCAACCACTATCATCAGATGCTGCCACGCCAGACAATTGGATCCCGCGTGATGAGCGAATGATTCGTCTTACCGGCAAGCACCCCTGTAACACTGAAGCACCCCTCTCTACGCTTTTCAACGCTGGCTTCCTAACACCTCAAAACCTCTTCTACGTCCGAAACCATGGTGACGTGCCATGCATACAAAAGGATGCGGCGATATCCTGGAGACTCCGCGTTCACGGCCTCGTTGAAAACGAGCTAGACATTTCCGTCTCCGAGCTAAAACAACTCTTCGAAGTCGTTACCCTTCCCGTCACGCTTGTTTGTGCTGGAAATCGCAGGAAAGAGCAAAACGTAGTAAGCAAAGGCCTTGGATTCAATTGGGGCGCTGCTGGCGTCTCAACTGGGCTCTTTACAGGTGTATATCTCGCCGATATTCTGGCTTACTGCAAACCAAAACGACCATTCTATGCAAGTTATCCGCTCGACACTGTGTCAGGCCGCGCACGGCATGTCATTTTTGAGGGCGCCGACCAGCTACCCAACGGCAGATATGGAACATCACAAAAGCTTAGCCTAGCGGCGGACAGGAACCGCGGCATGTTACTTGCTTGGGGTTTGAACGGCGAGGACCTCATGCCTGACCATGGATATCCGCTCCGGCTAATTGTCCCGGGCCAGATCGGCGGCCGCATGGTCAAGTGGCTGACCAGAATCGAAGTATCTGACACCGAGAGCCAGCATCACCTGCACTTCTTTGATAACAAGATGCTACCCACGCAGGTGTCTGCAGACCAAGCGAGGCTCGAGAAGAAGTGGTGGTACGATCCCAAATATATTATCAACGAGCTAAATGTCAATGCTGCAATTTGCTCTCCCGCTCATAACGAGTCGGTTGCTGCCGATACGCAAACAATCGTTTTCCAAGGCTATGCGTACGCTGGGGGTGGCCGCCGCGTAAGTCGCGTAGAAATCACTTTGGATGATGGAAAAACATGGTCTCTGGCGGATATTACCTATTCAGAAGACTTGTATCGCGCTCATCCCGTTGAACAGCATGCTTACTACGGGACCCTTGATCTTAGCGTCACGGATAATTGCTTCTGCTGGTGTTTCTGGCGACTCGAAGTGAAGTTGCAGTCTCTGATCGATCGGAATGTCAGTTTTGTTGCTCTTCGCGCGACGGACGACGCTCTGAACACTATGCCACGGGACATGTATTGGAACGCGACGTCGATGATGAACTCCTGGTGGTTTCGCGTCGCTGTTCATCAAGGTTCTGATGGGAGAGTTAGATTTGAACACCCGACTCTAGCAGGTAATGTTGGTGGCGGGTGGATGCAGCGAACAAAAGATGATGGTCAGGATCCGAGGTTTGCTCGCTTTGGTGGTCATGGGATTGCTTTGAAAAGTAATCGTCTGACTGTTCCAGCAGAAACGGAGACACAGGATGTGTTGGTCGATCCATCGCTCATATCCCACATCATAACTGAAGAGAACTTTGCCCAGCATTCCAATAGCGCCTCATCACCCTGGTTTATCGTCAATGGGCACGTCTATGACGGTGGACGATTCCTTGCTGACCACCCAGGTGGTGCCGACTCGATTCGTCTAGTAGCCGGCGAGGATGCTACGGACGACTTTATGGCCATTCACTCCATGGATGCAAAGAAGATGATGCCGAGTTTCCACCTAGGCAAACTGGTAGAGACCAGTCAACTCAATATTGCTAGCGTTGAGTCTGAGGACGACGATCAGTCCAAGCCGTTTCTGCACCCGAAGAAGTGGAAGCTAACGAGATTGATCTCTAAGAAAACGATCTCGCCGGATAGTAGAATCTTTCGGTTTGCCCTTTCCAGAGAAGACGAAGTACTCGGTCTGCCTGTCGGTCAGCATATTTACTTGAGAGTAACGAACAAGACCACTGGCGAGGTCATCCAACGCATGTATACACCCTACAGCGGGAACATGCAGCGCGGCTTCCTTGACATTCTTATCAAAGTTTATTTTCCCAAGGCCGCTACGGAATCAACAACTGCATTTGCTGGTGGTCGCATGACCATGCTCCTGGAGAATGCTGAATCTGAATCCGAAGACCTGACTATGGAGCTCAAAGGTCCATTCGGTCACTTTACATACCTTGGTGCGGGGTTCGTTGAGTGGCCAGCATCAGGGCAGAAATTAAAAATTAAAAATTATGTCATGATTGCAGGGGGGAGCGGGATTACTCCAATTTGGTCAACTCTCAAAGCCATTGCAGATGAATACACCGATGGTGAAGAGATGCCGCAGATTTGGCTGATTTATGGAAACCGCACGAAGGCCGACGTACTCCTCTATGAAGAGCTTTTACAATTGGGGGCGAAGCTTGACGGTCATTTACACGTTAGGCATGTTCTCAGTGGTGAGATAAACAGTACGGCAACATTGCAGAGCTTTAGCTGCGGCCGTATAGATCTTGAGTTCTTGCGAGAAAGCATCCCGTCGCCGCCCTCCAATGAGCCACTAGATACGCTTGCGTTAGTCTGTGGCCCGAAACCAATGGAAGCGTCTATATCTGCGTCACTAAAAGATTTAGGATGGAATTTGGATAAGCATGTAGTTTTATTTTGATAATAATCTCAACCATATTTCATCAATCACCGCGTGAAGTGTTAGCAAGCGTACGTAGTTACTTTTGTGGATGCCACATACTTCAGCCCAAGACCCTCTCCAAGGACATAGTTAGACTGGACAATGAGCCATACCTGATAACTGACCCCCCTGTGCCACGCCTCCGCTCTCCACAAAACGGTTAGATTCTGGATCGCAAGAATCTGATGTCCTAGCACATCCATTGGTAGATAACGGCCCTGTGTGGCGTCTCTCAGTGGACCCCCACACTCAACAGTAGAACGGTATATAGATATCTCTCATCCCGCTCCGAGGAGATGTCCTAGTCGTACTCCTAAAATACCTCTTTCACATGAAGAACTGTATATCTCCATCCAAGGCTTGGAATCCTCGGCTGGCTGGACTTGGGCTGGAGATACCGCCGTGGGGGGCTGCTAGCGATTTAACCTGCCCAGTCGTCTTTTGGCTACTACTCTACGGCAATATTGGGCGAGGCGACCGGGCTCGCTACTACGAAATAAATTACGAGACTGGAGAAATAATGGTATACTTCAAGAAGAATATAGATAGTAGAGATTTAGAAGAAAGCAAAGTAGCTTACTATTTAACCTCTCATCCACGTACAACCGTCATGAGCCATGAACTCTTGGAACCCTTCTTCAACAACCCACGGATGCGTAGAACGACCGCCCAAAATATGACAAGTAGCGCCAAGCATAAGTAGTCCAGGCGGTCGACTACCTACTGCATCTACTGCCTCAGTAATATACTCCAGTGTGCTCCGTATAACCCTCTGATCGGGACAGCTTCCGCGTTCGACGACAGCACACGGCGTATCAAGCGGCCAGAGAGTTCTCCCCGCGTCTCTCTCGATCATCCGTTCCCTAGCAGTCCCCCCATAAACAAGGTCCTGAACGAGGTCCTTAATCCGATGAAGAGCCATCAGATATACAACAGTCCGGGAGGGTACGTATTCCGGCGGGATAGGCGATTTACCATCCTGGATTGTTCCTGTACAAATTAGCACCTGGTCCGCTGCACCTCGGTGAGTGACGGGAATTCCAGCCAGTAGAGGAGCTCCTAGGGCACTTGTAATCCCTGGTATTGTTGTGACCCTGCTCCCCAACCCCAATCGTTGAAAAGTGATCACTTCCTCTCCGCCACGGCCATATACGAACGGATCACCCTGTTTCAAGCGAAGCACTACCTTTCCAGACTGTACTCCATCAATCGCAAGCATTTCAATCTCTTTTTGTGCGGCAGCGGCATTTCCGGGGAACTTGCGCGCAATATGGACTGGAGTTCGGCATGGAATCAGATTGAGGATGCTGCTCGGGACAAGCTTGTCCGCTATCACAAGATCCGCAGTTTGGATGGCCTTGTACGTGGCATGAGTAATGAGATCAGGATGACCAGGCCCGCTTCCGGCTAGGATGATTCGCCCAGTTTTAACAGGAATAATCTCGACCTCAGTCTCACATTTGCGCTTCGTCGGTAATGAGCTGCTCGACCATGGTGTCATTACTGCGTCGATGTCTGCATCTGTAATCGCAGCAAGGCGATTTAGTGGCCAATATTCGCAAACTTGCGCGAGCCATCGTATCTGCCTTTCTTTCGCGTCCTCTCCTGTCTTGATGCGGTTGAGGAGCTGGCTCTGTTCAGTGCAGTCGTCCCACTCCCCTGGTATCGTCACAGACATCGGATTTAGGCTGCGCCGCACAGCCCCAAGCCGTTCGCACGCAGCTCCCAGATTCGGTGGAAGCGAGCTGACAACGGCACGTCGAATGCGACCGGCCAGCCGACAACCACGACCGTTTGTGGTTACTCCAATCTGGAGAGGACCGTCGGTGTAGGTGGAGAGAAGTGTGAATGTGCAGAGATGGGGAGCGTCGATGGCATTAACTGGGATGCGGCTATATCTGCAAAGCTCGGATATCTTACTACCTGCGACTAGAGTTAGCACCAGCCAGGCAATTCGAGATGGCGACATACTTTGTGGATGACTCGCAGAATCCGTTATGAAAACAGCATCCACCACTCCTCCAACATCATCTCTCCCAAGACAAAATAAGTCTTGTTCCTCAAAGTCCCGTTTTATCCATTGAACTAGCCCTTCATTTATTTTTCGTTGCAACCCAAAGTCAACATCAGAAGTATCTGGGCCGATGAGGATTGGCCTCGCGCCCGCGCCTAGAGATTGTGAACATCTGCCAGCAGCGATTGAATTTGTGCCAACAATAATGTGAATATTTCCGTTAGCATTTAATCCGACCATTAAGTGGTTTTTCATGGGTGACTTGGGAAACCCAGTCATGTTTGGGTGGTGGTGACTGTAGCGTGTGGTAGTGTGACGGGCCGGTGGTGAATGCCTCTATAAGGGTATAAACCATATTATAAACATTTTGATTTCTTCGAATTATTCCACTGCGGCTGTAGATGTAGTAGCTATCTTTCTGCTATCAACGCCAATCAGGTGTGGCTGGTGGTGCCTGACGGAAGTAAATACCCCAGGGAGATAAGCCAGATTGCAAATTGTACGTCAGCTGCGAAATGCGTTCACTGGTACTACCACAAGTTACCAGAGCGCTTTTGAAAGAGAAAATCGCAATAGCCTCAGCTCTACAAACCATCCAAACAAACTCTGCCCAAACGGGAAGACTTGTAAACCAGTACGACGTGTTTCAAGTAAAAGTGCAAGCAGGTCTAGAATACCAATCTTCTTATTGGACATAATATACACTGTATTTTATACAGAGCTCATCAAGAGTATATTTTTCTACTCTTTATTTCAAATCATCAATATATCCAAGTGTCTCGCGATTGGGATCGCATACACGCGCCCACTCCAAAAGCAACCTCCACATATACAGTTGCATATCCTGTTGTCGCAGAGCCGTCTCGGCCCATTTCTTGCCAGCAGTGGCAATAAACTCTGCAGCCTTGTCGCCAGGGCCATCACCGTCAGAAAAGAAGTCCAGGATATTGTAAATGTCCTGGAACGTGTTGTCCATGGGAACGAAATGTAGCCATGGCACCAAGCGATCATCATGCCACTCTGCATAGATGGTGGCCTTGATTGGGAGACTGGTTGACTCCAAGAACGTTCGGAAGCGTGCGCTAAACGAGTTCCCATCGACGTCTGGGAGGAATTTGCGATTAAATTGATCCGCCATGTCCATTTTTTCAACAATCTTGTATTCTTCGTGCAAAAACGGGCAGTCACCGTCACCGCAGAGCTCAACAAAGCCGGTGTCACTCAGTTTCGATATCCATTCACTCAAGTGACCACTGTCGACACGAGGATTATGATAGATACTTTGTGGAGGCATCGAAAACGTTTTGGACTGCATTCCACTTTGTTCCATCTCTTTGACGGTTGTTGCGTTGAACATCTTGTTCAGCCGATGTCGCTGGAAACCGAACCAACCGTTCGGCTTTGCTCGGCCGCCAGAGTCAACTCCTCGCCAAACAAGCTGCGTAACTTTTGCCTTCCAGGTGCTACCATGGTTCCCTCCACTGGTATACATGGGTTCTTCGGTTAAATATTTGGCACCGGGCAATAAAATTTCGTTATTAACGGTCAATTTGCTGCCTCCAAAAAGAGGAATAAGCTCCTTTGTCGTCTTCATAGAAACTGGCTCTATTAAGCTGCCATGGAGGTAGCGGAGGTGTGGCTGTTCGCACATGTCGGTAGCCAGTGTCCAGTTTTTAACAAAGCCTCGCTGTGTATACCGAGGGCTATAATTTGTCGGTATTACCGCCTGCTCTGGCATGTCGAATGGCAATTTGTAGGCGGGAGTGGTTGGCGAGCAGCCTACAACGGCAGTGTCCCAGAAGTATCTAGCATCGGCAATCCACGCTGGTTGGTACGGTTCTGGGCTTGTCTTATCGAGCTCAGCGCGACCTTTGAACTCGGTTGTAACTTTTGCGTTGTCGATCAGCTTTCTCATTTTCAATTCTTGCGCCACATATTCATCAACCTTTTCGTAGGGAAGAATAATGCGTGATTCGTCCATGTCGTTAACAGGCATGTCGAGATCAGGCAAATGCATAGCAAACTTTTCAACGCCACTATGCCAGTGTTCAACCCAGTTGACGGGTGTTTTTCCAATGGGAGTAGCAGTGCCGTTGCGCACACGCACTCGAAACTCCCAGGCATGGGAACGGTGAGCAAGCACGTCAGCGTCCAAAGCCCAATACGGCGCAATATCCTTGTAAATTCTGTCGAAATATTCTTCAACAATGGGAGATTCGCTCGAGAGAGCCGCTTGCACCCATTTGTCGAAGCCTGGAGGCGGGTGTCGGCCGCGCACCCGGCGATAATTTGCCGCGGCAGTCTTGACATCGAAGGGTTGCTTGGCGAGTAGCGCCTCGTGCTCTTTCTGGGCTTGCGCGACCAGCTTTGCAATCGGATGATTTGTAGCTATCGACATTTGACCGCGGGGATTTGTGTTCCATCCTGGCGAGCTGGACAGAATAACGTAGTTTGTTGTGTAGAGAAAGCCGATGATGAGGAGGACGATAAGGGCTCGTTGCAAACGATGCGTCCACAGCGGCGCGTAGACCGGCATTAAGAAAGTCGGTAACCTAGCCATAATAGAAGAGTGAATCGCTTCGGCGGAACTAAGAACTGTCTCGTATTATCTCTGCCATGGATGGGCACCCGCGATCGAGGGGTATAAAACGATGACGAAGAGGCACTGTGGTAGGGGGCACAAGCAGGAGTGACGAAGAAAAATGATGTGGGTCAGGTCACCACCAAAGGCTAGCCTGATCACAGCCTCGCAATCTGGATTTGGATGTGCATAAAGGGGTACCAGCTGGCGACAATTCCATGACGCAGCGAGATGCGATTTTGCTGAGGAAAGCTATATTACACTCATTCGATGGTGTACTTGTTCACACGAAAAAAAATGGTCGCCATTTGATAGAGTCCAGCGTTGGAGCTCAGCGCGATGTACCCGATGAAGCTGAAAGAAAGCTCATGTCCTATCTTGTGGATCTTATAAAAACGCTAATATACATATAATGTCGTGTTTTTGTTATTAAAATTAAAGGAATATTAATAACAGCATTATATCGTCTTTTTAGCCACATATCGCAGCGTCTGTAATGCGCGACGTGGTGGGTCTTCGTGCCAATGTTCGGTCCAAATTGGAGGTACGAGCAGAAACGATGCCTAGTAACATACGTTGCCACCGTTACTGTCTATATATAAATAGGATTAAATGGGGATCAAATCGTTATAGTTTCTCCGGTGTAGGACTATCTTCCATTTCGAGAGCTAAACGGCTATGGATGTCTTGCAGCGGCTCTAGATGTCAGTTACCCTACATCCGAGCCTACGTGAGTATTCTACAGCACTTTACCTCTTCGCTACACCATTGTAGAAGGAAATTAAGTATCGGCGCTAACTTTGGTGCTCAACAAACGGATTTAATACAGCCTATTATTTGTATTTCATTACCTTGTGCGAGAACTAGGAGTTGAAGGGCTGCCATTGCCAGCACACCGACACAGACGGGGCAACGAGGACCGAGTTTTGCGTGTCCTTCCAGTTCCCGCTTCTACCCATTGACAGTTTATGATTCCAAGAGTACGTCAAGCAGATCAGAAAATATATCCTGCGGGAAAATGCACTCGGCCAATCAGTTCTACCGGAATAGGCAGGTCCACAAGACTTGGGACGAATTGCTGGGCTAGCCTGCAGTGGCGCGATGTAACGGAACCAGTTCTCATGGGGTAAATCAGGATTCAGCATGAGGGGAAGCAGTAGCCTTGATGATCCCTGGTCTATTCCAGCTTCTCCATTCAGAAAATGTGCATTTCGAGCGCCATAGTTACATCGGTAAACAATACGGGCCTTGCCTCCCCCTCAGTGTATAAATAGCTCTTCTTGTAACACCCTGGACGTGCAGAAGAGGCTCCAACCGTGTATAAACGCCAACGAACACCTCATATTTTAATATGCTTACTCTTGCCCAGGCTACCGTTTTGGCATGGATGACCGTTTCGGTCACTGCTGCTCCGGCCATTGGTCCCAATGTAGTTCTTGAGCGCGTCAATGTTCCCAGCGAATGGAGTGTCGCTGGACTGCCCAAGCAGATACCAAGATGCGTCTGCAGATTGGTCTTAAGCAGCAAGACATGGCCGGCCTTGAGAAGAAACTGTTGGAAATCTCGGACCACACCCATGCTGATTACGGCAAGTGGCTGTCCAAGGATGAGCTGAACGCCTATATTAGCCCATCACAGGAGACAGTTCGGCTTGTGAAGAGCTGGCTGGAGGAGGCTGGTATCCCATCGTCTGCCATTGGCCAAACCAATGCTGACTGGATGCATGTCGATGTTGACATTGCTACTGCTGAGAAGCTTCTCGATACCCAGTACTTCTGTGTACGAGAACAACGAGGATACCACCGCTCGCCCTCTGGTCCGTACTGGCCAGTACTCTGTACCCAAGGGACTACATGGCTACATTGACACTGTCCAACCCACCACATCGTTTATGAGGCGCCAAAATACCGATGCAACCCAGGTTAATGCCATTGACAACACAGCCTCTGCCACAGGCGACTGCCTAAAGCATTCAAACCTCGACTGTGTTCGCAAACAGTACAATATTGATTACACTGCTGCTGGTATAGGATCTATTGCTGTCGCCGGATTTGAATATCAATGGATTAACTTGACAGACGTCAGAGGTTACGTCAAGACGTGGGATCCAGCCAACAAGGGCACTGTTTCCGTTAAGCTGGTTGCTGACGGAACGAACTACGAGTCAACGCCCGGCGCTGAGTCGTCTATGGATGTGGATCTTGCCGTTGGTATTGGAAATGGCAACCCGGTTACCTTTTTGTCTGTGCTGTCCTCCGGTGCCAGCGATCCGAAGGATGACTTTGCCGACGAATTGTTGCACTTTGGCCAGGCGCTGAATGCGGAAACCAGCCCTCCCTCCGTTGCCACCATGTCCTCAAGGATCTGATGAGCTCGTTGTTTCTGCCGATTATGTGAAGCGTGTATGCAACGAGTTTATGAAGGCAACCGCTCGGAGTATCACCATCTTCACTACTACTGGTGACCATGGTCTTGGCAACGGCGTGTGCAAATCGTACCCGTTCAATATCCATTTTCCCAGCTTCTTGCCCGTGGGTTACTACTGTTGGTGGCACACAGTGGAATGACGACGGTACTGAAACTGCCTGGTCTAATGATCAGGGACAGACTGGCACCGGATTCTCCAAGAACTTTGACCAGCCTGATTGGCAGAAGGATGATGTCCAGGCGTAAATTAAGAAGTCTGTTGACCCCTCGTACAGCAACCGCTACTGCCAATGGCCGCGCTTACCCGGATGTTGCTCTCGTTGCCACCAATATCCCCTTCTTCGTCAAAGGTAAGAAGGTCCAAAGCGGCGGTACCTCTGCATCTGGCCCCATGTGGGCTGCGGTTGTGTCGTTGATCAACGACTACCGCGCTACCATTGGCAAGCCCACCCTCGGTTTCCTCAACAAGAGGTTGTATGCTGACAAGGCTGTTCGCGCTGCCATGGTTGACATCACCGCTGGATCGAACCCTTCTTGCGCGGTGCAGGGATTCAACGCTACCGTCGGCTGGGATAGTGTTACTGGTCTTGGTGTTTTGGACTTTGGGAAGCTGAAGGCTGCTTTGAGCACCTAGAAAAAAAAGTACGGGCAGCGGAGCAGACGCGTAAAAAAAAACAATAGAAAAAGAGAAATATTGGTCACATAAAACCTGTAAGTAGCGAGAGGAGAATACTGTTCATATTAGTCTATAAAACGAATTGCAAATATATATTTCAATAGCTTTTTTTTTGTTTTTTTTTTATTTTTTTTTTTAATTCTCAGCGACCAGCGCGCCCAGTGAAGAGCCAAGCGAGATTGCCTGTCCACACTAAGTTACCATGTAACACTGCGCTGTTCTGGATTGGCCGTTGATTGTGTTCAGCCGTCACTACCCCGCGACCCATCCCCATTCGCTCCGCCGTAAAATTTGATGCAAATTGGCTGCTGAATAGCCCTGGTATCGTTCTCCATTGTTTCTATTAGCACCTGTTTTCGAGCGTCTTCCTGGACCAGGGGTTCGAGCGTGGCTGACGTTGATTCTATTCTGTTATGTTTTGCCTGTTTCCAGCAGCATAACCATACAGTATGCACGGATGATATGTTAGATTACGCCACAACATCGCGCCGCGTGCAGGGGGGGGGGGGAGGGAATACGGCAGCGCCGTACTCTACAGTATGTCTTATACAACGGCTTGCTTGTTTGGGATCCTTACTGTACATGCAAGTAAGCCAAGCAGCTTATTTCAAATTTCTTAGCATGCAATGACGAGGGCCAGCCTGCACCCTGTTTCCTCGTCATACCGCTGCCCTATCTTCTTTTCCTTCTTTTTTCGGCCCATCGTCGTTTATTCCATTGTCCCCATCGTACAGTGGCCCTGGTTGGCTGATCGCTTCGTCCAGCACTTCAGTCTAGACCGGTCTATCACAAGGAGATCCCGGCAGCATTCCGTGGTGAGCACTGCCGCCTGGGGGTCGGTTTCTTCCGTGGCCAGCGTGCACAGCCAGTGCTCTAAGCCTCCAAACTAGATTAGCCGATTGTAATCGTCCGAGTGTTGGTGTCAGAATTTTTTTGTAGAAGACGTGGTGACCCCCGCCCACCTGGATCTTGGGCTGCCCCCTTTTCCACCAAAACTTTTTTTTCTTCGTCGCCCGAATTTGCCAAGGCGCGCCGTTGTGTTTTGCCAAGACATGCAGCCATCCACTCTCTACGCTGAATCGGAAACTCTATCTCTATTGTGCTAACACGCGCTTACACGGCCATGGTCGACAAAAAAGACGTCGTGGACGAAAAATCTGTAACTGGCCGCGAATCAGAGGATGTTGATCCTACGCAGGCTCCAGCAGCAGGTCAGGCTGGCGGTGGTGAACCCAGAATTCAATTCACTGCCGCTGTAAAGCCAGGCCGCAAACGACCCATCAGCGGCGATGCACCAGCATTTGGAATCCCCATCACCAAACGATCCCAGAGCATCGTGTCTATTCCGCAGGTCATCTCGGCCAAAGACAAGGATCGCCTGCAACGCGAACGGGAAAACGAGGAGAAAAATGTCACCATTGACGAACATCTCATGCCTCACGCCGACGTCGCTACGAGATACCAGACCAAGATCAACATGGACAAGCCTGGAGAATCCTACGGCTTGACCAGCGAACAAGCGGCTTCCTTGCTGCTCGAACATGGTCCCAACATCTTGACGCCCCCAAAGAAGAGACACCCTTTTCTTAAATACTTGGACTGCTTGTCTAGTCTCTTCAACCTGCTCTTAGTTTTCGCAGGTGTGCTGGAATACATCCTCCTCGGTATCAACTTCAAGGACAACTTCCAAAACACGTACCTCGGAGCAATTCTCATTGTGGTTGCGCTCATCAATGCCTTCATCGAGTTTTACCAACAGCAGAAATCTCAGGCGTTGTTGGAGTCCTTCCTTCAAATGATTCCCGCAAAGTGCATGTGCCTTCGCGATGGAAAACTGGCCCAGATTGAAGCCTCCACCTTGGTTCCTGGCGATGTGGTTTACATGCGAATGGGCGACAAGAATCCGGCCGATGTTCTAGTTTTTTCCGCATCCGATTGTCACGTCGACAACTCCTCCCTGACCGGCGAGTCTGAACCGCAAGAGCGCCTCAAGGACAATGACATGCAAAACCCTCTGGAAGCCAGCAACATCATGTTCAACAGTACGCTCGTTGTCTCAGGTGAGGCCTATGGTATTGTCATCCGCACCGGTGATCGCACTATGCTTGGTCAGATTGCCCATCTCACAGCGGGTGAAGAAAAAACGGCGTCTCCATTGGCTCATGAAATCGACAACTTCGTCAAGCTCATTGCTACCATTGCCATTGTCACAGCCATCATCTTCTTCGGTATCGCTTTCCCCGTCAACAACAACAATGCTTCTCTTGCCATCAACTTCGCCATTGGTATCTTCGTCGCATGGGTTCCTGAAGGTTTGCCCGCCACCGTCACTATGCTGCTTACAATTGCAGCGAAGCGAATGGCCAACCAAAACGTTCTCGTGAAAGATCTACAAGGAGTCGAAACCCTAGGCGCCATCACGCTGCTCGCAACCGATAAGACCGGCACGCTTACGCGCAACCAAATGACGGCCACCAACATCTGGACTTGCGATGAGCTGTACGAAGCGTCTGCTAGCGCCGGTGTCGAGAAGCAAGTTGCATCACTAGACAGACCTGGTATTCCTGACATGTTGCACACATTTGCACTCTGCTCCCGAGCCAAATTTGACCGAACGGACGTACCTATTAAGGAACGCGAAGTCCTTGGTGATGCTACCGAATCAGGCCTTCTCCGATACGCCGCGGAACAGCTTGACGACTTTGACAACCTGGCAACCACTTACCCGAAGGTCTTTGAACTTCCATTCAACTCCGATACCAAATGGCACATGAGTATCCACAAGAAGAAACACGCCAACGGTGCCTTGACCCTCTACATCAAGGGTGCCCCCGAACGAATCTGGCGTCTTTGCAATCGTATGCTAACGGGTGTCGATGGCGAGTGCGTGCCACTCACCGACAAGCACAAAGAAGCATACGATGCGACATACGAGCATATGGCGAGCCTGGGCCATCGTGTTTTGGGATTTGCCGAAATGTTTCTCCCTGCCGACCAATATCCCGAGGACTTTGCCTTTGACAAGAAAGAAAAGAACTACCCACTGGGCGATTTCATCTTTACTGGCCTTGCGTCTCTCCAGGACCCGCCTAAGCATGGTGTTCGCGAAGCAATTGGACGCTGCCGCTCTGCTGGTATCAAAGTCATCATGGTGACGGGCGACCATCCTCTGACTGCGGAGGCTATTGGTCGCAAGATCAACCTGATGCTCGGTGAAACAAAAGAAATGGTAGCAAAGCGCAAGAACAAAAAGGTGGAAGACGTTGGTGAGAATGAATACGACGCGGTTGTCATCCATGGCGAGCGCATTGACAGCCTAACTGACGCGGAATGGGACAACATCTTCTGGAAGGACGAAATCATCTTTGCCCGCACATCGCCCAAACATAAGCTGGAAATTGTTCGACGCGCTCAGAGTATGGGTCATATTGTTGGTGTTACTGGTGACGGTGTCAACGATTCACCGGCTCTCAAAAAGGCCGATTTGGGTATTGCCATGAACATGTCCGGATCAGATGTCTCCAAGGAAGCCGCTTCCATGATTTTGCTCGATGACAACTTTGCCAGTATCATTCGTGGTATTGAAGAGGGCCGTCTTATTTTCGTCAACCTCAAGAAGTCGATCCAGTACACAATCACCCACTCTACACCAGAGGTCATCCCTAACCTGCTCTACGTTATTGTGCCTATTCCTCTGCCTCTTTCCGCCATTCTCATCCTGGTCATCGATCTTGGCTTTGAACTTATCGCTGCCCTTTCTTTCGCTTGGGACCCGCCTGAGACGGCTGAGGGCTTGATGAAACTGCCCCCTCGCAAGCCCGTCACTCAAGAGACTAGCAACATCTTTCGTCGCCGCGCTCTCCGGCGCACCCAGTCTCGTTTCGACGAAGAGGCCGGTGTAGTCATCTCGCCTGAAAACCAAACCAAGATGCAACAGTACATGTACAAAGCTCGTCAAGTCTTCACCAAGGAGTTTTGGGTGGACAAGTTTGAAAACACTGGCGCAGAAGTCTTGGTCGACGGTCCCTTGCTGTCCTGGTCGTACATTGAGATTGGTCTGATCGAGGCTGTTGGTGCCTTGACATCGTTCTTTGTTGTCATGAATCGTCGCGGTATTACCCCATATGACGCCCATATCCTGCAGAAAGGCGCAGGCCCCCCAACCAACTACTTCACCGACGATGCGCAGCCGTACAAGGGTATTGACGGCCCGACCCAGGTGGACATTCTGGCCGAGGCTCAGTCCATGTACTATTGGGCCATCATGACCATGCAGATGTTCAATCTGTTTGCTTGCAAAACGCGCCTCACGCTTCCTTTTGGCAGATACATGTTTGCAAACCGCGTCACCTTTTACAGCATCCTCGCTGGCGCGGCCCTCGCGGCTTTCATCATCTACACCCCTGGTGTGGAAGTGGTCTTCAAGACTACTCGTAGCTTGAGCCCCCTGTACTGGCTTGTCCCCATGGCTTTTGGCTTCTTCATCATTGGTTATGCGTCACTCCGCATGATCATCCGACGCCGAACTAAGCCCGTCGCGTGGAACCCAGAGATCCAGGGCCTCCAGATGTTCCCTACCATCCGTACATTCCGCTCCATGTCTATCAGAAGCACCTGAAACATTTCTTACAAGTGATATACACATACAAAGAATATATTTACTTCTTATCTCAATAAGGTTTTGTTGTAATAGATCTTTTCCTCGCAGAACTTGTCTTTTCTTAGTGACCTCTTTCTTTCACCGCGAGTTCGAGACGTGTTGGTGGCTTGCCAGTTGATTTGTAAATGGGAAATTCGCAGCAGCCACAAAAGCCCTACACATCGGAGCCGCTACGAAAAGGGTATGCGCCGCACACTACTAGTGTCTGTTCGCCTCCACGGATCCACCGTTGGCGTTGGTTATAAGCTCCACTACTTGTTGGTTCGGTGCTCAGCCTGCTCGTGAATTGGTACCGGAAGAGGTGTGAATTAGAAGGAATGCGGCGTTTTAACGAGTGTAGGAGAGATATAATCTCTATATAGCTCTAGCAGTCACCATCATTAGTTCATCTATCTCCTGGAGCCAAGTCAAGCGGCGTATAGTCCGCCGCTCTGTCAAGACAGGCTACAGAACATTCGTCCCATGCATCAATTTGTTTGCTTTACATTCTCTCTACGCCCCAGGCGCCACTGCCAGGTCAGAGCGTCGCCCCACCGTAATAGTTCATGAATGTGGAGGATGTTTGCTGTGGTAAATCCAACAAGGCCGTCGTATTGGAAGTGCCAATATCGTTCGCTGCCACTAGCCATGCTCCCATTAAACGACTGACATGTCCCTGTTTTGTCTTTAATTGTTAAAAGCTGCTCTATTTTTACAACAGTACCTAACTAGAGTATAATCCTGAAAATCTTCAGTACATCATTTTTCCTTCTTTGGACGATTTAACACTTCCCATGATGAGCTCCCAAAACCGTACCAACAGTGGCTTCGACGATGGTACCTTATGGGGTCCTCAGTCTGGCGACTCCTTTGACTTTACACCTCGCTTCGAACAAACAGTCTTTACACTGATTCCCAGTTGTGTACTAATCGCATGCTCTCCTTACTATGTTTGGAAAATATTCAACGGATCTAGACTGGTGAAATGGGGCTACTTATTCTGGCTAAAACTTGTAAGTCCTCTGCAAATATTCTCTTCTTCTCGCCATTCAATATACTAATCACTGCGTCTAATCCCTTACAGACGACTAGTTTGATACTGTTGGCCTGCGAAATTGCTCTAGCCATCACTGGACAGATGTTGTCTCCGTTTTGCACTGTCCTGGGCCTCGCCTCCAGCACCATAGCGTGTCTGTCGGCGGTCTGCGTCCTTGTAATCATATGCGCAGAACACTCGTACTCGATCCATCCGTCCCATTTACTTGGTCTATTCTTAGCCATTACCGCACTTCTCGATAGCGCTATAGCATATTCCCTCTTTCGCCATAATGTACTGGTGCAAGGCTCACTTGCTGCAGCCGTTGTCGCAGCGAAGGCTCTGTTGCTCTGTTTAGAAGAGATTTCCAAAAGAAGGCTATTCATTAATGTTGACCTCAAGAAGGAGACCGGAAGGGAAGCGACAAGCGGCTTTTGGGGCAAAGCATTTTACGTGTGGCTTAATGCTACCTTCTGGAAGGGTTACAAGTCCACTCTCACCCTCGATGACCTGGATCAACTTGACAAGAATTTGAAAACTCAGCAGCTCTGCAACGCATTTCGAGATCATTGGAGCAAAGGTATGCTATTCCATATGAACACAAGCGGTATGATGGCTTTGCTAATCATTAGCCCTTTCAGCGACTGGCAATTCACATCATCGACTTCTCTTGTGTTTGTTGAAGACAATTGGCCCCATGCATCTAGCCATCAATGCCATTGTCTGCCTCCTGTCCGTTGCGAGCAAATTCGCACAGCCATTCATCATTCAAAAGGTAGTCGCAGCAATGGTCGAACCTGACTTGGACTACAACGTCCGGGCATCCTTAATTGGAGCCACTGTCCTGGCGTACTTTTCTTTTGCTGTGAGCATCCCTATAGTGACAATTATTCGCATAAAAGGAGTATTAACAAAACGGCTTAGGTCACTCGGGTCGTTAATCAGCAGCTCCTTGCACGGTCAACAATCACATTGCGGTCTTGTTCAATTGTGGTGATCTTTGAGAAGCTGATGACGCTTGATGCGAATACCGTGCGCCAAAGCGGTGTCATGACGCTAATCACAGCCGACGTAACCGGCTTCCAAGCCTTACCGCTCAGGATAAACAACATGATAAGCTATGTCGCTTCAATCGCAGGCGGCATGGCGTATCTTGCACTTAATATAGGCGAAGCTGCAGTACTCGTTGTCATTCCGATTTTTGGTGAGTGGAATCTCCCGCTGGTTCAAGATTGTCGCTGGACTAACAAGGCAACATAGCCTGTTCCATCGTGTCATATGTCCTCGTAAAGCGTATCAAAGACGCGCAGCAAAAATGGAATTTAAAAATGGAGTCGCGAGTTGCGGCCATTCAGACTATGCTGCAACACTTCAAGAGCATGAAGATGATTGGACTGAGCGGCTGGTTCTTCCGCTTCATCAACGACAATCTCAAAGTAGAGATTGATGCCTCGCGAAAGCTGCGCCACTATAATTCAATTGTATTTGGCCTTGGTGAGTACAATTATTCATATTTATAATACACATACTAACACGTGAGAAGACTTGACCAGTATTGCTCTAACCCCTGTGATCGTTCTCCTGGGCACGTACTGCTGGACAAGACAGGATGGACTTGCGACTGCTGATGTGTACGCACTGTTAGCGGTTTCGTCTATGATCGCTGATCCTCTCGGTCAACTGGTCCAAGTTTTCTCGCAAATTGCAAGACCCTTGGCCTGCCACGATCGTATTCAAAAGTTCCTAGTTCTGGATAACCTAGTTGACATGCGGAGCCGCCCAGGCGTTGAAGACGGCAGTCAAGTCGTGTCAGAGAAAATGGCTACTACTGCGGCGTACATCGAACTTGAAGCAGCAGCAGCTACCATGCAAGGCTTGGATACAACTCCATTGGTTGATGGGAGACAGATTCTACAGGCCGTAGATGCCATTTTCCCAAAAGGTAAACTAACAATCGTGACAGGTGACGTCGGTTCTGGAAAGTCGACAGTTCTTAGACTATTGCTCGGTGAGGTCGCCGCCTCAAAAGGGCGGGTTCAAATCGACAAGAGTACTACTGGGTTCTGTGGCCAGGTCCCTTGGCTTTATAACCAATCCGTTAAAGACAACATTATTGGACCAAATCCGTACGCGGATGAATGGTACAAGACCGTAACGAGCGCATGTGGTCTAACCGCCGACTTTGAGCAGTGGCCACTTGGGGATAACACCAATGCTGGTGACTCTGGGTCCAGTCTCAGCGGCGGCCAAAAGCAGCGTATTGTAAGTGTTTAAATGTAACTCCAGGACTTTTAAGATTTCTAATGATTATACAGTCACTGGCTCGAGCAATCTATGCGAGAAAACCACTATTACTGCTAGACGATGTGTTGAGCGGACTAGATGCGCAAACAGCGCACCGAATCTTTGATGCTTTGCTGGGTAAGGCAGGGATCTTGCGCAGATCAAATACCACAGTCATTCTGGCTACAAATCTAGGTACCGAGACCAATATCCACATCATTGTGAACTGTCGACTAACAATAGCAGCGGAATACCTACCATCAGCAGACTTGGTGCTGTGCATTGACGGCAAGGCCATTATTAGCAAGCCAAATGCTTGCCCGTCTACCGAAAACATGTCTCGAAAAGTCGAAACACAGATCAACAGCGACTCTTCCATGGCCTCTTCGAAGGAATTTGTTGAAAAGGTGGCATCTTCACCACAAGCTACGGATGTCTCTGTAACGCTACACGATTTGAGAGAAACCGGCCTAAATTTCAAAGCCAAAGTCAGGAAAGAGCGGTCCGCTCATTCTTCTTATTTTCAAAGTTTTGGCGTAGTGCGAATCACTATTTGGCTAATCTTAGCGGCCTTTGGAGAGCTGTTTTTCAAGACTCCAAGTGAGCCTTAAACCCGTCACGCCCCAAGGCAAACATTTACTGACAATTTACAGATATCTTCTTAAGGCTTTGGTTCCAGGACCATGAATCCAGCGACAAACGGTTTTTGATCGGCTACTCCGTAATATCAATTTTTGCCATTTTGTTCTGCGCCATCTATATCTGGTACGTTGACTACCGCCGTCTGCCGACATCTGTGACTAACATCGTCAGGTGGTTTCTCGCTGGCTTGATCGCAAACTCATACCAACAATTACATGACACGCTCCTACAAGCAACACTACGGTAAGTATTCCCCAGCTATTTTTGATGATGGTTTATTAAATCGAGTTTTAGTTCGACCTCGAGATTCATAGCTGCGACCGGTGCCGGTTCCATCCTAAATAGGTATTCCTCCATCCAAACGTATCGTCAAGACTCTTTGCTTAGTGGCGGATAGATTCAGCCAAGACGTTGGGTTTATCAGCCAAGACCTCCCATATGCATTCCTACATGCCATGATGTGTAAGTCTATCGCGTCTGTAAAGGGAAACATACCCCGTGCTAATTGTCGCCACAGATATCTTTGCTTTGGTAGTCGACCTTGGAATCATCGCCAGCGGCGCTGATTATGCGGCTGTTATCATCCCTGCTTTCATAGTATTTCTTGTTTTCCTGCAACGATTCTACCTCTTCACGTCTCGACAGATACGACTGTTGCAGCTAGAGGCTATGACGCCCATATACACTTTGGTCACTGAAGTTATATCTGGCATAGAGCATATTCGGGCTTTCGGATGGCAATCTTTCCTCATCACTGATTTTATCCAACACTTGGACGACGCCCAAACCTCGCATTATCAAATGATCTGCCTTCAGCAGTGGCTATTTCTGGTCTTAGATCTCACCGTTCTTGGTCTTGCCACTTTAGTCGTTAGCCTTGCGCTCTGCGTACGGGATAAGGCGTCTGCGAATGGTCTTGGATTGGCGCTCGTCAACATGATCGCATTTAGCCAGGGGATGTCTATCGCTATTCGGCAATGGGCGGAATGCGAAACATCATTAGGAGCTGTGACTCGGATCCAAGAATTCGAAAATTCTGCGCCAACGGAGCCATCTTCTGCTTCGTCCGACATCAAGCTCAGCCAGTCGTGGCCAGAGAAGGGCGGTATAGAATTCACGGATATATCCATTCGATATGAGTATGTTGGCGTTTTTTTACTTTACCCTCATATGATCAACTACACAAGCTGACATTTTATAGTCCCGAAGAGGCGAGCTCTCCGAAAGTCTTGACCAACGTTACATTCGCAGCAGAGCACGGGCAGAAGATTGGCATTGTTGGTCGCTCAGGAAGGTATGTCTATGTTGGAGCTGAAGCTGACGCTGTCGCACGAGTATTAATGCAATTTGAACTATAGTGGCAAATCATCCCTAATGATGGCTGTTCTCCAAATGGGTCAGTATGAGGGTGCCATCAAACTTGATGGTGTGGACCTTGCGACGGTTCCCTATGAACTGATACGCTCCCGCGTCACCACGATAAGCCAAGACCCGGTTGTCTTGCAAACATCCATACGATCGAATGTGTATCCATACCCCAAAGATGATAATGGCAAGGTTGATGATAACATCATGATTGATGTTTTGAAACAGATAGGTCTGTGGGAATCCCTCAAGCCTCACGGTGGCCTCGATGCTTGCATTGGGACTCTTCAACTTTCAGAAGGACAGCTCCAGTTGCTCAATATTGCCAGAGGAATGGTTCATCATTTGCAGACAAAGTCTACGCTTGTGTTGATGGATGAGATTACAAGTCAGCTGGACTACACTACCGATAAGCGTGTTCAAGGGGCGGTGAAAACGATATTCAATAATTGCACGATGCTTGTCATTGCGCATCGGACGGATACACTCAAAGACATGGATTTGATTCTCACTTTAGCCAATGGTCAGGCAAATATCGCATCACAAACGCGAAATTCGAGCCAAGAATCAAGTCCCGCTCCGTTAGTGTAGGTTTGGAATCTTTTTGGGGACACACGATACAAACCTTTAGTCTGTAGCCTTGTAAGACGAATTTGGAGCATATTCTCAATTAAAAAAATATTGATGGTTTGTGACATATCAGTGTGAGTGTTAAGTGTCAAAGTTAGGTTTGCATTACTATATAATACGTTACACGAGTTCTTTTTACCGACACGCTACGTTCGGTCCGATTGAATGGTTAAATGGCATAAAGTATGCAGTGACTTCATTTCCAGTATATCGCCGAGATTCTAGACTCAGGGCGCCGTGCCTGAAAAGGGCCAATACCCCTATAGAACCGTCTGACGTAAGATATAGGTGCACCCAAAAGAGGAAGGCTAACAATTGGTTTGGACACAAAGAGAATGGGCCCTGCATTAGCTCGGAGCCATCAATGCCCTCTGTGAGGGGCGAGCAAGCCACGTTTTGCTGAAACAGGCTATTGGATTTCTGCTGTCAGTGCTCCAAGCAGCTAATGGACGCACCTATCTACACTGCACGTGGTCAGTTTCCTAACTATTCTCCCCCCAATCAAGCCATCTATGTTGCGGGCTTTTTAGCGATAGGCAACGTTGCTGCTCATGTACGTCGCTGACGCCGAGGCCGCTAAGGCAGGTCAAGCGGGTTCGTCCCGACTTTTCCCCATCACAGCGGCGCATGAATGCTCGTTTGCGAGCAACGTGCTTCTGGATTGGGGGAATATTGGGAAGCGTAGAAGCTCTAGCTAAAAACATAAATAGAGGATGTTTCTGCTGCTATGATTTTCGAAATATAGACTATTCTAGACAATCCAAAGCTAGCTCTCTTAGCACAGTCCTCTAAGCTACTATCAAACATGAAGCACTCATTTGCCGGCCTTGCGGCCCTCTTTATGGCCGCTGCTGTCACTGCTATTCCTGCCAGCTCTCACCTGAGTGAGCGCCAGCCTGATCTGTCCTTCTCGAACCTTGTTACCAGAGCCGGCGAATGTTCCAGCAGCGCAAACTGCCCTGCTGGCAACTGCTGCTCCAAGTACGGCTACTGTGGTACCGGCCCCGACTACTGCTCCGGCAGCCAGGGCAACTGTGGTAACACCGGTGCTCCTTGTGCTTCCGGCCAATGCTGCTCTCAGTACGGATACTGCGGCACCGGCCCGGACTACTGTGGAACGACTACACCTCCCAGCGGTGGTGATCCCCCTCCTACCGGCGGCGGTGGTGGTGTTACTTGCACCTCGCGCAGATTGTACCAAGGTGACGGCTCTACTGGCGCCGGTTGGCCTGCACAGAGCACCTGGTCCAGCTTCGATACCATCTGGAGCGTGAACCAGAACCTGATTGCTAGCTCCTGCACTCAGTTTGGCCAGACCAACAACTCGCCCACCGAGACTGCCAACATGAAGGCTGCCATCCTCAGCATTGCCCAATCGTCTGGTGTGGATTCCCGCTTCATCCTCGCTACCATTATGCAGGAGAGCAAGGGCTGTGTTCGCGTGCCCACCACATTTGGATCTGTTTCTAACCCTGGCCTCATGCAGGATCATGACGGTCCTCACAGTTGCTACAATGTCAACCCTTGCCCCAACGACCAGATTGTCGGCATGATTGCCGATGGCACCACAGGAACGTCTTCCGGCGAGGGCCTGCTGCAGATTCTTAACCGCCTTTCCACCTCAGGCGCCCAAAAGGTTTACCAGGCTGCTCGAATCTATAACTCTGGCAGCATTCCTGCTAGCGGCAACCTGAGCGAGGGTGGTGCTACCAGCTCTTATGCTTCTGACATTGCTGATCGTCTCGGTGGTTGTGTTTTCTAAGCGCTACCCGACTGAACTAGCCTCCTTCTGTGTATATATTTTGATGGATTGGATATACCATCCACAAGTTATTTATTTTACATATTACTCATGTATATATGAAATAAAATTTATGCCGCATATATTTTTTTGCCGTGTACTTTACCAAAGTTGAGTCCATTGTGTTTATAGTTCACTATACAAAGTCTTTGAGTTACGTTTAATGAACCAGGTGACGACTAACTTTGTAAACTCAGCCGACAAACGGTATGGCATATAGTCTAATGCAGACTAAAATTTAACAGTACCGGATTCTAAGCCTTTCACATGTTTACTATCTGATTATTTTACACTACTTTTTCCTCCTTTTCTTTTTGTTCCACTATAGAGACCGTGGCATTCGCTTGAGTTGGTTGCCTTTCTCGGCTGAGATCTTGGGTAGCCCCGTGCGGAGATCAATCGGGTACATGCCATCGGCCGAGGTACCTTTCATATTGCCGGCCCCGACCGTTCAACTTTTGGAGCGACAGCGTTGCTCCCCCGCAAACCGATCAACAAACTATAACTTTGCGCCCGTGTCCAAAAGTTTCTTTTCCACACTTTAAGAATTTGTCTTTTATTTCTCAATTCTGTAACAACAACCTCTCTTTTCTTTATTGACATATTTTCGTACAACAGAAATGCCGACCAACCCTATTCTGAGCCTCACCGAGGAGGTCACCTGGAGCGAGCCAGCCTGGGTCAACGACACGCTTGCGTCGCCCTACTACAACGATTCTCATCGTCGACTGAGAGAAAACCTGCGCAAGTTCTTCGACGAGCATATTCAGCCACACGCATTGGACTGGGAGGCAAAGGGCGAGGTCCCGCACGAGGCGGCCGTCAAGGCGCTGCAATCGGGTATGCTTGGGCTGGAAGTGCCCGAGAAGTACCATCCCGCCGGTGTTCCCAACTTGGCCGGCATCCCATACGACCAGTGGGATCAGTTCCACTACTTGATTGCCATTGACGAAGGCTCCCGCGTCGAAGGAGGTGTCCTGATGAACATTACTGGTGCAAACGCCGTTGGCCTACCGCCTGTGGTCAACTTTGGCACAGAAGAACAAAAGGACCGCTGGCTACCTGGTATCATGACCCGCGAGACCATGTTCTGCTTGGGCATTACGGAACCTACGGGCGGCTCTGATGTTGGTGGTCTGAGAACGACAGCAGAGAAGACGGCCGACGGCAAGCACTACATCGTCAATGGCGTCAAGAAGTGGATTTCCGGTTCACAATGGGCGACACATATGACGACGGCCGTCCGAACCGGTGAAGAGGGCTTTGGCGGTATTTCGATTCTTGTTGTTCCGTTGAACCTGCCTGGCGTCACTGTAACCAAGATTCACAACGCCGGCCACAATGCCGGCGGTGCCTCGTTTGTCGAAATGGACGATGTCAAGGTTCCCGTCGAAAATCTGATTGGCGAGGAGAATGAAGGCGTCAGCATTATTATGCGCAACTTCAACCGCGAGCGCTACATGATTGCGATCCAGTGCAACCGCAAGGCACGTACATGTCTGCACATGGCTTTGCAGTACGCGCTCAAGCGCAAAACGTTTGGCAAGAACCTTATGAACTCACAAGTCATTCGCAAGAAGCTTGCCGACATGGCGCAGCGCATTGAGGCGCACTGGGCCTGGATTGAACAGATTGCCTACCACGCTCAAAACTCCCCAGACGGCTGGCAGAGCTTCGATCTTGCCAGTCGCTCAGCGCTGATCAAGGTACAAGGCGGCCAGCTGCTCGAGTTTGCCAACCGCGAGGCCATTCAGATCTTTGGAGGTGCCGGATACCAAAAGTCCGGCCCTGGTGCTACTGTTGAGCAAATCGCGCGTGATATTAGAGTTTTGGTCGTGGGTGGTGGCAGTGAAGAGGTTATGAATGATTTGGCTGTTCGTCAAGAGCTGCTGACGCTGAAATCCAAGATATAACCGGCGTACGAAAGTGTACTGAGAGGAGTACAAAGTAGATTGTATATCTAGTACCAGACCTATAGATTTGATACCATATCCAAACATTCAGTTTCGCCTAAACTAGCAGATTATACATATTTCCAATTCCCATTACGGATCAGACCTCTAGTGTTCGTCGTTTATCCACATCCCCCACATTTTGCGCATGCTACGCTATATACTGTCTTGAACGCCAATGCAACCGACTGGATCCAGACCAAAGACCTTTATTTTAGACCCTTTGTTTTCAGTAGCCTGAAAATAGAACCCCGCGAAACTTTGTCTAAATTGCCGAATGCCCGGGTAAACTCACAACCTCAATCTCGACTACACGCAAGGCGGCCGCCGATCTCTTGGAAGTTGGAGCTACACGAGCGGCCAAGACCACAGCCCAGGAGCCCAGTCTCTAGCCCTTAAAACCTTAATTCTAGTAGACTGTGGTTAAATTCATAATTGCTCCTTTCTGGGTGGCATTTTGCCCGTCCAAGACAGCTAGAACGGTGACTGTCCCGGCTGCTAAGGTGTCCGCCTTGGCGACAGCTGTGTGTTTGCTTGGCTCATCGTAGGCGAGAACGATGGGCCTATAAAGGAAGCGTGAGGCCTCAGTCTCTTTTGGGTATAAAAGAAAATAATTTAAGCAATACTCTCAGCTCTCTTTTACTACTCTACTAAGAAGAAATGAAGTCGTTTGTTACCATCCTATGCGCGGCAAGCATTGTCGCTGCTTCGCCGCTAGATTTGAAGAACGTCTTGGGAGGCAAGTATCACGACAAGGGAGATAGTCCCTTCACTTTCACCTCCACTTACAAGGTCCATGCAAAGCCTAGTGAAGTTGTTGATGCGCAGAACAAAGCTACGGGTGGTCTTTCCGGATCGGAGGGAACATTTCTCTTTGGCATAAACTCGCACGAAAACGTCATTTGCTACAACGTTACCCTTCGTGGATTCCGGGGAGAGTATCAATCTCCTGCAAAAACGGCCACGCACATTCACCAAGGTGCTCGTGGAACCTCTGGACCTCCTAGGTATGTGGACTGACTATTACATTCCCAAGAGAGGAACGAAGATCTAACCCAAGGTAGAATTGCCTTCCCCAACCCGGAAGAGACTGGCCCTGATACACGAAGCAGTATCGGCTGTCTGCGCGGACCATTTACCACGGGTATTAAAGACGCTGCAGGCAAGGATACCGGCGAGGGATTCCATGTAAAGCAGATTGAAATGGCTCCTGAAATGTTCTTCAGTGATGTCCACTCTAGCCTCGCTGTGCCCGGTGCAGTCCGCGGCCAGCTGGCTAACAAGCAGTGTTAAGCGCGACTCCGTAATGGACGTTGACAAGGGGTATCTTGGGAAGTAATGTTTATTTGTTGATAATTTTCACAGTTGCCGTAATGTAATATTGTAATTCCATGTTCATTGAATGATATTACGTGATACTATGTAGTCTATGTACAAGCCATCTCTGTATGATTTAATTTTGGGACGGCCAAGACGCTTATGGGAGCTGCTTGACAAGGACCTTGCACATCTTCTTGAAGTTGGGAGTGCCCAGGCCAGTGACGGGATCCCAGCCCTTGGAAGCAGGGAAGCCGTCGGTGCCGCAGCCGGGGTTGCTGCCGACGGTGATGTCATTGAACATCTCGGGGTGGGCGTAGAGGCTGGGGTTCAGGAAGCCAATGGGCTTCTTGCCCATCTTGAGACGCTTCTCGTTGAGGACGTTGATGATGGCAGCGAAGACGGGAGCAGAAGCAGAGGTACCACCAACGCCGTAGATCTTGCCGTCAGAGACAGTAGCAAGTCTGTCGCCAGAGGCAGCGACATCGGGGTAGCCACGTCCAGTATGGTTGTAAATCTTGGGGCCGTAGGCGGCAGGGGCATACTTGGAAACGTAGTTGCGGGTGACGTCCAACTGGTAGTCGGGGGCAGTGAAGATGTCACTGAAACCACCACCGGAACCGAAACGGGCAACGGCACGCTCACCATCCTTGACGTCCTTGGTGAGGAGAGTGGTGGCACCAACAGCAGTGATGTACGGGCAGTTAACTGGGAACGAAGGAGAGAAACGCTTGCCGTGCTCGTCAACAAACTTCTCGTCCTCATCTAAGCAGGTCTCGGGGTAGCCAGCGTTGTAGCGGTTGGCAACACCGCTGTCGCCAGAAGCAAAGATGACAGAGACACCCTGGAGACCAAGCTTGGCCCATTCGTAGCACTGACGCTCCTGGTAGAATCGGGGCAGCGAAGCCTCGATCTGTCCGTACGAGACAGAAATGACGTTGCTCATGGGAGCACCGCCGCACTGGTGAGGGCCAGTGTATCCGCCATCGTTGGGGTCGGGGTAGGCAGGGTCAATGTAGGGCTGGTCGCCACCCTTGTAGGTGCAGTAGGAGCCATCGAGCGCATCGAGGAAGATGTTGAAGGTGCCGACAGAGTCAACGTTGACGCCATCACCGACCTGGTAGAGACGGGTGTTTTGAGGGTAGATAATGGAGTAAGCGGACATGAAGTCAAGAGCACTCTCAACGTTGTTTCCAGACTTGACACGGTCGTAGTTACCGGGCTTGCCGCCGTCAATGGAGACGAACTCGGGGCGAGTGCCCTTGGGGATAACGGGGTTGGTGTAGTTGGCATAGAAAACGTCGAGGTCGGGGTTGTAGAGGTAGTCGGCCCACTCAGCGATGCCCATGACGTTGCTCTTGTCTGCGGTCATGTCATCGGGAATGGGGATGCCGTACAAAGCACGGAGACAGTCAATGGTGACGAGTCTGTCGCAGTTGACGGTGCTGTTGGTAAGGCCGGTAATGTTAAGGGGGGCGGCGTCCTTGAGCGTCTCGAGGTGCTTGCGAGGGACAGGCTTTAATCCATCGAGCTGGATGGTGGGCATGATAAAGTCGACATGCTCGCGCACAGCGTTGGGCAAGCTGTATTCGTCGGACGCTATGCGGGAGCCGGTCGAGCCGCGCTGCTGGAAGTTGTAGTACTCGGTGTGGAAGAGCTTCTCTGCTTCGGCAACGGTAGAGTCGAACTCGAGCCAATTGTCACCAGCAGAACGCTTAATTCTGGAAGCGCTGATGCCGGAGCTGACCAGCCAAGCGATGGTCTCCTTGATGGAGGCCTCATCGGGGGCAAAGGTCTTGGCGATCTGTTCGGGAGTCCAGTGCTTTCCTGTGTGAAGCGTATTTCATTAGCCAATTTTCATATTACGGCATTTTATTCGACCATGCACATTTTCTAAAGGCGGCATCGGAGAGCCAGGTAGTGCGAATAAGGAGTTGGGGTACCCACCAAAGTTGGCTGACTTTGGGTTTGCGACATCGTCAACAAACTTGTACATGTTCTCCAGGTTGGCCTGCTTCAAGCCAATGCGGACCGGAAGAACAAGGTCCTTGTTGGCGCGGTCCTGGCGGACCCAAGCAATGGGCTCACCAATTCTCTTCTCATGGACCGAAGTCTGCGAGGCAGAGGGAAGGGCGGCGCCGAGGCTTGCCAAGGCGGTGGCGGTGGATAAGAATCGCATCGTTAAGAAATCAAGTCAGATCGGATGGGCTGGAGATGGCTGAAGAGTGCAATCTGGTGGCTTCATGTCCTACCATATCAGTGGGAGCACGCGGGTTTTAAGCGAAATTGGGGTAGCTGGGGGGACCACCATCTTTTCGTATCCCAGTTCGCCCAAACAGGTCCAATTACCGGAGAGCAAATATCCCGCGAAAGCATCCATGCGGGCGAATGCCGAACGGATCCATTGTCATGAGCAGAGCGAGCAGAAGTTCCCTAGGCCCCGAAAGCTAGTGGGCCGAACCCGTTTATTTTCTTGTTGGAGAAGCTCGGGCGGGACAAGGTGTGGTACAAAAGGACCGAAGCAATCTGTTTTTGGGTTGCAATATCAATGGCGACAGAGGCAGAAGGTTCACCATGACGACGCGGGTGGTGGTGATTGCCATCTCCACTGTCTGCCATACTCTGACAACACCGATTGATCCGGATCGGAGTATGGCCGAGAGCTTATTCGAGAGTTGAGATGTCCATCGCCTTCGCAAGCAAAGCTTCTCTGGCGGAATTTTGTTTACGGTTCGGTGCCTGTGCGTTAGCTCGCCACCGGCAGCGTGCGCCCGTCATCGCACCTGCCTGTTTAGGCAAAGGGGCGCTCATCAACAGCCACGAGTGGCACGATACATCGAACACTGCCGGGTTTTGTCTCCATTTGGGAAGCCAGCCCGCGGGGATTTTTTGTTTTGTTGGTTGCAAGCGAGCGGAGTTCCGTCCGAGCATTCGTCCGACGTGCATGATGACCAGTAGCGGATATAGCCTGTGTGATGATGGTATTTGAAAAAACTAGTGAAATTTACAGTATCGAAAGGATGACAAGAGAATGTCGGGGCCGACGATGGGCTATCTAAAATTACAACAAAAATGCAGACAGGAAAAGTAGGCCAGCGGCCATCCACGTGTTGGTGGGCGAAGTGGACATGGCCGCACGCGACTCAGCATCAGCTTGCCCTGACGTCAGGGTCATGGATTTAAGTTCACCAGTCCAGCCGGTGATAGCGTGCGTTGGTGCCTCGATGGCCATTTCGTGCCAGCGCAGAGGCTGTCCGTAGTAGCTCATGACAGTGAGGAACTCTTCGTTAGAGAAGAGCGACTTGCCATCGTCCGTCTTGGCGGAAGCAAACGTCTTGGTGTCCTTGCTCTCGAGCTCCAGCGTGACCCAGGATCCCATGGGGATGGTATGGTTCAGGCGATAGTAGTTACCCGACGCAAAGAGAGAGACGTTGGGAGTGAGCATGAGCACGGAATCACCGCCAGCAACAAGTGTCGCGTTGGTTGGGTCGGCCACCTTGTCTACCTTGAGCGTGAGGGAGAGCTTATAGTTGCGGCCCTTGGAAGGCCATGGCGTGGTCAATTCGCAGTCGGGCGTGATGTTCAGCGTCTTGCCCGATGACTTGCAGGTGCTCTTGGCATCGTAGCTGTTTCCTGACGAGTCCTTGATTGTGTCGGACTGTCCAGAGGTCAAATCGTAGCTGAGGATCGTTGTACCCTTGGTAGGAATAACGCGCGCCAGGTTTTGGGCGGGTACGGCTGATCTGAGCTTGGACAAGCGCTCCTTGTACTGCGATTGGGTCAAGCTGCCGCCCCAGTGCTTATCCGCAAGCGCGGGGATGCCGTCTCGCCAGGCGTAGAATGCCTCAGAGTAGACACTGGTGTTGGCACCGTGGTCGTTCCAGATGGGTGCAATGGCGCCCTGGATAAGCGGGTGGTTGCGAGGAGGGTTCTTGGCTGTCTCGTTGACATTGAAGATGTTGGGATACCACGCACTGTGGCCATCAGGGTTACCAGTAAAGGTAGTCTTGGTGTCAATGGTTCGGCCGTAGGGGCCGTCCTTCATGACAATGTAGAACATCTCGTCCGAGTTGATGACGGAGTAGTTGTTGCGCAAGTAGTCGGCATACGGGTCGTCAAATAGATAAGCCCAGTGCTGAATGGTGATGTTGGAGTACACCTCGGTAGGTGCCTTGGCATCGGGCTTGGCAGGGAAGGTTCCCCAGATGCGGATGAGCTTGTCGGATTGCTGGGCAATAAAGGCAGACATGGCATTGACAAACGTCTTGTAGTCCTCTTCGGGACCCTTGTATTCATCGGCACCAATGGACACAACCTTGGAGTGGAACCACGGCAGGAATTCCTTCCAGATTGTCTTCATGGTGGGAAGGGTATCCGGGTGAGCAATGTTGAGCAAGCTGAAATCTCCAGTGTAGCCAATCTGAGGGCGCCATTGCACAATGGGCAGACAGTGACCTGGTGCTTCGATTTCGGGAATAACAGTCACACCACGCTTAGCACACTTGGTCTGAATCTCTTCAAAGTCGTCACGCGTGTAGGATTCGTTTCGGTACTTGTTGAGGCCATGGAGGTCGGGGCTGTCGGACCAGAGGCGGAAGCGGGCGTAGGTGTCGTTGTAGTTTTCGGGGGTGTATGATGGGACAATGGTGTTGTCGCTAAGATGAATATGAAAGGTGTTTTGCTTAAAGAAGGAAATATATGAGCAGAGATCGGTGATGAATTCCTTGGGGTAAAAGTGACGCGCACAGTCGAGCATCATGCCACGCGTGCCCCAGCCCGGTGCATCGACACCTTTGCCCGCAGGGATGCTCTTCTGACCATCTAAAGCCGCCTGTTGCAGGACTGTTCGCGTTGCCCACCATGCACCAAGCGGACTGGCGCCCTGGATAGTGACGCCATCCTTGGTGGCAGAGAGAGTGTAGCCTTCGTGCGTCTTGCGGCCAGCCGCGTCCTTGTAGTCGCCATCCTTGTCGAGCGTGATGAAGACGGAGTTGGGCTTAACCTCGGTGCCGTCGACAACAGCCACGTCAATGTTGAGCATGCTCTTCAGGTCCTGGGCAAAGGTATCGCCGAAGTCCCGGAGCGTGGGCGGGATCAAGGTCAGGCCATCGTTGTCGCGTGTTTGGCTGTACTTGGAATCGATAATGATGGATTGAAGCTTATCAATGGCGTAGGAGCCGTCGGCTTTATCGTAAGGCACGGTGGGAATACCTGGCAACTCGGCATTGGTCGTCGCTGGGACGCCATTGTTAGCATAGTTCTCTCTCGTGGCTGATGCGTAGCGCAGTTAAGCCTGGACTGTGCTCTAACGGTGGTGTTTACCTGCTGTAGCCAGCGCGACAGCTAGCGAAAGAAGCGTTGAAACCATGGTGACGTTCCGTGTGATGATGCAAAGCAGAGTGCTGCAGCCACCCAAACTATGCAAAAAAGAATGATGTTTCTGTCAAACGGTGAGGCTACGACTGTATCATTACTAAGTGTGTTTTTTTCTCGTGTTCTCCCCCTCGTATTCAAGCAAACAGCCAGCCGGGCCGCCCATCGAGAGATCTGCTTGGTGGACGGGTTAAATTACTGGGTCTCATTTTAATGCGCAAGGGGCGCCAGGGGCAGTGTTGGATTCCAGACATAATCCGCATGATGTCATATCCCCCGTGAGAATATAGCGTACAATATCAAAAGCATTTAGTCCATTATAGTTAAATGGGAAATACGATTTTCTCTGTATTTTTGGTATCTGTTCTCTTAATCTATCTTCTCTGTATTAATTTTATAAAGTAGCATCAGTCTTGCCTTAATGTAAATACAGTTATGTATTAAACAACTACTCTGCTATAAGTATAGAGCATTTGTATACTTAAAACGTCAAAACATCCAGATTCTTTCGAATAATTTGACTACTTTCGTGTCGGAAGTCATCAGACAGCAAATTTGTACTGTTTCGAGATTCAAACCACATTAATTCCTTGCAGTCGCTCCATCGTGGCCACGTTGAGGATAGCATGACGCCGTCGTTTGGGTCTTGGTTGTGCAGAAAGTTGAGGTAATACGTTCGCGAGTTAGCTATCAGAGTTTCATTGGAGGGCGGGCCCCAAAAGATAGCAGGATCGGACAAGTGAGATGAGCCAAGATTTGGTACGCCGTATGCATACGATGCCAGCGATGACCATGATGGTACCTCGGGGTGGACGTCACTGGTAATTTCCAACGTCATACGTCTCATCAATGTAAAGGCCAGGTCTCCTAACATGGCCGCCATCCGTTTAAACCCAGGGTAGAATTCGTTAGCCTGGCCAGTTCGAAATGGGCTACCTGCAGCGGGGTTGTCCGGGTACGAGCAGACAAGCTCCTCAAGTGCATCTTTTGGAGCATGTGAGTAAAAGACATCTCCTAAGTACTGGACTAGGTCTGCAGTATTGGTGACATTACTCTGGAACGGAGAAAACAAGGTTCCCTCGTCTTCCTGGTCGGTAATGATGTATGGTACTGCATGATATCGACCTTCCCGCGCCAAAACATGGGGACTGTCGGGCAGAATGACGCCATCCGGCCGAGGCAGATAGGACAGAGCCAGGGAATTGTAGGAGAAGATATTGGGCTGTGAGTCCATCGCCTTGTAAAACTTCTCATATGGGACCTCGCGAAGACACCGAAGTGAATCAGGCGCGCCTTCACACCCGGCGGCACGCACAACGTTGTCATAGACAAGCTGCGCTTGCTCTCCATCCGCTGGCCCTGTAGGAATAATAGATCCAGAATCCATAATCGCACCTTGAAACAGACTGCGGCCCTTGTACTTTGCATTGCCACCGAAAAGTGCCATTTGGTCGAAAACAGAGATTGCGCCAGCCGACTGTCCCCAAATAGTAACTCTGCTTGGGTCTCCTCCAAACGCCTGGATGTTGTCTGATACCCATTGTAGGCCCATGCGCTGGTCCATTAGGCCAATATTGGCGCTTCCATCCTGAGCAATCTGCTTACCGGCTAGAAAGCCGAATCCAGCAACGCGGTAGTTGACCGCAACAAAAACAAAGGACTGATTCTGGGAAACAGCAGTAGTAAGCAAGCCTGATGCGTCGTAGCCCGAAGTGGCACCTATTTCAAATCCTCCGCCATAGATCCAGAACAGGACTGGAAGCCGATCAGCTGCCGTGGTTCCAGCCGGACGCTGCACTGTCACGGTCAAACAGTCTTCCTGGCCGGTGATGCCAGTCAGGACTGACAGATACCCAGGAGGTAGGAATTTGCCCATAACTCGCTTTGCTTCTTCTGGTGTACTCATTTGCGGGCAGGCCGGAGCAGTGCCAGTGCCGTCATGGTGGTCGAGTTTAGCTGACAATCGTCTTGGCAAGCGCAGGCGCAAATTACCAACGGGAGGTTCAGCATAGGGAATAGCAGCAAAGGTTTCAATGCCACTGGCTGATTTTCCGACGACAGAGCCGCCAGGAAATATAACAGTAGTGTTTACATCCCGTCCGGCAGCGGTAACGACAGCCAAACACAATGTCAGGGCCGAGCTGAGATTCATAATGGCCAACGATTCGAGATGTAAGATTTCAGTTTCAGAGATGTTATCTTTGTAAAAGTGAAGTGATGTAAAAGTTAATAGGTAAATCTTGCATCGCTAACTGGTAGCCAACGTCATTGTTTTATAGTCCTCGCCGTTCGGCGGGACCGGGGCGGACTTTTAAACTCCACCATGTATCTACCTACATCCGAGAGTCCTTCCTGTCCATTTCATAACATTTTGATGACAAGGGATGCAGACGTATTTCGATGAAAGGTAGGGGTAAGCATCATGTGGAGATAGGCGGATATATCGGTTACAACTCCGCAGTAACCGAATAGAATATACCAACTGATTTGCCGAACGGTCAAAGTCCGTCTCACAGGCATAGAGGCACTGGCCTTGATCGACCATCGTATGCACTCGGCATATTCAATAGATTGTTCCTCACAAACGGGGCTGAGTTCTGATCAAGCCAATCTGCCTGGCTTGGCGGACATTGCCCCGTCGATTCGGGATGGATCTGCAAAATCGCACGATCTCATAATTGGAGGTTGAAATAATTATAATCGTTAAAGACTTTAAAAGTACTTAAATCGTCAGTTTATTGGCAACGTATGGCGCTAGACTACGATGAATACTTCATAACTTCACTATCTGGCTCGCCAGAATTACAATACTCACAAGGGTACTCACCTAGGGATGGTAAGGATCTAAGCCTATATACTGTGGACCCGTCGTTGGACAAATTTGGCCAATTGCTGCGCCATCGCTTGTCAAGCTGTTTGCTGTTTGTTCGATGACGTTGCTAGAGCTCGGCACGCACCCAAGGTCGTTCAGTTGTCTATCTCGGCAGTTCAAAGCAACCATCTGTATCTTCGGTCTCACGGATACAATCTTTTTACAGTAGAATACATTATACGCTTTAACTAAAGGTAAATTGATACATTAAAAATTGGAAAGCCCGAAACGCCCTGCTGTGTGTCTATCTATGTCATGACCAAAAATCCAACCCAACGTGTGTCGAGAAAGCTTTTCCGCGCTTTATGCATTCTTCTTTGTTGTTGAACGAGTCTTGAACCCGACACCAAGGACAAACAACAGCCGCACAATTGTCAAAACAACATACGTTCCGCCGCATCCCTGGTCATCAGATGTCCATGTAGAAGGGTGCAGTCTGCCTTGGCGCTCAAGCGCATGGTAGATACCGCTGAGGCCAGCAAAGTCGGACAGTAAGAGCGCAAATTGGAGAATTCGCCAAACGCTCAGATCTGACGAGTAGCGCGGGATGGCCGCTGTCAGGATGGCAATGGCGAGGGCCAGGCCACCGGACTGGTGGAAGAGAAAGACTTGGTTGGGATCGTAGATTGAGTTGGGCGCCATGGACTGTACAGCCATCTGAGGAGCAGCAAAGTTGAGGTAGACACCATAAAGAGCTGTGAGAGGGTCCAGCCACTTAAAGAAGAAGACGTAGGGCTGGGGGACTATTGAGACAGACATGTTGACTTGGAGTGAATGTCGATCAATGGTGATATTGGATATCTTTTGTGGTGTTGTTTTGGAGAGGTCTTGAAGTGATATACAGAATGGTCGGTCAATGGCAAAAAGAGATGGGGACGGGCATGCGATTTAAATATGCGAATTGGCCAATTGCCCTCTTCCTAATGCGTCCGGCGTCGCCTTTCACGATGAGACAAAGTTTCGCTAGTAAAATAAGCTATTTGCTGCGTTTGTAGGCGTGAATGTGGACACCTCGGTGTTGGTGCAAGGCCGAAGTGCGCAAAAGTCGCCGGCTTGCACGCGAAATCTTTACTGGTAGCCACACAGCGATGTTAGTGGTTGTATTTAGCGAGCACTCTTCTCTTGTGACGAAGATTGACGCCGTTTAGAGTCTTAAAATTAAATCGCACACTAATTCACAATTTTGGCAAATAGAAAAAGAATAAAATAAAATAAAATAAAAAGCCGAGGCGAACAATTTGAACTTACTTAGAATGACATCAGCACGGTGCACACGAAGAAGTCGGTGTATTGAAATCTCCACGTAAAACACAAGCTTCGATACGCGTAAATCGAAAACCAAAATGGACATTGTCTTTGTAACTTAGATCCATCGTATACTCTTCCTAATGTAATAATTTATACGAAAGTGAGTTGTATTGCGGCCGTAGCCGATCACTATGCATCCTCTCGGGTAGCTAACGCCGCGGCGGCTGCTAAACGACCACTGTGGATAAAATGAACCCCCTGTCGTTCTAGATCTTGACAATTAGATTGCTCTGCATCAACACCACATTTAAGATTATTTCTCAGCCACAACTGCAGACGTGCGCAGCTGAAGCTAGCGAAGGGTATCCCCTCGCAGGACATGCAATCTGGTTGGCCCAAGGCGCTTTTCAGCTGTACTGCAAGAGACGCAAAGTATCTATATCGGAGTAAAACGCGACCAAATTGAGAAAGAATATGTATTTCTATATGCAAAATCTACAGAAATTATGCCCTTTGGCGTTCTTTTAACTTGTATTAGCGGTAGGACTTTGCTGCCATGACTTGGGCGCGCTTAGTCGAAGTGGGAGTAGTCGGAACCAGTCTTGTAGCAGCGGACAGAGACACCCTTCTTGGCATTCTTCTGTCTCTTGATGTAAATCTTGTCAATGTCCCGGCACTCGGGGAAGAGCTTGACAGGGACACACTTGTCGGGGATGGCCTTGCTGACCGAGGTGTCGAGGTGGCGGAGGACAGTGAGGTAACGGTCCTGGTACTTGGGCACAGTCTCGTTGCAAGCGAGGAACTGGTGAGGCACAAGCTCGGACACAAGGTCGACGAGAGAGGAGATGGTGACTCCGGGGGTTCCGGGGTAGTCATCCTGGCGGACAAGTGTGAGGCCGGGACCGTGGCCGTCATCCTTGAGGGAGAAGCCGTAGGGGTTGTAGAACTTGCTGAGGTCGGTGGCGACGTTGGAGGTGCCGTTCAAGTAGGCGGCAAGAGGACCGGGCAGGTAGCTGGGGAAGAGGTCCTTGTCCTCCTCGGTGCTCTTCTCAAAGGACACAAAGGAAGAAGCGTAGCCATCGCGGCTGGCGATCAAGTTGTAGCCCTCGACGGAAGGGTTGAGGTCGCGCGACTTGTCAGTGACGTGAGCGACGAGGACAAAGGCCTTGGAGAAGCCGGGGATGGGAAAGGCACCGCCGACTTCCTTGTTGGGCACAGCTGCGGATAAGGCCGAGGCAGCCTCAGAAATAACCTTTTGTGTCTTTACGACGGGCCACGCCATGGCGTCACCATCGTCAAAGGCAAGTGTGCTAGCGGGCGATGCGCTAACAAGGCCGAGGGCCGCAAGAGCAAAAGTAGCACCAATCATTGTCAATTGGGAGAGAAAAGTATAGAATTGAACTGGGGTGATTACACAAGGAGGCAAGTTTTCGAGGCGAGCGGGCCTGGGATATTTAAGCAGCGGCAACCGGGACGGGACAGGGGTCGTACGTCTAAGCGCTGATCTCACGCAACAAAGATTTTTTTGCGCTGCTAGTCTCCTTTGTTGCGATACCCTCCGAGGTTACATTGCATGAATGCAGGCCCTGGACCACGGCCGGCCGCTGCGGCTGAAGTAAGCGTGGTTGGATGTGCCGCCGCCGAGACGATGCATAGACAGGCACCGAAATATGTAAATAGAAATACAAGAGAAGGTAAGCTGAGCGGAATGGCGTAGTGTAGACCAGGGTCTATTTAGTTCCCCGCCCAATGGGCGAAAGGGGCAGCACGGATGTTCGATGGTGACGGCTCCATAGCTGAGCTTCAGCCCTGAATGGATTGGCGGACGAACGACGAGGCTCCCAGCCAGCCTCGTATTTATATGTATGGGAAGGGCCTGGACGACGACATGCGGTCTCCTTTCTCACTTTATTTTTATCGCCGAGTGCTGCTGCTGGCGCGACCAATTTAACCGCATCTCAGCTGCATCCTGCTGAAAGCCATTGCAGCTTCTTTAATCATTCTCAACCCTGACGGCAGGCAACGGCAGCTATGGCGGATCAAGACGTTAGCGCGCTGACGCTCCTGAAAACCCTCACGGTTGGCAAGGTACAGTACCAGCAAAAGATGCGCTGACAGGCGCTGCGCTGCATGTAATGCCGCTCAGTAAGCTCACCGAAATGTTATCAACTAGGGCCAAACTATGGAAATCTATGTGGACGAGTCGCAGCCAGAAGACTCCATCTACCGGTACACCATGGACACCATTAGCACTGGCGAAGAGGACCTGGTGATTCCCCCGCACTGGCATAAGGTATGTAATGTACATGTACCCGTATATGCAGGAGGAGGAGGAGGTAGCAAAAGCGAACAAAAGCAGCGAAGAGGATGTTGATCTTTTTTTGTAGCATCACCAAGAGCACTTTAGCGTTTTGCAAGGAAAGCTCGAGGTTACTGTCAATGGCAAAATGTCCATTTTGAATGTCGGCGACGAGCCCATGATTTTGGAGCGCGGCGCCGTGCACAGCATGAAGGCGTACAAAGGGGAACCAGTCATCTTTCGCGAGCGTCCCGATCCGCCCGGCATTTACAAAGCGATGTAAGGCTAGCCATTCGTGTCTCTGATTTGGGGGCAACCACCACCACTAGGAACAATGCCAAGGCTGACGATGTGATGTTGCAGATTCTTCAACGACATGTTCGCCAAGGGCGGCTTTCCCGGCGTTCTGCATGCACTGCGCGCCTTTTACGATGGCGACGGGTATATGGCGCTGCCCTTTGGGTCGAGACTCCTGGATGAAATTGTAAGTTTATTGCCTAAGGGTTGTCGTGCAGGCGTGTATGCATGCATGCATATTCCGTATTTTTTTTTTTTGGATTGATGAGCTGGCTGACACGTGTGGTGGTTGGCTGGGTACAGTTTATTTCGCTCTTTGGCGGCATGGCCCATTTGTTTGTCGAGAAAAGGGCCGAAGAGCTGTAAGTTCCTCGTCTAGGTGTTGATTTTGGTTGGATGGTAGCGTTGTGTTAGTAGGCTTGGTTCCTACAGAATGATCTTTGGTTTCGTTGTTCATGTCGACCAATTGCTGTCGTAGAATGGGTTCCCAACAACAGTAATTAAGCTGGAACATCTATTAATCCATATCTGGTTTGACTTATCCTTTCTTTACTTTTTAATTTTTCGGGCAGCCAGGCGCCGATCAAGCAAACAGCCAATCTTGGTAGATTTGGTGCTGCAGTTGCACCGTCTGGCTTGTGCGGAAGCAAACACCTGCGCGTACGGGGCGCGTACGGGAGTGCTCCATTCAGAGAGGCTCACCATATCTCTGGACGTATTCTTGCATTGCCTAATACCACGCAGCTTTCGATAGACCAACTGACCGTTGACCAACTACTAACCATTGACCCGCGATTTACAACCGATATTGCTGACACATTCAAATATGAATCGAGCGTTGAAGCAATATCAGCTCAAGGCAATAGAACAAAAGTAAGAATTGACATACGAGACTCGAACATGATATGTGCGGACAAACTGTATATATTAAGAGGACCAATTAGCGACGAATTAATATTTGTTTAAGATAGCTAAGCAGCTTATCGGAATCCCAGTTGCTATATCGTTGCACCGCGAATTGGCCGACCAAAAGTGACGTTTGAACAGCTTTCCCAGGAATCGGCGTAATGGCCGGGTGTACCTCCACCACTAGCAACGAGTAGACCACCACCATTAACAGCACTGATTATTGGCTATTACAGCAGGGGCCCTATAATTTGGCACCCTCTCATGCACAGGGATGCACGAACGCACAGACTGGGGCGGCCAATCGTTCCTGTACGGCAGATCCCCGCCGCCCGCCACATGCCGCCGCACAACGACACCACAAACACAAAGATCAGGCTGGCAGTTTTGGTTTGGCGGCCAAATTTCTCCAGACCACAGCCTCGCCAGACTCAGCAAGAGACAACCAATTCTACGACCATGGCAGCCATCAAGGCTCTTGGCGATTATTCCGGCCACTTTTCTTTTCCTGTTCATGACTAGATTAGCACCAGCGGCTTGTAGCGGAACTACCTCTTTGGAACCCACGGCTTGCCTAAAAAAATGCTCCGCGACAACGTTGCAGCTTACTTGCGGAGAAAACCAGCGTAATCCTTCCGGACCTATTGCGTGCCGTATTATAGCATGGCCTCCACTAATGATCGATGGTGCACCGAGTGAATGCTACGGTAGTTGCCCTGCACAGAAGCTTATTCAAGCTATTCGATAGGCTGCCCCAGTCGCTCTTACTTTTTTTTATTATAAGCAGTCTTGTCCCATCCTTTGCTTACTTTTAGAGGGCATGTTACCCACGCTCTTGTTCTTCTCTTCGTCCTTCTATACCACATCACCCCACAACATATCCTCACCATGGTCTCTAAGCACGCCGTCACATCTTTGCTTCTGGCCCTTGTGGCCAACGCCTCGTCCGCCGACGTCGATGCCGGCTACGACGTCACCAAGGTTGCCAACGTCATGAGAGACAAGGCCGGCCAGTCCTGGGAATGGGGCACTGCGGCCCAGGCTCTTCTGGAGCTCTACGACAACGAGCTGTCCATCTACGGCTCCAACCCTTTCCCTGGCGGCAAAATCCCCAAGGCCGACCCCAAGATCACAGCGCTTGCCTACATCAAGCCTCACATCAACACCACCGCCGATACCCTTGTCGGCGCCAATGGCGCTGCTGGAGACCCTGCGTCGCTGGGCGTGTCGGCCATTCTTCTCGGAACATCTGACAAGACCTACAGCGATGCGGCGGACCGCCAGGCCAACCACCTGTTGAAAGACGTGCCGCGTTACAGCAACGGCGCCATCTCGCACCGCGAGTCGCACGCCGAGCTCTGGGCCGACAACATGTCCATGTCGTTTCCCTTCCTCGCGTACCAAGCCGTGGCTAAGAACGACACTAGCCTTATGGCAACCACTGTCAAGCAGTGCGGTCTACAGCGCGACGTCCTTAAGATTAACAAGTACCTCAACTGGCGCCACATTATTGGCGACGATCCCAACAGCAAGGATGAGGGCCTCTGGTCCACGGGCAATGGCTGGGCTGGCTACGGCATGGTCCGCGTCTTGCACACGCTGCAGGGCTGATATAAAAAAAAAAAAAAGACCACCGAGATCAACAACCTCAAGAAGTGGATTGGGGAGATTCTCGACGGCGCCATGCTGTCAGGCTTTGATGATGGCCTACTGCACAACTATCTCAACGACGATGGCTGGTTTGGCGAGATATCTGGCACGGCGCTGCTAACGGCCGTTGCCTACCGCATGGCCGTCAATGATCATGTCAAGTTCCCTCAAAAGTACATTGACTGGGCGGATACCAACCGCAAGGCAATCGCCAGACATGTCAATGACAAGGGCGTCGTGTCGCCTGCGGTTAATCCCTTGGGCTGGCAGGACCGCAAGAAGTTCACGACTGGCTCCCCGGAGGGTCAGGCGTTTGTGGTCTTTTTGTACACGGCCTACCGCGACTGTGTCAACAAGGGTGTCTGCAAGCAGTAGTCCTTGATTGGATTGGATGGGACTGAGAAACACTTGTATATTTTATAAATATTGCACATAGAAAAACGAAGTAAAAAATAATGCACCACCGGAACACACATTCTATTTCTCCCAACTTGAGAGGTTCTTTGTCGTCTCATTTCTGTCGCCCCCACCTATATATTATGTCTCTTCCAACGGCTTGCCGAAAATGGGTGCCGCCACCCCGCCAGCTGAACATGCATGCAGGTTTGAAACCGAAGCCGAGCTGCATTGGAGGTTGTCATTCTGCAGCCCAGTGTACTGCCATAGAGTGTATATACTCGACAACACTGCATCTAAAATAACCGGCAGAGAAAAAATTAGTAACCACCAACTTCTACTGTCCACTCACGACATTGTGCAACCAGACAATAAGCAGCCCAATCTCCAATTCTGGCGTTCCACAAAGGTCCGCGTTTCGGAGGCTTGCCCGCCCAAGAACCGGCAAAACTGGTCACTAAAAGCGGGCCGCTGTAGCACTGCCAGTGCCGGCTCGCCCCCAAACTGGATTCCGCTTTCCTTTTATTCCCAAAATTTTCGGTTCCCTCCGCCGCCCATCGCCAAACGGCGAACAATTGATTTTGTAGACGATTCTTGCTAGTGCACCGTTTTGTACTGCTATTCTTTGTCTTTTTGCTTCTTGTCGCACGCTCGTGTTGCAATTCACATAGGACGTACCCGCAGCGAGAGCAGCGACAGCCAGCCAGCCATGGCAGATGAAACCACACCGCTGCTGCGGACCAAGTCGAGGAGTCGAAGCGGCGGTAGACGAGTATGTTTTGATATTGAAACACGCATTCTGGTAGTGGGATTCCTCATTACGCTTTCGTTTGCGTGTACACAAGTTGCGTGAGTATTCTCCCCATAGTCTTCCTTCGCCGCCGCCAATACCCGGTGCTACCGAGGACCGTTTGCTAACCCCTGCTCTCTCTCTTTGTGATGCTAGTCTGATATATGTCTTTCGTGTAATGACATGCGACGCATTCTACGACGACCACCCGCCGTATACAGGAGACGGCGATCGCTGCTACGTAAACGAAATCACGGCCGAGAGTGTGACGCAGTACAGTATTCTTGGCATGACGACAACGCTATGCGGTACGATGGGTTCCCCCTCCCTGTCTAGTCTCGCCGTAGCTGGCGAACTAGTAGACAAGCAAGTAACTCAACTAAAACTTCTTTTTGTAGGAATCATTAACCTCTTTGTATCGGGATGGATGGTCAAGAAGTTTGGTGCCCGCAAGGCGCTTCTCATACAAACTGTTGTGCCCACCCTTCGAACCGGCATGCAAGTGTACGGCATCTGGGTCGGCAAGCGCCTCGGCATGCTCATTGTACAATCTACGCAGATTGTAACCATTATCGGCGGTCCTGTCGGATACATGTATGTCCCTCCCTCCCAAAACATGACTGTAACCACCCAGCGCGGTCAATGAGACCAGCACCACTCTAACATGCGAATAGTCTGGTCATGAACATTATCGCAGGCGAAATTGTGCAACCAGAGCGCCGCACAGCCGTGTTTGGCAAACTTCAAGGCGCTCTTATGCTCGGCAATGGACTGGGTCTGTTTAGTATGTACTGATTATTCCGTCTGAATTACGCCCTGTCTAACTCGAAACAGCCGGTGGTCAAGTTGGTGAGCTAGTTGGCATCATCGCACCCTTCGGTCTTGCTTTTATCTGCTTCAATCTCTCCTCGCTTGTGGCCCGCCTCACGCTGCCCTATATCCCGCCACCACCTCCATCCAAACTAAAGAAGGGTTCCAAATCAAGCAAGCTGCCGCCGTTCCTCGAGCCTTTGCGCGTGTTATCGCCGCAGACAATTCGACTTGCAAACGGCACTGTTCGCAAGCATTACGGTGTCCTGTACCTCTGTACGGGTATATTTACAGGCGTAGTAAGTAACCGCATCGCTCGCCATTGACGTTTTCTGTTGTTAACAGTGTTTAGCTGGCTACCGATTATGTTGCACTCTTGGTCCAGCTGTATGCCACGTCCATCTTCCAATTCGACCAAGCCGACAATGGATGGCTCATGTCCGAGTTTGCCTCTGTGCGCGGCTTGTTCCTCATCTTCATCTTCCCTCGAATCATTGGCGCCGGCCGAGACTACTTTGCGCGACGCAAAAACCTGACACCAAAAGCCGACGAAGAGGAGAGCGCGTCAGAGACGACGCCTCTTTACACAAACCCCAGCGCCATTGCAGCTCCGACAGCATCGCAATTGGTCCAGGAACCAGTAATTTCGAAGTCGCCCATCAAGGATTATACGACCGGACGATTTGATCTAGTCTTTCTGCGCTATAGTTTGGTGGTTGAAAGCCTGATGACCAGCATTGCCGCCTTTGCCACGAAGCCCTGGCACATTTACCTAGGTTTGTACTGACATGGCACATACGTTGTTCTTTGGTAGAAGCTAACTGTGTATTTTCTAGTGGCCTTTTTGCTTCCGTTTGGCTCTGGATCCGCACCTGCTGCAAAGGGCGTTATTACCGACATGTGCCCCGAATCACAGCGAGCCGATGCTCTTAATGCTGTGACGTTGGTGGAGAATGTTGCTCGTCTGATGACCCAGGGTCTCTTTGGCTTTATATTTTCTAGCCTGGCTAGTGTTGGAAAAGCATATCTTACATTTTTCTGCAACGCGGTATGTATTCACCAGATACCCGTCTACAAGGAATTGTCTACTAACAAGGATAATAGAGCATCGCATTGATTGGCATGCTGATTTTACTGTTTTCGCATTTTCCACCTCCTGGCAGCGTTCTCGTTGAGCAGGATGAGCAGGATGAACAAAACGAAGAGGCAGAGTAGGTAGGACCGCTTTTGACAGCCTCTGTATATAACCCATTTACAATTTTATTTTCTGATATATAATTCTAATAAAATGTCACGGCCTCCTTTGCATACAAATATTACAATATTATCCCTTTGTCCCCTTTTTCCTTTCTTGATTATCCAGTATCCAGTCACAAGGCCGCGCAACATGATCGGATCGCCAACCAACCAAAATGTCACGCGGCAGGCAGCCGGGGAGTCGGTGGTCGACGGGTGACCGATCCCTGCTCAGGCCCCGTAACCGTTTCTTCAGGCTGGTGCCACTAATTACGGGATTGGCTCTGCCCTGGGGTTACAGGGGACGCGACGCCTGTGGGGTGATCGGTTGGGTGCTGTGGGTTGGTGGTGCTGGTGGACCGAAGCCCCGCCGACAAGGTTTTTGGGCAGTAGCATCAGGCGCATTACTGCAACTTACAGTTGCTATTAACCCGTGTGAAGAAGACAAGCCATGCTTTTAATAGTCTGTCGTCCCTGCACCACCACCGCCACCTCTTCTACTACAACTACAACTGTACAGCCAGCACAGTCAACGGACTTGAACTAAAACTACAGCACACAAGTCCAAGATGGCAACCAAACCAGCAACCACGCAAAAGGAGCCTGTCATTGTCGTCGGCGGTGGCCTGGCGGGCCTCGTGGCAGCCTACGAGCTCAGTCAACGCAATGTACCCGTCATCATTGTCGACCAGGAAAATGAAGGCAGTCTTGGTGGCCAGGCCTTTTGGTCGCTTGGTGGCATCTTCATGGTCAATTCGTCCTACCAGCGCTTCTGCGGCGTCAAGGATAATCGCGAGCTAGCCCACCGGGATTGGACCAACTCGGCCGGCTTTGATCGTGAAGACGACTTTTGGCCACGACAATGGGCCAAGGCATTTGTGGACTTTGCGACAGACGAGATGGAATCGTATGTCAAGGGCCTCGGTATGGGCTTCATGTTTAACGTGGGATGGGCGGAGCGCGGCGCCGGTTCGTCGGACGGCCACGGCAACTCGGTGCCCCGATTCCATCTCACCTGGGGCACGGGCCCGGAGGTGGTGCGCGTGTTTGCAGAGCCGGTCAAGAAGGCCGCGGAAAAGGGTTTGATTCAGTTCAAGTTCCGTCATCAGGTCGACGAGCTGATTATCGACGAGGCCACTGGCCGTGCTGTTGGTATCAAGGGAAGCATTCTGGAGGCAGACGACGCAGCACGAGGCGTCAAGACATCTCGAACCGTCATTGATAAATTTGAGCTGCGCGGTTCATCGGTTCTAATTTCTTCGGGAGGCATTGGCGGAAACGTGGACCTTGTCAAGAAGTCATGGCCCAAGGAACGCTTCAGCGGCCATGTCCCAGAACACTTTGTGGTGGGTGTACCTGCACACGTCGACGGCCGCATGGTGGGCATCTCGGAGACTGCTGGTGCCAACATTATCAACCGTGACCGCATGTGGCACTACACTGAAGGACTGAAGAACTGGAATCCCATCTGGCCAAACCACGGCATACGCATCCTACCTGCGCCGTCGTCGCTCTGGCTGGATGCCAAGGGCAAACGCCTCCCGGCCTTCCTATATCCAGGCTCCGACACGCTTGCGACTCTAAAGTACATTTGCAGCACAGGCTACGACTATACATGGTTCATTCTCGATGAAAGCATCATTGCTCGCGAGTTTGCGCTTTCGGGATCGGAGCAGAACCCAGACATTACAGGCAAGAGTGTCTGGAAGCTGCTGACACAGCGCATCTTTAGCAAGAAGGGTACGGTGCCCGTCCAAAACTTCCAAAAGCACGGTCAGGATTTTGTCGTGCGTGATACACTGGAAGAGCTGGTCGAGGGCATGAACGAGCTAGCCAAGGAGCAAAACGGACCAACCCTGACTGTGGAAGAGGTCAAGGCCGTGATTGAGTCCCGCGATAGCCAGTTTGACAATGTATACACCAAGGACGCGCAGGCGATGCTCATCAACAATGCCCGCTCATACTGGCCGGACAAGCTGTCCCGCGTGGCAGCACCGCACAAGATCCTCGGCAACAAGCCCTTGATTGCTGTGCGTTTGAACCTGGTGACGCGCAAGACGCTCGGTGGTATCGAGACGAACCTCCAAAGCAACGTGATGCGCGCCGACAAGACGCCGTTCCCTGGCCTCTATGCGGCCGGCGAAGTGGCTGGCTTTGGCGGCGGCGGTGTTCACGGGTACAATGCGCTTGAAGGAACATTCTTAGGCGGTTGCATCTTTTCCGGCCGCGCGGCTGGGCGAGCGATGGCGGAGGAGTACTTGGCCAACTAGACAAGGTCCGACCGAGGAAGAAGATGGTTGATATGGGATGGGGGAGTGAGTTGCTGTTCTGTTTTAAATTGTATGTAATTTTTTCACTATTGAGCGAGTTTTGCCACTGTTACACAAGATCAATAGCGAATCATTTTCATTCTCCATCGCACCTGTGTCTGCGTCTTCTCACATGGCACCCTCCGTCTCCCAGTAAACACCGACTGGTGCCTTCTAAGCGGCATCGGCTATCGAAGGCGGACCCTACAATCGCGAGTCGGTTTCCTCTTTTGCGCCGCGCCGGCGGTGTTCGGGCCAAAGAAGCAAAGGAAAAAAAGCTCGTGGTGGTGGCTGTGGGCCCGGTGTGTTCCTGGCGCATCCCCAACAAGCGGGCCTACAGTGCTGTAGCTGTGCTGTTTTATCCCGCCCGGGAGCCGGTGGCGGCGAATGATAGAAGAGGCGTATTTGTATTTTAACTTGCTGCGTAATCCAAACAATCATACAGAGTATTCTAAACTTTCTTGAAACAGACAATCAATATTACATTTTCTTTCTTGCCACACTGTGTACGTCACTGCTATCGGCCCTTTCTGCATGCAAGTAGCATCGTTGCGTCCCAGCAAAACACACAAAGAAGCTTAACAGCCGCGGCGGATGCTTGCTGATCCGCCACCATTTTTTTTGCCTTTGGTCATCTTTTAAGCTTTCGCCTTTCTGCAACACCACCACCACCACCACCTCGACAGCTCCAAGAAATACCACTCTACGCTGCTGTCGAATATACACAGCACCATGGAACGGCCGAAACAAAAGGTCGCTGTCATCGGCACCGGCCTTGCTGGACTCACAACCGCCTATCTCCTGCACAACGACCCCTCACAGCGCTACCAAGTGACGCTGGTCGACCAGGTACGCCCGCTCGTCTCTAACCGTTACGCTGCACCGTTTTGTCTAACCGTAGAACCTTGTCTCGCAGTCCGATGAACTCTCCTTTGCTGCAGCTTCGGTAGCCGTCCAAGACACAGCGACCGGCGCCGTCGAGCAGGTCGATATCCCCATGCGTGCCAGCGCCGGCGGCTACTACGATAACCTGATGCGCATGTACAAGCTGCTCGAGATCCCGCTGCACCCTATCCGCTTCCTCTTTGCCTTTTCCAAGCCAGCTACCGGAAGCACGTTATCTCTCGACCTTGTGCAGCAGGCCGGCGCCGTCCCTGGCTCGTACTTTGTCCATGCGTCCAACCTGCACCAGCTGCCGCCACGGCCCCTGGGTACAAGCCGCGTAACGCACTTTTTCGAAATCATATACCTTATTATATGCCACTTTTGGTTCTCGATAGCCTGTTTCTTGGTGGCGCCGTGCAACGACGACTCAGGCAGCAACAGCGAGACCTTGGGCCACTACTTGAGCAGAATATGGCTGCCCCGACGCTACGCCACACGCTACCTGATGCCGCTTATGAGCTCCGTCTCGACATGTACGCACGCCGAAATGTTAGCGTTTCCCGCAAGTGACATTGTCAACTATAAGAAACATTCGACCGGTCATCATCACTACGCCGTCTGCGGCGGGGCCCATCAGGTGCAGGATCGCCTGGCCCTCGGCATCACAGATATCCGCCTCAGCACCAGAATTATAGCAGTAGATCCGTGTGACAGCACCCAAACAACGAAACTTACACTGCAATCAGTAGACACGCAAGCCACGGTAGACGAATCCTTTGACCAAGTGGTGCTCGCCGTGTCGCCCGATGTGGCGGGACGCATCTACAAGCCGCTCTCCAAGATCCTCGCTGTCGTTCCCACCACACCGGCCGAGTCGTCGGTGCTTACTCCAGACCCGATGCGATACAAGATTGTGCCGCGCAATAGTGCCAAAGCAACATGCGGACACCATAGCGCTGGAACTACGCCGCCGCAAACGATTACCTTTCGCACGCAGTTTGGCGCTACGGACGGCCGCACTGAAGCCATGCACGCCATGCCTGGCGGCGCCATTGTCAGCACATGCCCACTGGAAGGAGGGGAGACAAAGGAGACACTGCGTTACGCTCGCTTCACACGAACACTTCGCACAGCCGAGAGCAGAGGTGTAGTGCAGCGGCTTATGGGCGAGAGTAGCAGCAGTAGTCGCAGCCAGACAAGTGTGGACTGGGTCAATGGCCAGGACAACGTCTGGCTAGCGGGCGCCTGGTGCTGGGACGGCATGGTTCTTCTGGAGGGCTGTGTAGTGTCTGCTATGCGCGTAGCGAGAAGCCTGGGAGTAGAAGCGCCCTGGGAGGCGGGCCAATAATGTCTTTTATGATTCCTAGTATTATACCATATGACGGAACCCGACCATCCGTCGACCATGAATAAATAAACATGAGCACCCAACAGGCATCTGAGATCGTCTGCACGTGCGTATGATCCGCCATCTGGTATCGGACACACTAAAACGTAAAAAAAAACCTGTTTTCAATTTTTAAACCAGATGGCAGCCGAGTCAGTCCGCCTCACTAAACGCCCTTTGCTGTGTCCATGCCCCATACAGGGGGGTTCCAGCCGACCCTACGCCTGGTCGGGCGTGGTGCACTTTCCTATCCCCGCAATAATAATGGGCGCCGCAGCCTCGCCAGGTGTTTGCGTGCGCCCGCCAGCTGCCCCAGGTGCAGCTGGGCACCACTGCTCACTCATGCCAAGGGCCATCCTGGCCTCCACCAAGAGTCGGCTGGCTCCCATTTCTCTTTTTTTGCTTCCTTCCTCCTCTGCTTCTTCTGGAGTCAGACTTCTAGTAAATCGCTGCCCTCTGTGTTGAATTGGACGCTTTTCAATCCCGCTCTGCTTCTAATCATCGCCTCTTTTCTCTGCGTCAACAACCCCTCCATCCTCAACCGTTACCCCCTTGCAGCTAGCGGCTGCCAATCCCCTCGCTACGTCATGGCCTCAACGGCGGCCAACGGCACGGTAGAGGTTACACCTCCAGCTCCAGCATCTCCCACAGCTGCTGATACACTGCTCTCATCGTGCTTGGCACTTCAAGAGGCCTCGATACACTCCAATGACACGCTCCGCGCGGCGCTGCTCTCCGTCGCTACCGGCCGTGATGTCGTACTTGGCCTCTCGCGTGAGCTCGTGCAGATCCAGACAGGGTGCCGCCTGCTCTCGCGACACACTACAGCTGGCCCTCTGAGTCTGCCCGATAAAATCCTTGTCGCCCTCGAGACTGTTGTGGCACATACGGTGCAGCTGCTCGGCGTGGCCATGCTGGTAGTCGACCAGCTCTCCACAGCAGCCGAGGATGAAGCTCACGCAACGTCTCTACGCCACATGACGTCCCTTATGGAAACAGCCAAGACGGTAATTGAGGTTGGCGTCGATGCCATGAGCTTGTAAGTAGACATCATAGCTCTCTTGTCTCTCTAGTAGTACATGCATTGGCTAACATTGTCGTCCTTCCCCTAGCACCCCACCATCCAACGATAACCCGCAAGATACACCGTCAGAGCTCCCGAGTTACCAGAGCACCCAGCTTCTCCAGGACACAGTCAATTTGCGCCTTCGTACAACAAACATATCCGCGCCGGCCCACAGCACATTCGACTCTCTCAAACCGGCCGTTATCGATTTCATCGACACACTGCAGGCCTATCTCGAAGAGTCCACAGGCACCCTCATCGTCCCTCCCGTCCCCGAAAACAACATCTCCTCCAACATCAGGTATATGCCCCCTCCATTTTTACAACCTTCTAAGCCCCTTCTAACGGAATCAATCGCAGTGACGTCGCTTCTCTCCATTCCGTCCACAACACAGGTGCCATGACGCCCGCATACTCCCCCATCAACGTGAGCTTCCCTGCGCCAAGCCACGTATCCCTACGACACCTGTCGAAGCGTGAGGTTTCGACGTCCGAAATTACCCATGTAGCCTTCTGCGACCGCAAGGGTGCACTAATTGTCGCCGCATGCACGGGCTCATCCGGCATGCGGTTCTTCTCGGTTGTGACCGGCCACCATCTACAAGGCAGCTACGACGCTGCCACAACAGCCATCTTTTCGTACCCGGGAACCACATACTGCATGTACCCTCTCGAAGATGTCTCCAACCCAAGCAAGGAAAAGGCGCTGTACCTCATTGACCATCCCACCGGCACCAAGCTGCACCGATACCGCTGGCCCGAGGCCCGCCCACTCGCTTTCTCACGAGACGGCCGCACGACCGCCCTCGCCGGCGCAAACAACCGCATCGGAATCTTCCAGACGTCCAGCCACCTCGTGCAGCGCCAACCGCTCATGATTCACTCACACATGGATACGGTATCCCACGCACTCTTCACGCCCGACTCCCACGCCCTTATTACCATGTGCGTCGACGGCACGCTCCGCCTAACCGACCCTCTCAACCTTGAGACACTAGCCAAACTCGATACAGGCGCAACCAAGAAGCCTCTACATCTCGGTGTCTGCCCGGACTCGAACCTCGTCGTTGCCATCTACGGCGACACCGTGTACCGCTGGGACCACCCGACTGGCGCCTTTGAGTCGTATACGCTGTCGGCTCGCCGTGGCCGCGAAGGCGTGCCCATTGCTCTCTCACCCGACTGCCGCTTCCTAGCGTGCCGCGTCGAGGACGGCATGGACATTACCGACGTACACAAGGGCACTGTGCTCTTTACAATCCGCTTCCAGACGGGCTTCCTGACGAGCGCCGCCTTCTCAGATGACGGCAAGTATCTGGCCGTTGCAAAGGCCACCAGCTGGAGCGGCATGCGTGTAACCAAATCCACGCTCGATCTCTGGGAGCTGACACATTAAAGAATCAAAGTCTACGTTGGCGTTTTTCGGAGTGAGGATTGGATGTTTGTCTGCATATCAATGGCGCTGTATATCGAAGTCATGGGAGCATATCATTTGGATATATAGTTGTGTATAGCAAAGATACCATCATACGTTTTTTGGGGGGAAATAATATAAATTTTGATTCTCTTGTTTTTAATACTACTATACGGACGATCCTGATGTGATGGTAAGTAGATAGATACATATCTCTTACCAAAACACAAGTCTCAAAGAATCTTATGACGAAGACACAAACAAAAGCAAATCATCAAGAGTACCCTAAGTAGGAAAACAAGGAAAGAAAAATGCATGCCGGTTTTGTCAATCCCCTAAAGAGCCCGGTAATAATATAGTAAAGTCTCAGAAGGAAGAAAGAGAAGAGGGGTGTACAAGGAAAAAAGATAAAAGAAAAGAACAAAACTCCAAAAATGCAAAATGCAAAGTCTCCTTTTGCCCGTCATGTTGGTTTCCATTTTACGCCGTCCGTTTGACTCATTTGTTTCCTCTTCTTAATTGTTGGTTTCATTTCATGCGCGTTGGACGGCCTGTTGAAGAGACAGGTCGCCAACCACGCGTCGAACACCTAGCTCCTCCACACGGTGTCCATCACGTACTGCTCCAAAATCGAGAATCTACAAAGCAAGTTAGTGAGCCGTCAAGGAATAAGAAAACAAAAAAAGGAAAACGTACCTCGACATAGGTCAACTCCCCACGCTGGACCGCAGCAACGCATCGCCGCTGGTCAAACTTGACTTGCCACACGCCCCGGAGATCCGTGAGCAAATCCTGCACCCAATCGCCTGTGCGAACATCCCACATCTTGACCGTCTTCTCGCTGCCGCTAATTACCTTGCGCCCGTCGTGCTCAAAGCAAGTAATGGCACCGGTGTGGGCCATGAGCATATGCTTGCAGCGGCCATTAGCAGGGTCCCAGATACGCAGCGTGGAATCTGCCGCCGCCGAGACCAGGCGGTCATCCTGCAGATCCAAGAGACCAACAAGCATCGTGTGCCCCTCCAAAGTAAAGAGACAAGCACCGGTATCGAGATCCCAAATCTTGACAAGCGAGTCCATGGATCCAGATATGCACCGGTTGCGCTTCGTATCCAACACCACCGAGTATACCTTTTGCGCATGCCCACTCAGGACATGGAGGCATCGGCCGGTGCTAATCTGCCATACGCGTACAGTGCTGTCATATGAGCCACTAACCAAAGTATCTCCATACGCAGCAATGGCGCGAACCGAATGTGTGTGTCCGGTTAGCACCCGAACAAAGTACGGGCAATCCGTCTCTTGGGCTGGCGGGCCAGTCTGGATATATCGTCGAGATCCAGCTTCAGGCAGGCGCCAAACACGGAGCTGGCTATCACGCGATCCAGTAATGATAAGGGGTTGTTCAGGTCTAATAATGCGGGATCCGTCTGATGCTGCTCCAATATCGGTAGGCATGAGAATCTGCAAGCAACGTACAGTGCTCGTATGTCCGTAAAATACTTGCTGGCAGAGTCCCTTTTCAATATCCCAAACACGAACCGAGCGGTCAGTTGAGCCAGAAACGAGGATATTACCTTCGTATTGCAGGGCCCAGACACCACCTTCGTGGCCCTCCAGCTTCTTTCGCAGCTCGCCCGTCTTAGTATCGTACACATGGATGAGCGTATCGTCGCTTCCCGTGATGATCTTGTCGTCATCAAACTGCAAGCATGTAATAACGTGGCGCGGATGGGCCGCAAAGGCAATGTGCGAAGGTCGAACCTTGCCGTTTGTCCAGCTTTGGCGGATCATGTGGTGTCTACGATACAGCGACTTGAAAAGATGCAGCTGGCGCAAGCTAGGAAGACCAAGCTCGGGGTCGGGGACAGCGCTAGCGGCAGCGCTGGCAGCAGATAGTGGTCCTTCTGACTTGTGCTTCGCATCAATCAGAGGTTGTTGGTAGTCGCGTGCCGTCGCCAGTTGGTCAGGCTCAGCTTCATCGGCAGCCAGCCCAGCGTGGCTAAGGGTACGTCGCTTGGATCTGTCCGAGGTGATGTAGGCGCCGCGCTTGCGCTTCGCGCTTCGAAGTCTAGACATGGGGGCAGCGCCGCTCTCTTTGAGATCGTCCTCTGCCTTAATCTGGCTGGTCAAGCTCAAGTCCAATTCATAACTGTTCGGACCGACGGGATCTTGCCAACCCCAGCCCTGTTTGATAGCCTTGTCGAGTTCGCCCGGTGGTAGAATCAGACCGTCATGATCAAAGAGCTCCTTCCAACCCGTTTCATTCCTATCGACAATGTTGCGCCACTGTTTTGAAACCTGGGCAGCATTACACAGGTCTCCAACATCCAAGTACGACAAAACAGAGTAGCTCAGCTCGAGCGGCAGGCGCTTCAAGAAATCGCATTTGAGAGTGGGTGTGACGGTATCGAAGATGACTCGGAGAGTTGGGCGGGGGCATCTGCGAAGGAATTGGTACATCATGTATGTCTTCATTTCGGTCTTCATGGAGTCGAACGCTTCCAAAAGAACATTGGTATCAATAGATATAGGTCGCTGTCGGGTGAGGCCGTCCGATGGTTCGTCGTCGTAAAAACCTGCCGGTACGAGTTCCCTTCCTGTAATGGAGTCGTTGCCTTGAGATTCATCAGCCCAAGCCGAGGACTGAGTAGGTCCCATAAGCGTGCCCTGCGTGCCGCTATCGTCCACCATCGTAGAAGTAGACGTAGTACCGGCTTCCCCTAGGCTCGCATCCTCCATATCATCGTCGCCAGAGTCATTGGCAGCCGCATCTTGCTGAGGAGTAAGGCCTGGCGATAGTCTTGGGCTGGGCAGAGCCACGGGAATTTGGGTATCACTGTCGTCGTCTAGTTCATCATCAGTAGAAAGGGCAGCCTCGGCATCCGTAATAGGTGGTGTTGCTACCGTGCTGCTGAAGATGGTGGGTGAATCGCTGCCTGTGGGGCTTTGAGCATATCCAACAACGCCATTTACCATGGGTGGGGGAAGGGGAGCAGGAGGATCGAGACCGATTAGGACTGGCACAGGGCCTCCAGGGCCTTGTACATTTCTGTGGTTGAGGCGTGGTCGGGCTGGTGGTGGCTCCTCCATGACGAGATTCTTAGACCAGGGGACGCCTTTAGCACCCCCAACAATGATACAAAGACCATTTTCGTCTTCAAAGATGTACTTTTCGCCAGTCTGCTCATCCTCCTCGCCTTCCTTCTTGATATCCTCGCGGCTTACTACCGCGTCGTTGTCCTGCGGCTGCTTCTGACGCGAGCGTTCGGACATGGACTGGAGAACGGCGGAACGGAGCGGCCGGTTTGATTTTGATTTCGAATGACTATTTTTATTTTGCCCAGTTGAACGGGTTGCAGCAGACGACGACTCGGCGTAGGCGGGTCGAGTGGCGCTGCGACTCCGGGGGCGGCCACTCTCACTGTATGACGGGGACGAGTCTCGGCTAGATTGCTGAGAGGAGAAGGAGGAAAAGAGAGGTTGTGAATGAGGTTGAGAGCCGGTTTTGATGGAGGGGGCGGGCTGTAATCTGGCTTTGCCCTTGTGCTATAAAGTCAGACCGTGTTAGCAAGGCTACCACTGTGCAACGTGGAGGGGCGCCAAGGGTGGGTTGGTGGCGAAGACTTTACCTTTGTAGATTGTTCGTCATTTCGAGCATTTACGTGATGTTGGAATTCTTCGCGGCGAGTCTCTTCTGTGAATGCAAAATTTGCGATTTCCGAAGGCATTTCCTTCATAGCGAGAGGGTATTCTCTGACATCGAGGCTGGCGAGGGACTGGGAATCACCGACATAGACGGGAGGAAATTGTCTTGTGAAGCGAGTAGTTGTCGTAACAGTTTTTGTTTCTACACACTCGCTGACCTGGAGTTGAACTCGACGTGATGCACTGCTATGGGAGCGAAGGGAAGAAGAGGAGTCGGCAGCGCCGGCGCTGGTGGTCCTCGGGCGTCGGGTCTCGGTGGTGGAGGCGGCGGTCGATGTGCGTTCCGGAGTGGCAGACGGAGACTGGACATCTCGTTTTTGGGAGATGGACGAGGCCGCAGATGAGGATTTAGAAGGGGTCGTGATATCGTGAGTAGTTGTCGAGGCGGCAGGCGAACCCGGGGCCGCAGCTGGCGGCTTAGGATTCACCGTCGAACCCCTAAGCAACCTAGCCATGGGGGGCGAGCCTGGCCAACGCGTGTATGTCGAGAATATCGACGACTTGGATTATTGTATGGTGTTGGTTATTGAGCAGCCGTACGAGCCGCAGACAGTGTCACGGCTGGTTGAGCCTTGTGGTGAGGGATGGCTGACTGGCTACTGGCGGTGGTTTTTGCCTTTGCACCTTGCTGGCAAACCGTGGTGGTGTTGGCCAGCACCGGTTGACGCGCGAATTGGGCCGTCCAAAACGGGCGTTGAAAACGGGTCTAGTGAGATAGAAAATAGAGCAGCAGGGAGTTTCGAGATCGAAGCCCAGTATGCTGCGTATTGGCCGCGATGCAGATGGTGTGATTTGGGCGGCGGTTGGTGGTTGATGGCGAAGAACAGATGGGCAAAGAGGGCAAATGCAAGAAGGCGAGGACGGGATGCCCCCAGCGGAGAAAGCAGCCAGCAGCAGATGCCCACTCAGGCGCTAACTGGCAGTGTGGGCGAGCGGGACCAGGCTGAAGGGCAGCAGGGTGGTGAGGCCTGGCAAAAAAAGTAGGGAGGGAAGGGCGGCGGCGACGGCGGTTGGGCGCACTGTACACTAGCACCGCTAAGGAAATTTGGCTGGTGCTCCAGGCAAGTAGCAGTAGCGTAGCCTGGCTGGCGTTCCTTCAGCACAGTGGCAGTGGATGTGGTGACTGTGCTGCACGGGGAGGCCGGACAAGCAAGCTTTTGGCGAGCTGAGACAAAGAAGAGAAGGGCAGGCAGATGGGTAAGTGAAAAAATTAAGCTGTGTTTTATATATTGTATGCAGAGCAGAGCACATTCATTCCAAGGACAATAACTTGGTTTGCGAACACCATAGCAGCAGCTCACTATCTGCGTCGCTCTTCTCTTCTGGTGACAAGTTGCACATACTGTAGACAGACACCTGACTCGACAACAGTCGGCGCTGAAACAGACCAGCTTGCCCAAACGATGCAAGTTCACTGGACACAAAGCTCCCTTAGACAGCCCTGATTCTCCAGCCCCCGGCGTAGTTTATGCTGTTAAAATACGGTGTTTCCAGCCATCCAATGCCATCCGCTACCTGCTTGCTGACAAGTAGCATTTGGACCATTGACGTCCACGCTACGCTGCATCGGCCGCCATACAACCTGTGAGAGGGGCGCTGTAACAAAAACCACCCGGCGTCCGTTTCTTCTCTAAACTTTGCCACGGCAGCATAAAATAGTGTTTGCAACCGTTCTTGTTCATGTAATTTTTATTTTTTTTTGCTTTTTGTAAACTGATCTGTCTGTCCATCGTCCTAATTCCACACGTTTTCTGCGCACATCCCAATCGCCATACTTGCTTTTTCTCCTCTGCCAATGCTGCGCATGGTACCAGCGTGGACGCGTGCTAAGGCGGGCCACCACCCCCATCGATGCTACTTACTGCTTGGCCGGTGCTTGCTACAGACGATGGCTTGCATGAAATTTAGCGGGCGACAACTGCGGATAACTGCTTTGTCAGTCCTGTTTTTGCTTTTTTTGGCTCGCCCATGATTCCCTGGCGCTGCTGCACACCGTGTTGGCCATCCACCAGCAGGGAACCACGCATGTAATAATGCGTCTCAAGCTGCTGCGGCTTGCCGATTCTGGCACCGCCTTATCTCTATGATTTAACTTATAGCTGCTCATATTCATCAGGATTGAGGAACATAGACTCTTTTTATTTAGCCAGCGTAACCTTAGAAAACGCAGTACTGACCCCTGACGTGTCGTTCTCCTCTCCTCTCCGCCTACGCGCCGCGCCAGCCCAGCCCGCCCCCAGTTGTCCGAATCGGGGGGGCCAGAGGGACCGCTGAGGGGGAAAGGCTCGAGCGGGGTGGCATCCCCCATGGATCGCATCACCGATCCTCTGACTAAAAAAAGCAGCAAACGACCATTTTATCCACTTGGCAATTTCCACGACTGCCGCCAGCCTTCCCTTTGTATCTTGTACTGCCTGTGAACGGAACTACCGTGGCAATCTGGTGGCCATGTGCCAGTTGTATTTTTAGCTTTGTTTTGTATGATGCAAATGGTCATAAAAGAAAGGGCAAAGTGATATTATACAAGCACAAGAAACTACCCTCACGATATATACACTGGCATTCTGCTGCCAAGCAACTCACTCTTGCTCAGCTGCACATCCAGCTTATGGAAATCATGCATCATCAGCCAGCAAATCATTCTAAATACCAACGTGCACCAAATATCATCGTGTGATGCAGGTTGCTGCGCCAGAGACAGCACCTTGTCCTCGCCGACAACAGGTTCGTCGGCCGTAGTAGCGGCAGCAGTAGCAACACCGTTTGCATTCCTGTTGGCCACTACATCACTTTCATTGCCAGAATCGGCCGCCCCATCATCGCTTACTACCGATGCTGCCACTGACGTGACGACCCGCGCTAAAGGCGAGGAAGGCCGCGATGGCATATGGCCAGCATCGGCCACACGCAAACTGCGTACGCTGCCAGGTCTATCGCCAACCAAACTTGCCCTGCGTTCGGTCGACAGACTCGCAACAGGCACCACGCGTGGCCGGATCACTTCAAAGTAGACTTCCATAAACAGCTGTTGGCGCTCATCGGCAGGCACGTCGTCCATATCTTCAAACTTGGAGGCAAAGAGCTTTGTGCGGCCATTCTCCATCACCATGGATATACGCGGCGACGTACCCGGCATACGATCTGGGACGCGAAGCGAAAGGTTCTCCGAGCCTCTATCATCCAGCTCGTTAAGTACACGTAACACTTCTTGTAGGTGGGAGCGCAGAACATCCTGCACCATTTTTCGCCTTCCATTCTGTCGTTCCATAGTCGGGGTAAGGACCTCGTTAGCCTTTTGTCGTGTAGCATCATCTGGCTTCTCTGGCGATGCATTGGTTGCTTTGCTAGCTTGGTGCGGACGAGCTGTTAAGATCTCATCTGCATCGTTTAGAGCCATATGCATTACTCGGAGTGACAGTAACCGCTCTGGGCCGTCTTCTTCCGTATAGTGCGTTAAAATCTCCTCGGCATGGTGCTTTAGGCGATTCACAATCGTCCTGTTACGCCTAGCTCCAGGCACATCCATACCGACAAGATTCTTAAAAGCCTCCATAACTCTCCACATAGACACGGGCTTCTTATCCCAGCGATCAGGCGTCGGGTTCGGTATAAAGGTGAAGCTGCTGTTGTCAATGTGAAAGTTGCGGCTCAACATGCCCATCAGCTCAAAGGTGACAGGGAAAAGATGTGACGTTCTTGAACCCTCTTCTAGATAATAATTCACAGTGTTGTTGTTGCAGCCAATCAGTCGCAGTGACTCGGCCACTTCGCGCCGTGTCGCCATAACCAGCATGGCCAGGTTCTCTGGCATATCGCTTGGCACCTGCAGACGCCGAGAGTCCATGGTTTGTTGAAATATGGTCGACACATATCCAAAGCAGAGCTCTTTGACATTTTCGACCGGGATCACCCTATTATTCCCAAACTCGCACTGCCCGTACACTTGCAGCGAAAACATGACGCCAAGCTCAGCGACACGGCGGCCAAGGACAAGAAAGCCGTTGCCTTCAGCCCAGTATCGGTCTTTGCGTCTGTCAAACTCCTTCCAGTATATTCCAAGTGCTGCAATCATCTCAATAAGATGGCACATTGTAGTTGTGGCGTATGGTTTCACAATGTTGGGTGGCATTGTGTCCCAGCTCTTGCGCTTACGCTGAAGCGCTGCGGTCAGTGTATGGTGTTCCTTGAGTGACGGTGGCAGTTTCGGGAGGCCATATTGTTCGCATAGCACGCCGGGCGGACCATATTGCTTCTGCTGCCACTCTCTCGATTTGGACTCCATACGCTGAATGGCGTAGAGGAGGATGAACCATGAGGCGCGCTCGTTATCGGCGGTATGAAGCCGATCCTTTGTCGACAGCTGCAGGTACTCCTTACGCAGGTCCATGTTATCTGTGGTCCATGTTTCGTCAAGACTCTTCTGTGTGCCGTCGAGAAAGTAGATGTCCTCCCCGGGGATAGGGCCACGGTCGTTCGTCGGTGGCGAGACAAAGATAACGGGGGCATCAAAGAGGACTTCGAAGCGTAATTCAGACCAATTGAAGCGCCGCCGTTTCGTTTTGGCCCAGTGGCCCATTACTTTTTCATTGCAGTTTGCATATCCGGCGGCTGATGCATAGTACTGCTGCAAGACCTGCATCATGGTGGCCAGGAAGGCAATCAGCGAGACGATCAGAGCCACGAGGCCGACGCCGAACTGGCCTACGCCGCCGAGGTTGCTACTATCATCGTCGCTGCTCATGACCGGTTATTGGGACATTAGCAATATGTTCAAGAGGCGATTGGTGAAAGATGGGTGTCGTAGGGCTGCAGTGGCTGACCACTGCTCCTTGGCGCCGAAACGAGGGATACGCTGGGTGAGTTGCCAGCTGCCTCTGGTGATGATTTGCTGCTAGTGTCGGAAGCACTGTGAGGGCGGAGAAGAGCACCAGTGAGAGACGGTATCAACAAGCGCTTCTATTACCGCTGAACAAAATGATGATGCAGAAGCGTGACGATGCAAAATGAGGCGAAAGCAACGGATTCGGCAGAATTTACTCCGCCTCCTAAAATCGTCAGCAGCTCCTGCAGCCATGCTGCCGCCCATTGGAGCGGCGGGGGTGGTGGTGGGCGCCAATAATTACACGATGGGTTGTACCCCCCGGCCGTGAACCAGGGGCCGCCTATAGTGGGCCACAGGCGTGGAAGTTGAATCCTTTGTCTGTTGTCGAATCAAATTAGGCTTTCGCTCTGGGGGCACGGCCCGCTAAACGAATGGGGCGGCCAGCCAAGCGATCCAGCCTGCCAGCACAGTACAACACAGCACGGCACAGTAGGCAAATACAGTACGAGAGCGAGGCTCTCAGAAAGCAATGTATTTAAGAACAGCCAGATTCGCTCGGCGATATTTCTACATCTTCGACTTGGCCAGCATTTTAGATCCAACAGACGCCAAGTCAGGCATCTCGACGCCCCATACAATGCGACAATCCCACTTAGCCCGATCCTGACCTTCAATCTGGTCATCAGGACGGCGAGCCGAGTCCTTTGCTCCTACACCATGAAGAAGCCAATCACCGACGCCTCCGTCACCATCCAAGATCCAGCGTTGTGCAAGCTCGACAGCAATAGCATCGTTATCTCGCTCAGCATCGAGGGCCAGCAACATGCCCATCACCGTCCACGCCAGACTAAACATGATGCGTCGCCCGTTGCCCAGTGTATCCATAGGCGAAGCCTGCAGACTGGCATAGACACGCTCCCATGAAGCCTGAAGAATGCCTCGCATGGTAGCATTCTTGACAGAGGCTAGAGCATGGTCGAGCCATCCGCGGAAGATCTCGCAGCGGTTGCCGCGCTGCAGGTTGCCCACCATTTCGCTGCTGAGCACGTTAGTGGTGCCCTCCCAGATGGAGTTGACTGCAATATCTCGCAGCGCTCTCGCGACATTCTCAGGTTCCTCGGGCTCATCCATGTATCCGACGCCGCCGAGAGCCTCCATGCACTCCTGGATACCGAGTGTAGCATTCTTGCAAACCACCGCCTTGCCCAGCGCCGTCATAGTTCGCAGCACAACAGTCGCTTCCTCGCCAGCCTGTGGGAAAGGGATCTTGTGTGTGGTTTCCCCCGCAGAGGGGAACCCATTCTCTGTATAACTCATCAGAGCAACGGTGAAGAAGCCGACTTGCAAGCACGCACGCAGCTTGAGCTCCATCTCTGCCAGTGTTCGCAGGTGCAGAGGCAGCAGCCAGAGCGGCACGCCCCAGCTCATGCGAGCCTTGGCAAAGGCCTTTGAAATGCCGACACAGCGACGCCATCCAGACGCAGAGCCCATCATGGCGTGCACTCTGGTGATGTTGAGAATATCAGCAATAGTCTTGACGCCGCGGTCCAGTGGGCCGATGAGGTGTGCTCGCATCTCTTTGAGCTCAAGCTCTGCGGTTGGCAGCTGTTTGGTGCCAAGCTTCTGCTTGAGACGGTGGATTCGAACACCGTTGGTAACCACCTTTTCTTGGCCATCTTGATCCACGATGGTTTTGGTCAAGGGAGCCACGAATGCACTGAGCTTGCCGCTTTCCGTCTTGGCCAGCAGGACGGTTACATTGGCATCGGTGGCCGATGAAAAGAACTTGAAGCCAGACACAAGATAGTCACCCTGGTCGATGCGACCGCAGTTGCCCTGCTTCTCAGTCAAAGGGGAATACTTGGCCCAGGTTTCTGTGTTTTGCACATCGCTGCCACCGGGACGCTCTGTCATCCATTGACCAGAGGTCCATCCGTCTTCTCGGGCCGTAAGGCGCTTATAGACATCATGAAACGGGTGGCAGGATGGCAGTGTGGGGAGGATCTGTCCGATGAGCTTTGCAGCGCCGTCGGTCATTGAGAGTGGGCAATTTGTGAGTCCTGATGCCGTTGATGTAAAGTAGTTTCTAACCTTGGGTTAGTGACAGTGCTACCAACACCAATGTCAAAACTTACGTCGCATGCTGCACAAGTCTCTTATACTCTCGAAAATTTGATTCATATGCAAGAGCAACAACACTATCGCCGGTTAGACAGGATCATTCGATTATCCGCTCATGGACAGCTTACCCGTTACGAGCACCCCAAGCGCGCAACTCCTTCCATCCCTCGCTGGTGATCAGCTTATCAGTGTCATGTCTGGCACCCCATACGTTGTGCGTCTTGACATATGGCTGCTGGCTCTCTGCATTAGCGCCCCATGTCAGAATCTTTTCCGATATCGATTCCTGCGCGACCCTGGCAACCTCTGGCTGGACAGCGGCATGAATGTCGCTAGGCAGATATGCTGCAACGAAAACACAGCATTAGTGTATAGCGTCTTCCCCGAAAGCAACCGAAAACGAACCTCGAAGTAAACGGCCAAAGTACGGGTCTGATTCCAACGGGTCTTGCCTCTCCGACATGCGAAAGATGAAGCCCGTATCAGCAGTCGCTGGCTTAGGCGTGGTGTTGGGAGCCATAATGCTTGCTTTTCCTATATATGAGAGTGATATGTTTCACTCAGTGTCTCTTGGCTGGCTGGTCAAAAAGTCATGCGATCCCAACGCCCTTTTATTCCGCGGACCTTACTCCCTGACTAGCAAACTGGTCGCGCCGACTTCCGCTCGTGCTAATGGTATTCCGCAGTGGACCACTAACCGAGGTTTTCGGTGGAACAGCCACCACAGCGGACGCGGGGCAGACGCCGCCCCGGCAGTTTTGGGGGCGCTGAAATTCTGGGGAAACAGCGTGCATACAGGCTAACGCGGGCAACAGTCTGGCGGAAGCGTTCCGCTGCAGCCAACAGAAAACAGGTTATATTGCAAGAGGGCCTATAACGGACTTTATACTCTACATTTATATGGCTGCTAGAGTGATTAAACAACTCCGGTTCCGCATTCGAATCAGCTGGTGTCTGATGTGCTGTGCATGGTGAACAAGGCCCTGTCTCTCTCTCATATTGCTCATACTCATTGATCTTAGTTTTCACCATCTGGTCTGTGATTCGAGAGGCGTCTATGTCCGCGGGATCAAGAGCAAAGGGTCTAATTTCTTTTTAGAGATGACAGCATATAATGAGAGTTCTGCTGTTGGGAGTTTCCATATAGCCCAGAATAATAGACACCGCGGACAGTTGAAGGGTCGGACCGTGGCCAAGGTAGGCAGAGAGGCATGCACCAGTATCAACAGACCTATAAAGCAACTGCCGAAGCCAGTAAATTTTGAGCCGTTATTAAACTTGCATCTATCACAGTAAGGTTATCTGAACCTATTTCATTGTATCTGGAAGAGATCATCCTCTACATTCCTTGCCTCCCGAGATCCCTCCATACCATCACATTCCAGCACAGAGGGGTGACAGACTTGCACGAAATCTATATAAACTATTGCTCTTCCCCCCAAAACTTTGTGATAACACATTTCTGTATATTAATACTTCTACTGCTTATTAAAATACAATCCTTTTATCATAACGACTATTTAAAACAACTCTGGAGAAATGCAACCCCTATCGACCTTTGCTACTCTTACTCTTGTTGTAGCTATATACGCTGATGAGCTAGTCGATAATACTAGTAACGCTCTCCCACCCGACGTTTATAAACCTCGTTGTGGAACAACTTTCTATCCCCATTCGTGCTGGCAATATTGCCCTAATCGCCATCTATCAAAGCCGAAGCTTAGCGATTTACCTTGGTGTTGGGGGTCCAGGACTACAACCTGCAATAAAGACGCTGATTGTCCCGAAGGCTGCTCAGGCTACTGTAGCCATTGATTCGCTTAAACGCGTATGGATGGGCTGTTTGAAGGATAATCTATGAAAATTCAATTATTCAATATTTAGAGGGTATGCTCATTTTATATAATTATGCTTTATACTATAGAGAGGACCGCTAAAACTTATGTTTGGGCTTTTCTCGTCCTGCCGTATTCTTCTCGGAGCCGACAGCCAGCGCTACATGATGGCTTCCCGCTACATAGTCGCCGTTGGCATCAAACACGAGGAACTCAATATCGAATCGGCCACTGAGAATCTGCTTGGCTGCAATACGTAACCTCAGCCACTCTTCGCCCTGTGCTGCCATCTTCTTCTTAATATCCAAGTTGAGGACTAGTGTTGGATACCAGAATAGCTTGTCAAAGGGTATGGTGTCGTTGGACGCAGGCTGCCGGGCATCTGTTGGACGATATGATTCCACAATAACAGGCGCCAGACAGTCCACGACAAATCCGAGATCCGACAAGACAAACTTATCTCCATTGGCAAGACGAATCCAGTAGTCGCTTGCACCTTTGACCAAATCGGCCGGTCGTGTGCGGAGCGTGTACACCTCTACATTGTGCATGCAAGGTATCCTCTTCATGATGGGCAGAATGGTCCTAGCCCATTGTCGGTCTGTATTCTGGCCCAGGGCAGCAAAGTCTGGTACTGGCGGCGGAGTGGGAATAACCCAACCGGTAGGAAGAGAGATGCCCTGTTCTTTGGATATATCGCCATTGGTAATGTAGGCGTTTACTTCGCTCTTGGAGGTTGGCGATACCCACGGAAACTCGGGCAGCAGACCAGCTTGGTAGAGTGAGATGTGCAGCACAGACATGGAGCGGCCGGTCTTGATTTCCTGAACCCTGAGCACGGCTGGGCCAGCTATTGTGCGTCCCAGAAACTCCCAGTGGCCGATGAGGGTATCTGGATGGCCGCGCAGGCCGAGATGGGCCTCTGCTACACGCTGAAACACGGAAGCAACATATCCGCCATTAGGGACTGGATGAGAGTTAGCTTGGTTCAGCAAGTCACTGCTACTAGCAGAAAGCAAGGTCAATGGGGGGTTTTACCTGCACCCACGCAGTAAAGCACGGAGAGATCGGCTGCATATGTGGTACTGTCCAGTTGTCGTACAGCAGTGGCATCCTGCAGGCTGCTGGGGATGCCCATAGCTGCGAGATCCTTTGCTGTAAGTTCGGCCATGGTAAAGTAGATAGAAGACGGAAAAGGGCTAAGCCAACAGTAGAAGAGACGGTTGGGTTACAGTATAGTGTTGCTTTTGATATTAACGCTACTGCTACCGCTGGTAGCAATATACTCTTTTTTCCTTGCTTTTTAGAGCCGATGGTGTAATTAAGCTTTGTAATAGCTGCTGTAGTGTGTTGCGGCTACTGCTTGCATATCCGAACCAGCCAGTCGGCGTGAACCCACCGCTACCAGCACCAGCCGCCAGCCGAGGCAACCCCACTGTTCAAGTTCCGGCGCCCTGCAACTTACATAGGCACAGCTACCCTAAAACGACAACTCGTCAAGTTCTGCGCTGGCCATTTATGATAAAAACGTCTTACATCAAATTTGTAAAATATTGGTGTGGGGATATTTCTTTATCAGTTCCCTTAGTTCATATTTTAACTGGCAGTGATTGTCATGGTGCGTCTCACAATGGTTGTCACCAATAAAATAACACGTGCTGGCGTATCAAGCGTCCACTACACTATACCCATCACGCCACTGCCGGCTGTTTCGTGTCGTCACTCCCGCCAAACGTTCGTCACAATTAATATATGAAAATCATCATGTCCATACAAGTTACGAACTTACCCACTATTCTTAGAAGAGATACTCGTTTATAGAAAAAACAAAAAAAGAGGACGCCTCCGCACGTGGTGTGGTTACAGAGAGACACAGGCGCCACCACGCGGCTTCGGCAGAATATCCAACATTCATCACGTCTTATCGCTGACGAGTCCCTATTTCATGCCCTACTCTGTGCATTCATCCGTGTAAGTGGACGTTTATATATACATGCAACTAGTGTGCTGCCGCAGCTAGTTCATGCCCGGGCTACTATTGCCGGGAGTGCCGATCTCGCCAATGGCGCCATGGTCAATCGATCAGCGCCGCACCTCTTCGCCACCAAACCACTGGTATTTCCACATCTACAGACATTGGCACCTTTAGAGTTTGTTCGACTATATCTCGGCAAGTACACGACTCCTTCTTTTCGTTCGCCCCAAAATGAAAGCCATCTCCGATGGCCAAGAAACTACCAAAAAGTATACCAGAGTGGGATAGAATGGCGCGACTCGGACTCTCCTGTTTGCCAGAACGCACAAACCATCTCCTAAATTCTTGGCAGAAACTCTGAGGCTCTGCTGCGGCTGTGGCTGTTGCCCGGCGATAACAAACAAGCCCCCAAAAGTGCCAGGTTTCTGTAACCCCCGTTGTAATACTTTGTTATCTGCGACGTACCCTCGCCGAATCAAAATGGCGCCTGTCAAATCGTACGGGCAGGGCTTCTGCATCGCCGCAATTGGCGGTCCACCTCGATCGTAACCTTCTTGGCAGGTGTCCCATGTCTCTTGTTGCAACTGCTGCCCCCAGGTGCCGTGCGTGTATGCTTATTTACAAGGTTTGATTGGATCCCGGCAAGTCTCAACTCGCTGACCGAAGCGCTGCTCGCTCCCTGTTTGATGCCGAGTGCTTGTCGCCGCTTGCCCCTGCGGTTTACAATGGAAACAGGGCAGCGGATAAAGTAGAGCATGGTCCACGCTGGTCAAAGCAAAAAACGAGATATGGAGCGAATGAATATCATCATTCCATTGTATACATGGGGGGCGACTTTCTGTCTAGTGTATGATAAGAACCCGTCCATTGTCTGTAAACGCTTTCTTCCCCTTTCTCATTGTTCAATACAACTTTATATTCAGACGAGTGGTAACAGATTCTCTGTATTACAAAACACTCATCTACAATGGAGTCGTCTTTCTTCTCATCGACAATCGAGTCGGGCCAAACAACAAGACGAAACTCTACCGGGTCGCTGGCGTCTCGTTATATGCCCAAACTCACCGGCAGCCATGATCAATATCATCATGAGCTGTTTGCTGCTAATGTCTTGAACGACCGCGACAATGGCGAGTCCATAATGGACAAGCACGCCGAGATGGAGAAGCTATACAGCAAGGACAAACGGAAACTGTCTATCCGCACACGACTGGCCCATTTCACTTGGGCTTGGTATACGCTGCCCATGAGCACGGGTGGCATTTCGCTTCTCCTTCACAATCAGCCGTTTACCTTCCCACAATTGAACACCATTGGGCGCTCCATCTTCATTATCAACATTGTCATCTTCCTATGCATCACAGCCGTCATGACCCTCCGGTTTACCTTACATCCAAACTCCTTCCGAAAAAGCATCACTCACCCTCGCGAGGGTCTCTTTGTCCCTACTGCATTTCTATCCATTGCCACCTTGTTAACCAACACCGAAGTCTACATAATCCCTTTTACCAGTGAAACGGGTAAACAGGCCATGCAAATTTTGTTTTGGATATACGTTGTCATTACGTTGATCCTCGCTGTTGGCCAATACAGCTTCTTATTTGCAAGCCATTCGTTTGCCCTGCATACTATGATGCCGACATGGATCTTGCCCATTTTCCCCATTATGCTCTCAGGCACCATTGCGTCTGTCATATCACGTTCGCAATCGGAGGACTCTGCACTTTCGATTACGACGGCCGGTCTCACTTGTCAGGGTCTAGGATTATCTGTTGCAGTCTTCATGTATGCACACATGATTGGTCGACTGATGCAGAATGGATTGCCCAACAGGGAACACCGGCCTGGCCTCTTCATGTGCGTGGGACCGCCTGCGTTTACGGCCATTGCCTTTATCGGCATGGCGAAAGCCCTACCTTCGGATTTTGATGAGCTACACGAGGGTCTTCACTTGAATGCAGAAGTGCTGGGCAACGTCGCCGTCATGTCGGCCGTCTTTCTGTGGGCGTTGAGTGCGTGGTGGTTTGGTATCGCCTTAGTTGCTGTTGTGATGTCGCCTCCAAAACATTTTCATCTCGGGTGGTGGGCTACAGTGTTTCCCAATGTTGGATTTACACTCGCAACAATATCCATTGCCAAGGAGTTTGGCAGCGTCCCGGTGATGTGGTTTACAACGGGCATGAGCATTGTCATGGTAGTGACATACTGCTTTGTGCTCTATAATCATGTGCGGGCAGTCATTGTGCAGGATATCATGTATCCCGGGCTTGACGAAGACGTGGAAGATATCTGAAGCGGTGATGAAGTATATTTGGGTGCAGTATAGCTGGGCTGCTGCGATGTACGCTGGTCGTATTACATGGTTTGTAGTTGGTTTGTTTAGCGCGTCGTCAGCCCCTTGTTTGTAGTAGGATTCAGGTACCCGTACTGCGCTGTACAGGTGGTGCGGCGTGGCGTTAGCGAAGCGAGCACAGCTACAACATGCAACAAGCGCTGTTAAAATAAATATAAAAAGAGAACAATTAAAAGGTAGCCATAATATATACAAATTATGCGTAATACTTTATTTTCTTTTATTTTTCCAACACTCCTCTCTCTGTCTACCGCCACCTCTTCCTCCCAACTGACGACTTGAAGCCAGATCTCCGCTCCGCAGCAGGCAGGCTACCGCCAACAGTTTTTTTTTTTGGTGGCGGCCGACGCGGTCCAACAAGGGGAACCTTCTTTTTCCTTCTTCTCGTCAACGCCACTCCCCCCGGGCTGCTGCTGTTTCAACACCACCGCCAACATCGCCATCACCATCACCGTCAAACTGTAAAAGGGCATTGTGCGCGCCCAATTGCATGGTTTGACCCGACAGAGCCCGTCTTTGCTCTCTTCTTCTCTCTTTTGTCTGCGCTTTTGGCGTCCTCTCCTTAACAACCTTCGGGCGAGCCGCGCCCCTCGATTCCTCCCGAAACCATGGCTCAACTCGTCGATAACGCGCAAATCAAGGAGGCCGAGCTCCTCAAGCCGCTTCCTTTGCACTTCCACGCTTATATCTGGCCCTTTGCAATCGCCTGGCCCGTCTTCCTTCGATACTTCCTGACTCCCGAACTCTACGAGAAGCACATCGGTGCTCCCGAATGGACCTTTGTCTGGGTTGGCTCCATCATCACTGTCCAGGCTCTTGTCTGGCTCAGCACCCACTGGAGCGTGAACCTTGCTGCGCGCTTCAAGGCCTCCAAGGTCACCAAGATGGAAGATGCACAGCTCATTAAGGTCATGCCTGTCGCTAACGCTGGCTCCCCCGAGATCTGCAAGCTCGTCCGCGACAAGGCTGGCGGCAAGACGAACCTCTCCTTTCTCTTCCAGAAACGCCGCTTCCTCTACAGCCCCGAGACCAAGACCTTCGACTGCCTCAAGTACGACATCGATTCGACCCCCGCGCCCACTATTGGCCATTTCCTCTCGTCCCGTGGTATCGACAAGCAGTCCGAACTGTCCCGCATTGAACAACACTATGGCACAAACACCTTCGACATCCCCGTCCCGACCTTTACAGAGCTCTTTAAGGAGCACGCCGTCGCCCCGTTCTTCGTGTTCCAGATCTTCTGTGTTGGTCTGTGGATGCTCGACGAATACTGGTACTACTCTCTCTTCACCCTCTTCATGCTCGTCGCCTTTGAGAGCACTGTTGTGTGGCAGCGCCAGCGCACCCTGACCGAATTCCGCGGCATGAGCATCAAGCCCTACGACATGTGGGTGTTCCGTCTTGGCAAGTGGGCTGAGGTTCAGAGTGATGCCCTCCTCCCCGGTGATGTTGTCTCCGTTACCCGCACCAAGGAAGACTCCGGCGTCGCTTGTGACATGCTTCTTGTCGAGGGCACTGCCATTGTCAACGAAGCCATGCTTTCTGGTGAAAGTACGCCACTGCTCAAGGACTCCATCATGCTCCGACCTGCTGATGCCACTCTCGACGCTGACGGCTTGGACAAGAACGCCTTCCTTTGGGGTGGCACCAAGGTTCTTCAGATTACCCACGGCAACCCTGATCAAGAGAAGCCCAAGCTGGCTTCTGGAATCCCCACTGCTCCCGACGGCGGCGCCATTGCCATTGTTACCAAGACCGGCTTTGAGACGTCCCAGGGCAGCCTTGTGCGCACCATGATCTACTCTACTGAGCGCGTCTCTGCCAACAACGTCGAGGCGCTCTTCTTCATTCTCTTCCTCTTGATTTTCGCCATTGCCGCCTCTTGGTATGTCTGGGACGAAGGTGTTCGCAAGGATCGCAAGCGCTCCAAGCTTCTTCTCGACTGTATCTTGATTGTCACCAGTGTCGTCCCGCCCGAGCTTCCCATGGAACTTTCTCTTGCTGTCAACACTAGTTTGGCTGCCCTTGCCAAGCTTGCCATCTTCTGCACTGAGCCCTTCCGTATTCCCTTTGGTGGTCGTATTGATGTCGCCTGCTTTGACAAGACTGGTACCCTGACTGGCGAGGACCTCGTTGTTGAAGGCATTGCTGGTATGGCTCTTGGCCACGACGAAATCCAGGACAAGCGCGAGGCTGATGGTGCCCACTCTACCATTGCTGATGTTAAGCAGACCAGCCTCGAAACCCAGCTTGTTCTTGCCACCGCCCATGCTCTTGTTCGTCTTGACGAAGGTGACATTGTTGGTGACCCCATGGAAAAGGCTACCCTCTCCTCTCTCGGTTGGACCCTCGGCAAGAATGACACTCTCAGTAGTCTCGCCAAGGCTACTGGTGCCATTGGAAACGTTCAGATCAAGCGCCGATTCCAGTTCTCCTCTGCCCTCAAGCGTCAGAGCTCCGTCGCCATGGTCAACGGTACTAACAGCCAGACTGGCGAGAAGCTCAAGGGCACATTCGCCGGTGTCAAGGGTGCGCCCGAGACCATCATGAAGATGCTTGTCAAGGTTCCACAGGACTACGAAGAAACCTACAAATACTTTACCCGCAAGGGATCTCGTGTTTTGGCTCTGGCTTACAAGCAGCTCACTGTTGATACTGAACTTGGCGCTGCCAAGATCAACGACTTGAAGCGTGAAAAGATTGAGTGTGACCTTACTTTTGCCGGTTTCTTGGTTCTCCACTGCCCCCTCAAGGAAGATGCCAAGGAAGCCGTCCAGATGCTCAACGAAAGCAGCCATCGTGTCGTCATGATTACCGGTGACAATCCTCTTACTGCCGTCCATGTCGCCCGCGAGGTCGAGATTGTCGATCGTGAGACTCTGATCCTCGACGCCCCCGAAGATAGCACTGGCAAGGAACTCGTCTGGCGCAGCGTCGACGACAAGATCAACGTCAAGGTCGACCCTACCCAGCCCATCGATGCCAAGATTCTCAAGGAAAACGACCTCTGTGTTACCGGATATGCCCTTGCCCAGTTCCAGGGCCAGCCTGGATGGAACCAGATTCTCCGCCACACCTGGGTCTACGCTCGTGTCTCGCCCAAGCAAAAGGAAGACATTCTCCTCGGTCTCAAGGATATGGGTTACTACACGCTCATGGTTGGTGACGGTACCAACGATGTCGGTGCGCTGAAGCAAGCCCACATTGGTATTGCCCTTCTCAACGGTACCAAGGAAGATCTCACCCGTATTGCCGACCACGCCCGCAACGGCCGCCTCAAGGATGTCTACCAGAAGCAGTGCGAGATGATGCGCCGCTTCAACCAGCCTGACCCTCCCGTTCCCGTCCTCATTGCTCAGCTCTACCCCCCTGGTCCTTCCAACCCTCACTTCCTCAAGGCTTGCGAACGCGAAGCCCTCAAGAAGGGTGTTACCACGGAAGAGTACGTCAAGGCAATGGGCCACAAGATGGATGCTATTGCTACTGCCACCGCCGCGGCCCCCGCTGCCAATGTTGATCCCCGTGTTGCTGCTAGCCAAAAGAAGGCCGCTGGTCTCGCTGACAAGCTGACCTCGAGCATGATGGAAGCCGAGCTTGGTGACGACGAACCCCCTACGCTGAAGCTTGGTGACGCCTCCGTCGCTGCCCCCTTTACTTCCAAGCTTCGCGACGTCATGGCTGTTCCCAACATTGTCCGCCAGGGTCGCTGCACGCTTGTTGCCACGATTCAAATGTACAAGATTCTCGCGCTCAACTGTTTGATTACCGCTTACTCGCTATCTGTCCTGTACCTCGAAGGCATCAAGTTTGGCGACACCCAGTACACCATTAGCGGTATGCTCATGTCTGTCTGCTTCCTGTCCATCTCTCGCGCCCGTGTCGTCGAGGGTCTGAGCAAGGAGCGTCCCCAGCCCAACATCTTCAACGTTTACATTATCGGCTCCATTCTCGGCCAGTTTGCCGTCCACATTGCCACGCTCATCTACACTGCCCGCCTTTGCGAAAAGATTGAACCGTACGTTTCCTCCATGTCTATATATTATCTCCCTATACTGACTAACATTCTCTAGCCGTTCCGACATTGTTGATCTCGAAGCCGAGTTTGCCCCATCGCTTCTCAACTCCGCCGTCTACCTCTTGCAGCTCGTCCAGCAAGTGTCCACCTTTGCCATCAACTACCAGGGCCGCCCGTTCCGCGAGTCCCTCTCGGAGAACAAGATGATGTTCTACGGTATCGTTGGTGTTTCTGGCCTCGCCTTTGTCTGCGCCGCCGAGATTATGCCCGAGATCAACGAGTCCATCAAGCTTGTGCCCTTTACCAACGAGTTCAAGACCAAGATGACCATTTGCATGGCCCTCGACTTTGTCGTTTGCTGGACCATTGAAGTCGTCCTCAAGTACCTGTTCAGCGACTACCACACTCGTGATATTGCCGTCCGCCGCCCCGAGCAGCTTGCCCGCGAAGAGGCCCGCAAGAAGATTGAGGCTGAGAAGAAGGCTGCCGCAGACGATGCTGCCCGCCTTGCGCAGGTTGCTGAGTTTGAACGCAAGGTAGCTGAGAGACGCCGCGCTCTGGAGGAGCGATGGGGTGTTCGTCCCGCGGGACAGCCTCAGGCTGCGGATGCTGCTGCTGCTGGAGCTTCGAATTAGATATGATGATGGTTGTTGTTGTTATTGTTGGGAAATTGCCCATCGTATTCACTGACAAAAAGACTTTGCTTATTGTAGGATGCAATGTAAAAGACTACGCTAGATGCATTATAATATAGACATTGGTTTTCACGTTTACAAAAAAGCACAATATTCACTTTTCTCATGGTGTAAGATAGAATGGGTACTAGTAGCAGTAAAAGCTCGATTAAAGTGTTCTTTTTACATTATGATTAGAAGAGATAAGAGTGCTGTGGTGTTCCGTCCTTTCTAGTATTCGTCTCTCGGTACATTTACAATAAAACATGGGGGAAGAAGAAAGACAGGAAAGAAAAAAAACAATGCTGCGGACCACACTCTTCTGCACAATTTGTCCCGACACTTTTCTATATCCCCAGAGGAACAAAAGAGAAGGAGGCAAAAGGTAACAATCGAGAACTGCCACTAGCTCATCTCATCCAGCATACACACATCCTCCGCTCCTGCTCGCCGGTATTTTTTCATCATCTTCGTTTGGTAAATTATACAATTATCGTGGTTTTTTTTTTATATTTTGGGGGGTAATTCCTTTGCGTAGTTGTCCCAAGAGGCAGCCAACAAAGAAGAGCGACTAGCAGTTAGTAGCGCACTTATTTGCCGGGGTTGGAGGCGACGAAAGCAACACCCTTCTCGATGTTCTTCTTGAGGTCGCCAATGCAGGCCTCGAGGAGCTTCTCCTCAACGGCATCGACAGCGCCGACGGGGAGGATCTTCTCAACACCGTTGGGGCCGAGCTCAACCTTGGAGGAGAAGAACTCAATGCCCTGGTCGGCGTAGAGGGGAGACTCAACAAAGGTGGGCTCAATGACACCCTTCTCGCCGTCAGCGGCGCGGAGGAGAGAGTCAGCCATGCGGGCACCAGCCATGGCCATGGAGAGGGTGGCGGAACCGGCACCGTCCTTGGCCTTGACGACCTCGTCACCACCGAATTGGACACGCTTGACGAGCTCAGCATCGGAGCTCAGCTCGGGGTGGCTGCTCTGGGAGAAGAGAGGGACGATGGTGACACCGGAGTGACCACCAACAACGGTGATGTTCTCGTCCTTGGGGTCGGAGCCCTTGATCTCGGAAACGAAGCGAGAAGCACGGACAACATCGAGGGTGGTGACACCGAAGAGCTTCTTGGGGTCGTAGACGCCCTTGGCCTTGAAGACCTCCTTGCAGATGGGGACGGTGGAGTTGACGGGGTTGGAGATGACGAGGACCTTGGCCTTGGGGGCGGACTCGGCAACAGCCTTGGCGAGGTCGCGGACAATGGAGGCGTTGGTGTTGAAGAGATCGTCACGGGTCATGCCGGGCTTGCGGGGGACACCAGCGGGGATGAGGACGATGTCGGAGCCCTTGAGGCACTCGTTGAGGCCCTCGGGGGTAGGCTCGTAGCCCTTGACGGGGGCCTTGGTGTTGATGTGGGAGATGTCAGCGGCGACACCTGCAGCGAGAAAAGGGAAAATGTTAGCAATTGAATACAAGAGGTGTGGAATGGCGCGGGCAAGACCAGCGCCGCAACCAATTGGGAGGAATTGATGCATTTCGGGACCAATGGATGGGCGTGCATCGGGTCAAGGGAAAGGGGACAACGCACCGGGTCCGCCACGGATATCGTAGAGGGCAAGCTCAGTAACACGGGGGTTGAGCTTGAGGAGGAGAGAGAGAGGCTGGCCAATGCCACCGGCAGCACCGAGAACGGTGACCTTGGAAAGCTGTTGATACGCAATGGGCGGTTAGCTTGAATTGTTGCGATCACAAGAAGGCCGAGAGCTCCGAGGCTGTTGCTGCGGCTCAAGACAGGCTTTAAAAACAGAGACGTACGTTGCGGGCCGACGCGGAGAAGGCGCGGGTCTGGAGTCTGGAAGCAGCAAACATGATGATGGTTGTTTGTGTGGTTTTTGGGGTGTTTTTAAATCAACAAGAAAGAAAAACCGGTGATGGAAGCGTGAGATGGAGGAAACGGGGAAAAAAGGACGCAAGTTGCTTCGGGGGGGCCGCGGGAATTAATAGGGAAACCCCGGCCCAGGCAAGCTTAGACAGGGCGCCGCCAGGCTAAAGAAAAAAAAAAATTATGACGGCGGCGCTACGGGCTGGCTGCTGCCAGTGGACTGCTAGCGCTGCTGAGTGCTGGGCGCTTGGCCGTGTTTCGGTTGGAAGGACGACAAAAGAGTGGGGACAGCGAGGTAATACGCCTGACAAGGGAACAGTAAGCCCAGATAAGATAAAACAATTGTCTACCCTCTATATAGAGTGCACATTTGCAGGGTACATGGTATATATATATATTGGGGATATTTACAAGAAGAAATAAATATGGAAAAGAAAATGTGATTGTAGGAACAAACTCATGAAGAACACATGTAAATAAATGCATACATATACGCATGGGCAAAACGCCGATTCTGCCGACACCAATCATACGCCAATCTAGCGAAAACAGTGCATCATTCATTCTAAATATATCCATCGTGAACTTATACATACATCTCAGTTAGCATACAAACCCAATCGCTCCCCTATAAACCCCAATTGGGCATCTCGGAGCCGCACTCAATCCTTTCCTCCTTACACCCCTTCCGCCACGCTCAAACCACGTCACACCGGCGAAGACGGCCACCAGGCTGCAACCCCACAAATATCGCCTTTTGCTTCAACTACACCACCAAATCCGATATCCATCCTCACCTTCTTCTTTTTTGCTCCTCTTCTCCTTTCCCTCACATACTCACAACACTCGCCTACCAATCATGTCTCTGGCACAGCTCGCACAGCTGCTGCCCCTCCCAGACGAGGATCTCCAGCAAGCTCTCGACTACGCCGCCACTCTCTCCAAGGAAGATGCCGTCACACACTTCTCCAACATGCTCGGCGACTCGCCCCTCGCCGTCGACTTTATTGCCTCATTCAATGCGAAAAGACAGCCTCCTAAGCCCGTAGCTGCTGTACCGTCGAGAAAACCTGCTAATACCGAATCACTCGACGCCGTTCCCAAGACTAAGCGTGCGCCAAAGAAGCCAAAAGCCCCGCTACACACGCCGCAAGCTCGACAAGCAACAAGCTATGCCGGCCCAGCAGGCACCGTATACAATAGAAAAGACTATGAAGACTATGGATACACATCACAACCCAAAAAGACAACCGCTTCCTCGAGTAACAGTACGCCCAGGTCTGGAACCCCAGCAGCACCAGCAGCCAAACCCATCGTCGTCGAACCTGCGCCTAAGCACGCCCCAAAGCAACATGCCTCGTCTGCAGGCTTCCTGATTGCCGATGCGCTCTCCAAACCCAAATCAAAATCCAACCCTACGTCAAGAAGCTCAACACCAAAACCCTCTTCGACCTCTACCAAAATCTCGATATCGGGTGGCACGCCCATGGCTGGCCAGTCCACAGCTCTTGCTGACCTTGAAGCAGCCATTCGCACGCTCGAAACTAGCACCAATCCTACACTTGATAACCCGAAAGCTCGACGTTGTAATTGCGTTGCCACACGACACCCTCTTCAAAGCGCTGCGCCCAACTGCCTCTCTTGCGGCAAGGTGATTTGCATGAAGGAGGGACTTGGCCCCTGCACATTTTGCGGGACGGCCTTGTTGTCATCGGACGAAGTGCAAGCTATGGTTCGCCAGCTCAAAGATGACCGCGGAAAGGAACGCATGGCAGCCAATGCGGCGCAGAACCGGCGTGCAGAGATATCGCAGAAGCCTGCGCCATTCTCCCAGAACAAAGTCACAGCAGCTCCCTCTACCGATCCATCATTATCCGAGGCCGCCGATAAAGCACGCCAACACCGTGATAAGCTCCTCAACTTCCAAGCCGAAAATGCGCAGCGTACCACTGTTCGCGACGAAGCTGCCGACTTTGACGTCAGCGTGGCAGTCTCTGGGTCGAGTGGGAACCTGTGGTCTACTCCCGAAGAGCGTGCGCGCGAGCTAAAGCGCCAGCAAAAACTCCTGCGCGAGATGGAATGGAACGCGCGGCCCGAGTACGAAAAGCGCCAGCAAGTTATCAGCATTGATATTGTCAAGGGCAAAGTTGTTCGCAAAATCGCCCCTGCCTCGCGACCACGCACGCCTGACTCAGAAGAAGACGAGCAGCCCGGACCAGTCTTTGCAGAGACGAGCGGCAATCCCAAGAAGACGGGCGGCGCATATAGCGGTAACCCGCTGCTTGGCTCTGTTATGAAGCCGGTGTTTGTCGCAGAAGCCGACGCTGTTGGCCGTGACTCGCAGACTGCGAGAAAGACTCGCTGGCGCCGTGTACAGGACAACTTGGAGGATAATGAAGATTTGATTTTGGATGGCGGTTTGTGCGGACATTCTATAGAGACAAGCGGTGGTGATGAACCAGAGTGTGGTTAGCTCGAGCATATATATCATATCCAACGACACGCATATATAGACGGATGAAGTTATGACAAGATAGAATTAAAAAGAAAAGAAGAAGAAGAAAGAAGGTTAACCCTAAGTCATGTTGCCAATGAACGACTCCAAAGTGCACACACACATAGGCGATGCCAGATTGCCGCCATCCGCCAGTCAAGCCATCCAATTCCCAGTCCTGCTTGATGCTGCGCGCATATCGCAGCTCCCAAGACTTAAAAACCCTTTGCAAAAATGCGCAAGCGACCACCGAGCCGCGATTTTCCTTAATAGTAGACCCGAAACCAGATGACAGAAAAAAGAAGAAAAAAGAGAGAAAGAAATCAAGCAACCAAGTGCAAATTATACAGCGAAAGATGGGTAAAACGTAGCCCCTCTCCTTTTGATATAGAAACCAACCATTGACGGCAAAAGGAGAGACAAGGTAGGAGAAGAAGAAGACATTCCCCGTGATTGTCGTAAAGATATTCTACAGCCTAGGCTGTTATCGGTCGTTTACGATCGTTTAGCCTTCTTGGGAAGGCCCTGCTCTCGTCTGGATTCGATGTCGACCTCGGCGAGCCATCTACTGGCCTTGACAAGCTGCACAACGTTGATAAACTGCTTGGCAAACATGATGGGGGCACTAATGGCAGTAAGGATCCAAGGGACGGTTGAATCGAGCTTGTTGGCACGGGCCATCTCGAGGGCCGCGGCGGAGAAGGGATCCGGGAAGAGCTGCTTGAGGATCGAGGTGTTGACGGGCTGGCCGGGCTTATAGGCAGCGCTGTTGGCTTCCGCACCCTTGATGAGGTGCGGGGACAGCAGTGGGGAGGAGAAGGAGAGCAGATACAGAGCGATGAAGAAGAGCTCGTTGAGGGCGCAGAAGATGAAAAGGACCGTCTTGTTGGTGTAGTAGAGGTTGAGCAGCCAGCTCTTGGACTTGTCAATGTTCTTGTGGCTGGAGTCGGTGCCGCCGACAACGAGGGTCGCGTACATGTGCATGTAGTGGCTGGAGAAGTCGAGGGCAATGAGGCCCTGGAAGACAATGGCCCATCGGGGGAAGGCGGACGAAAGGAAGACGAGCAGGCACGAGGTGGTGCAGCGGTCCGTCACCATGTCGAGGACGGCGCCGAAGCGCGTGGACTGGTTGAAGAAGCGGGCAGCCTGGCCGTCGACGGCGTCGAGTAGACACGAGATGCTATAGAGGAACGAACATGTCCGCGGGTGCAGCGGCATGTAGTAGAGCGATGCGAAGGCGAGGACGATTCGGCAGTAACCTGGATGGCACAGGCGCATGTTAGCCAGGAGCAGTTTCAATGGCACGCCCAGAAGCACAAAGGCGCACAAAAAGGAATGGGAAAGCAGGGATACGTACCGATGATATTGGGCCAGAAGAGAAAGATGTTCTCTTTGGGCTCGTCGCTGGCGGACTTTGCGGCAGCACGCTTGGTGGTCTTGGCCTTGCCGTTGCCATTGGACGCGCCGGCATCGACAGCGGCGGGAGCTTCATCGCCAGAGGACTGCGACGCAGCCTCGCGGACACGGGACGATCGTCGTCGAGTAGAACGGGCCGGCATTGTGGGCGAATCGAGGTCGGGTTCGTCGAGAAGCTATGTGTTGTATGTATGTATGGGAATGGGGGGATGGGGGGGGGGGGACGCGGGCGTCGTGACGGAGTTGCACCAGTAGTAGTAGCTAGCTCAGATAGAAAAAGAAGGAATGGTGTTGGGAAAACAGAGTATTAAAAAAGGAGATAGAGTAGATGAGACGAGGAAGAAGAAGAAAGATGAAAATTACACGTGGGAAATGCGGAGAAGCGGTTTCCCTTTCCGTGGCGGAGGAGACGAAAGAGAAGGGGCGGCGGCGGGCGGGCCAAGACAAAATCAACAGGCGCAGGCTTGTATTTTTTTATTATTTTTGGTGGTGACACGACACTCAAGTGCTGGCACGTACCGGGAGATCCGGATGTAGCGCGCGCTTGCTCATTTCCAGACAGAGCATGGAATTTTAATAGAAGAAGCAGTAGCCAATTTATATTTATGGCTTAATTGGGAGTTAATTGGTATTATACTTGGCTATTTTATACTTGTCTTTGGACGGTCAGTGACGTCCTGGCCTGTCTGTCCGCTGGCTGGTAGAGCTAGGCTAGCTTCCCCCAGGCGTGGAAAGTGGTCACGTCACTGCTTTCTGCACGCCAAACCAAAAAGTATACACAGCACCGTAGAAGACAAGGAAGCCCCTCTTTTTTCCAGCGCAAAGTCCCCTGAATATCCCAGCCGAACAGCCCAGTGACAGGCTGTGCAATTACACACGGACCAGTTCCGCAGCTCCTTTTATATATACGAGTTGTATTCTGTTACACTTTCCATATATGCACTCATTTGCTTGATCGTAAAGGCCACTGTACCTGCTACAGCAGCTGCGGACAACTTCAAAACTCCGCGAGCGCTCCGCGACGCATGTTTCGTTTGGTCCTTTCACAAGCTTGCGCCACGGCCAGCCTTACTCTGTACTTCCCCTCTTTCTCCTCACCCACCCGTGTAGTTTGGTGTAGGTTGTGCCAGCGCGGCCCGAGGCATCGCCCATCCCCCGCTTGACTGTCCGGGGGCCTCATCGACAAACCCTGCAAGCCCTTGCCGCCTGCTTCCAATACTATTACCAGGTGCAGAAAAGACGAGACAAAAGAGAGTGGCGGCTGCACCTGCTGGCTATTGGCGGATCACGGGCGGGTAGCGTAGCGGACAGCGCGGGTATACAATATACACCGTCTGGTCATTCTGATATAGCTCCAGCAGCCGCCTTGCAGCACGACCTGCTTAATTTACTGACATATTGGCACCATAATGTAGATACACAGCGTTGTCTCCAGTAGTTTGTGTAGTGGTTTGTCCCCTTTTGTACAGGCACTGTCAAAAAGCACATGTCATGCAACACGAGGACCCCCAAACTTCCCATGACATGCCTACTACCACTTACAGTTGGAGGGCATTTTCTAATCATGATAGGAGCCTAGCTACTAAGCTAGCCAACCAAAACTCTCTTGCAGGGCACACATACCCTGCTATGCATCAAATCATAGATGGCAAGGCGGCTAGCTAACCACCCCGCCTGCCCAAGCTTGTAACTAGCAGGCAGCCTAGCGCGATGCATCTCGCAGTCAGCTGGTTCGCCTCATGCGCTACCTTCTGTTAGTGGTGGGTAGCATCTGCCGCTAGTTTCTTTCCATGTCGATTTCCCGTTCACAAGGCCAGGTTATTAATTAAGTGGATAATGAAAAAAAAAAAAAAAAGTAGAACGAACGAAAGAAAATAGACGAGCACGGGGAGAGCGATGTATGCATGCGTTCTGAGGTTGTTTAATGGGGGTTTGTTCCGCTGGCTATAGGCAGGCATGGCTCTGGTATGTGGGTTCTTTTGCTGCCCACTTATACACGCCACGAATTCAAGCCTCCAGCCTTTGGATCCATCCATCTGGTTCAAAAGTGCTTGTTATTTGTGTATCAACACAATCTTCTGCACAAAGATAAGATCACGAGAGCATGTATTTCGGTCGCTGTGCTTGCTTGGCTGCGTTGTCTAGTTGTCTTGTGCCCGCATAAATGACGCAGCGCTTGGTCTTGTTTTACGTTGCCATTGGCGGCTGGCAAGATAACCTCAGCTTTAACCCAAAAGTACAAGAGTGAATGACCGGCCAAGGTGTGCATGTGGGTAGCATGTATGTAGTTGGGTGGACAAAAGGACGGACGGGATGCGACACGTCGGCCGTCGACGTCAAAAAGCCACTAGCAAGCTTTGTTGTGTGGTATTGTCTTTGTTGGATGGGGCGATCCATGGACAAGAGAGACGCCCCTCTTTCTTTCTTTCAGCTACCGAAAAAGCACTGGGCGCAATCTGGACCCCTTCTTTTTTTTTCATTCTCGCATCGGGCAATTTAGAAATCGGCCCGGGGTGTGTTGGTGCGTGCTGGATCATCGGCGAGGACAAAAGGTGAAGATCTGCCTTTTTCGCCATTTAGGCTCATGTTGCAGCAGGAGTACATAGGGTAGCAGCTATCAAGCAGAACAGCTTAAGAGCGCCCCACCAAGCCCCGTCCTACGGCGGCCCCGAAAGCCGTGTCCGGGGGCCTGCAGCGGGAGTCGCGCCGACGCTAGGCAGCACGGGATTAGTTACAGTAGGCCCATGCACTGCGGTGTGCAGCACCAGCATAGTTGAGCTTTTTTTCTTCTTGTTGGTGTCAATGGCCTGGAGATATTGTTTGATACACTGTATAGTAGATTGCATGAAGCTGATGGCAATACAAGAGCACGGACAGTACCAAGATAGGAAAAAGAGCAGCTGTGCACCTGGAAAGACGCCCGCTGCTACACATGATGTTGCTGCCACCCTGTCGGCCAATCCGTCGTGCAAACAAGAAGAATCCATCGGATTTTGTAGCTTCTGTAACTGTTGCTACTAACTGCAGCAGCTCCCCCCACCTATACTACAGTAGCCAAGAAGAAAGAAGAAAATACCCGTCGCCACTTGTAAGTCGCCATTGCAGCTTAGGATCTGTCCACCATGGCAACTTGGCGCGCCGCTCTTTTCCTCATCTCTCTCTCTATCCAGGTTTATGTTACATACAAGAAAGGGTCCTTTTTATTGCTCAGGTGCCCATGTCACACTTGACCAAAAGGAAAAAAACGGATCACAGGGGGTGTTCGCTTAAAGCGAGAGAGAGGGGAGGAGCCGCCAAACAAAAGTGCAGATAAAGGGTAAAAACTTGGGAGCGGGCCAGATCCGACGAGGACTGTAGGCTAGCCTGACCTTTGCAGGGTTGATTGTCCCCGGCCTAGCGTGGTATTGGACGGTCGATGAGGCCGCCGCCCGCCGCCGCCGTCGACGGTGGTGGTGGTGGTAGGGGCCAGCTAAGCAGAGCACAGGACGGTGGCATTTCGGCGGTGGGCTTGGTTTGGGGCCGTTCTAGGTGCGTTGGTGGCGTCTTGGGTACCGTATCTTGACAGGAGCTGCCGCTACGACTGCGACAGGCTGCTAATCCTCACAGTTGCTGTGCTGCTGCTGGCTCTTTGGGGGCCAAGGTGTGCGGCGGCTTTGAGCAGTTGGTTGTAAGCGGTGGTGCCAATCCGCTCTGCGTAAAGCCTTCCGGACGTGACTGTGACATTGCGCTGGTTACGGCTTCATGAATAGGCCATGAACCGGCTTTACGAGTAATTCATTGGCAATGTATACAACCACACAGCGGATGTTGGCAATGGCTGCTCTATTAAAACGGCTTCAGTACCCAGTTGTCGCCCCCGCCCTTATTCTTGCTTATTTGTTTCCCCCCTCCCCCGCCTGTCGCTTTACTGAGTGGACTCTACGCCTATTCTCCAGTGGTCATTGCTTTTCATCAGTGCTTTGGACGGACCACCACCAGTGCCACAGGTTGCTTTTTCTTCTCATTTCCCCAGCTGCTTGATAAAAGAGGACGGTTCAAAGCAATAGCATACGCCACGCGTGGAGACAAACAAAGGGAGCAGAGACAAGCAGGTAAAAATATAAATAACATACATCTGCATCCTGTTCCCCCCGATTGTGGCGATTGCTCATTGGAGTAGACCCAACAAAGAGAGACGCAGACGCCAATCACCACCACCGCCAAAATCGCAATCCCACTTGCACACCCTCCTACAGCGCAAAACTGCACCGCACACACCACCGACCACCATCCCACCTCCGAAAAACCCACCACTAAGCGCTGTGGCACCCTCCCAAAGCTTCCACCGACGCTGCAAGAGAAAAAAAAACAGGTGAAAAATCTCCACCAGCACCAACCCAGGCCATCTCTTACAGGGGGTTTCCCGCCTCGACCTGCCCAAGAAAAAAAAAATAATACGGACAAGGCTTTGGCCGCCGTGTGGTGCCCCTCCATCCTGCGTTTTTCACCAGCCCAGCCAACTCCGCACCACCCAAACTAGTGTTTTTTCGTTGGCCCCTCTATTATATTTACAGATTCTGCAAACCCTCCCCCCCGCCAAGACGGTCTTCTTCTTCACCTTGCAAACCCAAAACTCTCTCCTCCCAATACATCGCCATCGTCACCCCTCCTTCGCCCCTTTGGTCAGCCTTGCAACGGCCCCCCTCGGCTCACTAACGTGCAGATCGACAAACCAGGCTTGCCAATTGAACCTCTCAGCCCGCACCAAACAATCAATCGCCCATCGGCCCCTCGCTTTGACGATCCCGCCATCCCAGCTGCCTGCCCAACATGGCGGCCCATCCTACTCTCAAGGAGACGTACGCAGCCCGAGCTGCTACGGCCTCGCATCCCCTCAACCGCTATCTTTTCCAGCTCATGGACTTGAAGGCGTCTAACCTCTGTCTCAGCGCCGACGTCGCCACAGCACGCGAGCTGCTCTACTTTGCCGACAAGATTGGCCCCTACATTGTCGTTCTCAAGACACACCACGACATGATTGCCGGCTGGGACTTCCATCCCGAACACGGCACGGGTGCCAAGCTTGCCTCGCTCGCCAGACGACACGGATTCCTCATCTTTGAGGACCGCAAATTCGGCGACATTGGCAACACGGTCGAACTGCAATACACATCTGGCTCGGCCCGCATCATTGAATGGGCTCACATTGTCAACGTCAACATGGTCCCCGGCAAGGCCTCCGTCACCTCGCTAGCCGATGCTGCCAAGCGCTGGCTCGATCGCTACCCTTGCGAGGTTCGCACCTCTGTCACAGTTGGTACACCAACGATTGGCCACTTTGACACAGACGACGAGGACGAGGCGCCTGCTAAGAAGGAGGCCGAGATGGAAACTAGCGCCGACAATGCAGATGCACCGCACCCGCCTCCAAACCGTCGCGAAGACGGCCGTAAGGGCAGCATTGTCTCGGTCACAACAGTGACACAACGCTACGAGTCAGCCATGTCACCGCGCTTCAATAAGAGCATCAGCGAAGGCGACGAGGTGCTCTTCCCTGGCATCGATGAGGCCCCCATTGAGCGTGGTCTCTTGATCCTCGCCCAAATGTCCAGCAAGGGCAACTTTATGAACGCCGAATACACGGCTGCCTGTGTCGAGGCCGCCCGCGAACACAAGAGCTTTGTCATGGGCTTCATTTCACAAGAGGCCCTCAACACCCAGGCCGACGACGACTTTATCCACATGACGCCAGGCTGCCAGTTGCCTCCGGCCGGCGAAAAGGCCAACGGCGTCCTCGAGGGCGACGGCAAGGGCCAGCAGTACAACACGCCGCAGAAGCTTGTTGGCGAGATGGGCACCGATATTGCCATTGTTGGTCGTGGTATCCTCAAGGCCAGCGATCCTGTCGAAGAGGCCGAGCGCTATCGATCCGCTGCCTGGAAGGCCTACATTGAGCGCCTGAGGTAGTGTGGGCGTCCCCGAAAACCCTTGAAGTGCATACGGGCGCGCCGAGTGTTTGAAGTATGGATGTTGATATTGCTGTTGTTGTTAGTCGTCTTTTGGCGGACGGCGAGGATAAAAAGCATACCCGTTTTGGAGTCCCCGCAACGTTTTCCTTTTCCTTTCGGATCCCAGTTTGGTTTCTGTCGTATTTCGCGTGATGGATTTCTTTTGTCCATTTTTGGGGGAATATTCTTTTTGCATAACCGCCTTCATCTTCTTTCCCGAGATGAATTTCAGTGTCAGTCAACTATAACTTGCTTGGCTGACTACAAACATACCTACCTATCTACCTATTTGCCCGGCTTAGTCTTTTTTGGATCTATATGGCCTGTTGGGTCTGGCCTCTATTGCTGCGGTTACTTTCTTGATGCCGATACGAGTTTTTCTTATTACTGTCGATTCAAACAATGAATGCCTATGTGTTCCTCTTGTCCTTTTTTATTATTTCGGCTCGTCCTCTCACAATGTGCTTGAGATCTGTTGGCTGCTATAGTTGATAGTGTGTGTGCAGCTTGCATAATGGCGTTTTCCTGCTTTGCTGGGTTGTCTTACACGGAGCGCCTCTATCGAATCTCAGCGTTGTTTGTTTGATAAAACCTCTAGCTATATATTGTAATGATAGCTATTTGATCACTATTATTTCACAGTTCTTTTTTTTCCTTTTGGTGTGACTGCCGTGACTCCAAACGAGGCTATGGCCGTTTGTAATCTCCTCTTAAGCCCGGGTGTCGCCATTGGCTTGGTCACCAACGTCTGCCCCACTGCAACCGGCTTCGGACTTAATGCCGACAAAGTCCACCTGCAAGCTGATAATCTGCACAAACGCAATCCCCAACACAGTCTGATTTCAAATGCAAGACTGAATCTACAGACTACATCAACATTCAACATTATTCAGAATTAGCTTATATTCACAACAATAACAGAGGTTGGAGACACAGTAGCGACTGAACTAGCCCATCGGACTTTAGCCACCAAGCTTCCTCTCTCACCCATCACCATGGGCCAACTCTACAATCCAGAAGAGCAGCGGTCGCCGGTAGATTCTCGCCAAGCGCCTAGAAAGCGCAGACGAGTGGTGATTTCATGCACAGAGTGCCATCGCCGTAAACAAAAAGTACATATTCTCTATCCCTCCATTACCTGTCAGGAAGAACAAGAAGAAACATCACTAACAAGGTGGTTGCCTGCTAGTGCGATAGACGACTGCCTTGCGCAAACTGCGTAACGCGCGGTAAAGAACACAACTGTATCTACGAAGACGATGCACCGACAGCTAAAGCATCCCGACGCTCTCCGCTTCCTCTAGCATCGATCGAACGCAACGGCAACGATGAGCCTCGGGTGCCGTCACCAACTACAGCAGCAGCTGGCGCATCATTGGCATCCATGGCGGCGCAGCTAGGCTATGGACACTCTGGATCATCTACCATGGGTCTATTGAAGTCAATAGAGACAGCACCGAAAGAGTCGCCGGCTGGTGGCCAAACCCATGACCGTGTACCGTCGGCATTTGACGCTCACACGGCTGCCGTGCGGGACAAGTACAAGAGCCTGGTGCGGCAGCTGCCCTCCAAGATGTACATTGACAAGCTTGTGCGGATATATTTTGCCGAGATTAACGACATGTACAACTTTATCGACGAGGCGCCGTTTTACCAGCAACTGGCAGAGTGGAACAGGATGCCGTTTAGCACGCTGTCGTCGGCGACGGGCGGGCCTGGTGCTCTGACAGCCGACATGAAGGTGTTTCCGGCCATTTTGTTCCAGATGCTGGCGTGCGCAGTGCTGGTGCTGCCTGAGGAAGGGGATGTTGTGTTTGATGCGCTCAAGTACGCGGGTGAGATGACGTTTGAAGATCTAGCCAAGGACTACAGCGAGTCGGGCGTGGCGGTGGCCGCCCTCTTCGGCAAATCAAATGTGTGTGTTAACACAGTGCAAGCTGGGTTCCTGCGTTCACTGTTCCTTAAGTACATTGCCAACGTCACCGAGTGCTGGCATACGGTGTCCATTGCGATCCGTGATGCGCAGGAGATTGGCATGCATCGTGATAGCCTGGACCCCAAGCCCAAGGACGACAGTCTGGAGAGTCTGGTCGAGAATCAGTGGTACATCCAGCGGCGGCGAAAGATGTACATGATTCTTGTCACTTGGTGAGTTCTTCTTTGAGAACGATCTGATAGCAACTAACAGAGAGGAAAAGGGACATTAATATGGCGGTATTTCTGGGGCGACCAGACGGCGGCTCATGGACATCGACACTACCCTCACTACCTATTGACACGGCGGATCCTCAAGATAGCCGGTATACGCCGATTGTCGTGCGCGGCGAAGACTCACCGCCGTCGCTGTACACCAAGAACCTGTGGCTGTTCCGGCTAGCCCGGCCGATCAAGGAGATTCACGACCTAGAGAAGGAGGGCGTCCGCCCGCGCGAGTTTAGTAAAGTCGACGAGGTGCACCGGATGATTATGGATCTCGAAGAGCAAAAGCCCGCAGCGTTTCGCATGAAGAACCCAGATATGCGGTGGGATAATGATCCCAATTTGCAGTGGCTGAGCAGCACGCGGCCGTACTTTATGCAGATGCATTACTTTTCTTTGATGGCGCTGCATAGACCCTATGTGTTTCACCGCAAGGAGAGCAGGGCTGCGGCGCTGCAGGCGAGTTTGGAGATGTTGGAGGTGCAGCGCAGCACATTCAAGTATCTTGCGCCCTCGTCCTGGCGAAAGTGAGTTTCTTTCCTTCGGTTACAACATTAAGAGACATCTGCATTACTGACATGGTTTTGCTTCTAGTTTCAACCTCTTCTTTGGCAGCTTCGATGCCCTTGTCATGATTGCCTCGATATACATCATCTTCCCCCAGGAACACCCCGAGCTACGCGACAACGCGGTACAACACTTCCACTGGACCATGGAGCGCTACAACACCATGAAGGACCGTAACGCCATGGCGAACCAGGCACAGAATGTGCTTGCAGCGATTCAGGCTCGCTTTGTGTACGCCATGGGCACACACACCCCGTCGCTGGCATCGCCAGCTGCGTCTTCTACCCGTGAACCATCTCTCATGTCGGCCTTGTCGCACCCTACACCAGACAGCTCTGTTTCGGTTAGTAGCAGCACAAACGGTAATCATGTCGCCGCATCGTCATCTCTACGGGGTTCCTATATTCCTGAAGCAACGCCCACTACCGCGCAGCAGTGGGATATGTGGGCGAGCAATAACCTGGCGTCCATGGCACCGACGTATCCGACAACAGACTTGCTGTACAACGACTTGATGGTTATGAAGGATACACAATTCCCAGAGGCCCCGCAGGACAATCTGCAATTTGGGGGTGATTTTGAAGAGAACACATTTTGGCAGTTTTTGAATCAACTGCCGTCTGGCACAGGCGACAATGGGAATGCAGCGCCCTTTATGTCTTGAGTGGCGACGTCTGCCATTGTGGTGTCTATGATGAAGACGGGTATAAAAATGTATAGGTCCCTATGCTGCTTACGGCGTGTGATATAAAAATGGCACATGATTATCCATGAAATTGGGATATATTGGATATGAATGAATATCATTTGGTAATTTGCTAAGCAAGGCTTTTGAGCGGCGGTGGCTGGACGGTGCCTGCATAATACATGCATCGCCAGCGCTTACAAGTGCCGGTGGGAGATTGGCAGAGCAAGGCTGTAGTGCAGTTCAGTGCCATTCTTGGCGAACGCACTGAAGGAATGATGTGCTTTAGCGCTGGTGGCGATGGCAACTAGTGTCGCGTGCGCTGTAAGAAGCTGGACACGCTCCCAGTAAATTATTGGATGGCACTGCTCTCTGGTATATTGCACCTCTCTAATATAATACCTGCACTTGTGGGTATAATTACTGGACAGCCTGTTTCTTTTTTACTTGTGAACGCCTGCAGATCCAATGTGACAGGTCTTGTGGCGGCCTGGCGCTTAGGGGGGTGGTGGCCGCGGCCTACAATGGGGGAACACCTGTAAATTAGCAGCATGTAACAAACCGTTGCAACGGGCGCACATGCTGTATGTCTCAATGACAGACATGGCATGTTGACTCTAAGACGATCTGCGAACCCCTGAACTCCATTTCTTTAGAGAAATCGTGTCCCTTGTGCAGCAGGCAAACAAACTACAGCGAGTGTATTTTTAGCAGGAATGCTTCGGTCCAGCAAACAAAAGGCCCGAGAGCAAAGCAGGATAGAGTTCAGGCTTAGTGCCAGTCGCCGAGTCATGATTGGCTCCCCGTGTTGAAATCTGCGGGGTGGGGACGTGATGGCGCTTGCGGTAAAAGGAGAGGACGTGACACAGTGCGCACAGTGCAGATTGACGAATGCAGTAGTAGTCGTCGCCTCAACGATTTGAGCGTCCGGGCGCACGATGCCTACTGACACGCGCAATGAAAAGGCGATTCGCCAAAGAGGTAAAAATGGACTGAGTAATAGAGACAAATAAGAAGAGGGTGGCTTCACCGCTACCAATGACTCTTTTAAGGTGCTGGTTGGGTTCCCATATGCACGGTCATTCTCATCATGCATCGCATCCAATACATACAACTAGTCCCTAGTATTACGCTGCAGGCCCTGCAGGAGCACACCTGAGGTGGCGCTCCAATCGCCCTGTACTTTGTAGCTAAACCCTGGAGCCCCCCTGCGCACCCACCCACAGAGCGCTGAGCCGTCCCACCCTCCATTGTTTTAGTGAATGCTTGGTTAGTGCCTGTGCGCAACGCCGTTTCGTTTCGGCACACAGTGCGAAGCGCGCCCCCCAGAAGACTAAACCACCAACTCCTATGTTTCCTTCGTCTTCCGGAAAAAAAAAGTGACGGAACAGACAGGCGACCAACGCTGAAAAGGCAAAATCGCAAATCCTTTCGGTTCTTCTTGCTTCTTCTTTCTTTCTTCACCGTTTCGCAAAAGGACCATCCCAACTGGTAAAAGATTAAAATATTCGCTTCTTCATCGCCTGCTGCCCATCTTGCGCACAAGCACCTGTATTCTTTCCATCCTATTCTCCTGCTCTTTTTTAATTTATTTTAATTTTTGCTAAGAGCCTTCTTGCCTTGCGCCCAGCCAAACATTTGCTCGCCCGCCGTGCAAAATCGCTGCCCGCACGCAGCCCACCAATCAACCCACCAGCAAGCTAACTGCTGGCTGCAAGGATTTACGCGCCCGCCGCAACCACTCACCAACACCTCACATCCATTCAAACGCTGCAACAACGAACTCCCAGCGCCGCATTACTTAGCCGCCGAACACCGTTTCGTTCTTTTTTGTCGCTTCGTCGCAATTATAAATTACAAATAGCCAGCTGCCGCCCCCAGCGCCCCAATATCCGCCCATACCATGAATCCCCCGGATTCCTTTCGAGATCTCTCTTCGACCCAACAGTCTGCCTGGAACTCGTCGCCCAACCTGTCCAACGGAAACGGCACGCCCTCGACTAAACACCATAGCACTTTCCAGTCTCCTGCCCAGACCCATACGATGCCCGCTAGAACCGATTCCTTCAAGAGCGACAATGCCGTCGGCTCCTCGCCGGCTTCCAAGTCCAAGCAGCAAAAGCAGTCCCAGCAGCAGCAGGCCGCCGCGCCACAGCATGATGCCCAGCTCCTTACATTTGTCGGACGTTACCGTGATCTTCAGACACATCGTGATACTCTAGATGATCTTACCAAGGTATGTCTCTCGCCTAGCACACACACCGTTGTTCCCCCGCCCGTCTCACCACCAGCGCCCGCTGTGTCACACCGTCAATTCTTTTTCGCCTTGTGCGCAACGCATCATCGCTAACCGCTTTTGTCTTGTAGGATGTCCTAGTATATTGCCAAACTATACAAACCAATCTTCAAGCCGAAATCGACCGTATTGCCAACCAGCTTCATGTTAGCCAGCTCGACCTCGTAGATGCTACCGCCTCGCGAAGGGATCTGCAACAGCGTCTGCAAACAGCCGAGTCTCATGTCGATTGGATGGTTACAGAAAACGCTACCTTTAAGGTAAGATGCGATGATCGCCTCTTTTTTGCCCTTGGTTTCCCCATTGGGTATCATTTTTTTTTACGGTTGTGCTAACGGAGTGTCTTGCAGAGTCGCAATCAATATGTCGTAGTCCTGATTGACGGTGATAATCTTGTCGTACGCCCCCCTCTCCCACCTTTGACACTGTCTTCCATTGTCGCATACTAACAAACGCCCGCCAGTTCCAAGAAAAATGGCTTAAGCAAGGTCTCGAGGGCGGTAAAAAAGCTGCCCTTAACCTCCGCGCTGCGATTGAAGAGCAGCTCGGCGCCGATTCTGGAGAAGTCGAAATTATTGCAAAGGTTATTGCCAACCAGGCTAGTCTGTTCAAGGCTCTTAAGGGGGCCGGTAGCCTGGATAATGCCGCTGACCTAAGAGAATTTATGCTTGGATTTAATCAGGCTCGTGCCACCTTTGATTTTATCGATGTTGGTGGTGGTAAAGGCCGTGTAGAGTCGCAAATTAAGGGTGAGTTCCCCCGTCGCCAGTAAAGGACGACGGCATTGGCTAACAGAGGATGGCAGAAATTGCTCGCTGGCACGTCAAAAACTATAACTGCAGACACGTCGCCATTGGTATTTCGCCCGATACTCGATACGCACCCTTTATCCAAGAACTTGTTGCGGACGAGAGCATTAGACAGCGCCTGAGCATTATCGAGGGTGTTCCTCTGCCCAGTACATTTGTCGCCGCTGGCCTCAGCGTCGTCAAGCTAGAAAGAGACCTGTTCCGCACCGAAAAGTTGACAGACCGCCCGTCGCCCATTGCCGCCCCGGCCGTTCCAGCCAAGAACGCTGCTGCTGCTGCCGCCACTGCTTCTGCGACTGCTGGTACCCCAGCTGCCCGTACGATAAGTCCCGAAACGAGTGCCAACGGCTCGACGGGCCCCGTGTCTTGGGCCAACGTGACGTCGACTGGTACACCTCCTCCTCCGCCACCTCAAATCACGCTTCCCCTTGCTGCATTCAACAGCAAGCAGCAGACGCGCGCCAAGGAGAAGCACGACAAGGCAGCCCAGCAGGCGTTGCAAGATAAGGGCGGCGAAAAGGCTGTGTACCAAAAAGTTCCTCCTGAGCAGCCCAAGGACTGGACGCCTGGCGAGCGCGGCCTCGACGAGCCTATTCTTGTCAACGTCCACGTCTACGAGACCGTCAAGAAGCGCAAGGAGTCGGATAAGCTGTGCAATAACCATTTCCTTCGCGGTCCCTGCGCCAAGGGCGAAGCCTGCTTCTTTGTGCACGACTACAAGCCCACTGACGACGAGCTCAATGCCATTGCGGTCCTTGCTCGCCAGAACCCTTGCACGCTTGGCCAGTACTGTGAAAACGACGACTGTATTTACGGTCACCACGTATGTTTTCTTTTTCTCTCCTATGATCCATCTTAGCTAACAATTTTTGCAGTGCCCTAGTGTTCGTGATGGTGTTTGCGTTCACCCATTCTGCCGCTTCGACGAGGACCAGCACCCGCCCAACACCAAGTTCTCCAAGACTCGCTAGGAGTATTCTTGAAGCAAGCAAGTGAAGAAAAGCAAAGTGTTGGCTTGTCTGTGCTGTGCTGCGGCGGACTCCCCCGTACGAGATATGCTGGACGACGAAAGAATATCACCCCAAAACTATAACTGAACAATTAAGAGAGAAGCTACGCCAAAGAAGGACGCCAATCCTATTATAGGAACAACCAAGGATTGCGGGCCGTCTCTTTGAGCGAACCCTTTTCGCCACTTTATAAGTTGCCGTTCTGTCTTTTTCAGAATGCGCTTTCTTGTCTCTTCGTTGCGTTCTATGGTATAGATCGCCCCCCTTTTTTTTCTGTCCCATTTTTTACTCGCTTCTTCTTTCGACGTTTATCTTGTAACCGAACTTTTGAATGTCTTTTGGTTGGTCTTGGTTGATGCCGCGCTGCAGGAGACGGTGCTCCATGGTTTTGGTTTCTGTATTTCGCTAAAGTACCAGGGAAGAGGGGACGTGTAGTATTACTTTTGATAACGAGATTGCAACTGTATTTGACTGAATCTAGTTGTGTTATGCTACTGCTTCTACTACTGCTGTTGTTCCTACTAGTGCTTCGCATGTGTCCAGTAATGTTCCGTGTTTGCCAGCAGCCGACACCCACATGAGCTTTGCCTCGAGGAAGAAGTGGTTGCCAGCTGGCCTGCCAAACTAAACTAAACAACCTGCATAATAATGTATTGCTTTGCTTGTATTGCTTTCTTCCCCTCTCTCTCACACACCTCGCTTACGCATATTGACTAATTACACAGGCTGCTCGCTAGGACCCAAGTCTAGGCTCGTGATAAACACCAAGAATTCATTGGTTCGACTACACTCTGCCGCTACAAAAGAACCTGCCGGCCATACTTCTTAGCGGCGCGGCGCAGCATCCACCACCACCACCCATGATGCAGAGCACAAGCCGTCTAGCCCTTTGGGTTTCCCATCACGCAATGGCAATTGGTCTTTTGCAAGGGTCCACCCCCGCAGAGCAGAGCAGGCGATAAAACATACCAAAATGGTTAATGCGGCGACTGGCGGTGCGCCCCCCATCGCACAACACCTTATCGGGCCTGGTGGTGGCTTGCCGCAGAATATAGCGTTGTATTTAGTGTTTTAACGGTGCGCCGCACCCTTGGCGGTTCACTCCATGCAACAGCAAGTAAGTCTATCGGGTCCCCGCAGATGCACGCGCCCAGAAATAGCTCTGTGAGGGGGCCAAAGCAGAGGGAGGAGGGGTCCCTAATGGCAAATTCCGTTGGAAGCTCTAGAGGCATAAGGCTATTGATTGGTACGCACCCCAAAGACGTCGACTTGACCAAGGGCCTAGGCGTGGTCGATGGCCGCTTAGCCTTTATTTTTCGGCGTCCACCTTCCCGATTCGATCTAATATGCCACCGCTGGGACCAACATTGCGACGACACTATTCAGAGCTATTGACAATGGCAATCACGCCAAGCAGAAACGAGCTCGCCAACGTTGGAGAAGTAGGAGAATGGCGACTGTTTGGAGAAAGCGCCGTTGTCGGGCGAGCTAAAGGTGCAAGAGGGTATTAGTGAGTGACTCTGGGCGCGAGTATTTAAGAGCTCGAGAGCCGCTGCGTTTCTCAAGTGTTGTGTAAACCAGCTCTCCTTGCCCTTTTCTATATCCCCTACGTACACACATCATACAACTCTCACCAGCCTCTCATCATCATGTACTTTTCCAAGCTTGCCGTCCTGGCAGCAGCCATCTTCCCTCTGGCCAATGCGGCTCAACCTGCTGCAGGCGACATTGTCCCGGACCAGTACATTGTCATGCTCAAGCCCGGCACCAGTGCCTCTGATCGCCAGAGTCATTTGGACTGGTTGGCAACTCTGGCTCCTTATGGTATTGAGCGCACCTTTGGCGGTCACTACAACTTTAACGCCTACTCGGGCAGCTTCTCCCGTGCTATTGTTGACCGCATCTCCGCCGACCCTCGAGTAAGTTATCCGTCGCCTTGATGGATATGTAACGAAAGCGTACATGGTGGCTAACTATTGATGAACAGGTTGCCCTCGTTGAGCCCGACCGCGTCTGGACCCTCGAGACTGTTGAAGAGCCTCTGCAGAAGCGCGATATCAACACCCAGTCCAACGCTCCCTGGGGCCTAGGCACCGTGTCCCATCGCCAGCCTGGATCTACCGACTATGTGTACGACTCCAATGCCGGCGAGGGCACCTTTGCCTACGTTGTCGACAGTGGCATTCGCACCAGTCACGTCGAGTTTGAGGGCCGTGCTGTCAACGCCTTCTCCGTTCTTCCTGGCGTCTACCTCGACCTGATCGGCCACGGTACCCACGTTGCCGGCACCATTGGCAGCAGAGCCTACGGTGTTGCCAAGAAGGCCACCCTTGTCAACGTCAAGGTCTTTATTGCTCCCACCACCACCACCGCCATGATCATGAGCGGCTTCGACTTTGCCGTCAACGACATTGTTTCCAAGAACCGCACCAGTGTGTCCGCCATCAACATGTCTCTTGGTGGCGACTACTCCGAGGCTTTCAACACCGCTGTCGAGGAGGCTTCCAAGAAGGGTGTCATCTCTGTCGTCGCGGCCGGCAATGATGCCAAGGACGCCCAGAATGTGTCTCCTGCTTCTGCCCCCAGTGCCATCACCGTCGGTGCTACCGACATCAAGTGGAACATTGCCACCTACTCCAACTTTGGCAAGGTCCTCGACATCTTTGCCCCCGGCACCAACATCCTGTCCTGCTGGTTCCGCACCGACACCGACACCAACACCATCTCTGGTACCTCCATGGCCACTCCTCACACCGTTGGTCTTGCTCTGTACGCCATGTCTGTCCATGGTATCCACGGTGTCGAGGCCGTGGCCAAGTTTTTGACTGGTTCTGCCACCAAGAACGGCGTCCAGGGCGCCATCCACGACTCTCCCAACCTGCTTGGCAACAACAACAACAACGTCTCCAACTAGACGCTGTCGAGCATGCTTTACTACTATTTACTGTATATATCTCCTTTTTTTCTTTATTCATACCACAATATATAAATATATATCAGTGTTTGGTTCCCATTGTGTCGTATCCAGTATTAGTGTAGAGGCACCGCTTACACGCCGCATCTTTCGTGTTGTAACCCATGGTGTTCAAAATAATACCACATAAATCGTCCATAAATCAAAACAAATATTATAATATCCTGTATTCATTTTTCTTATACCAATTCCCCATATTAGCAAACTTTCTCATATCACCCCTCACCCACACACGACCACATACAGTCCACTCCATTTTTGGTGGCAGAGCCCCACCCCCACCTCCAAACGCAAGGCGAAAAATCACCAAATCCACTTTCCAAACCGCCAGAGGCCAACATCGCCAGCCAACGACCCCTCCTCCCCTCTCCCTCTCCCTCTCTCTCCATCCCCCGTCGCCACCAACCGCCACTCCTTCCGCTTCTTCTCCGTCTTCCACCATGTCTCATCCACGCATAGAAGAAGTGTCCGACTCGGACCCCGACATGGTCTCCGACCCCGAGGAGATGGACCTCGACGACTTCGCCGAGACCGACATCATGCGCCGCATTGACACGAAGCCCTCTGCCGACTCGGACTCCGACGAAGATGACGACGACGACCCTGCCTCCTCCTCCACCAAGCCATCACAGCTCGACGCCATTGCCCGCGCCCAAGCCCAGCAGCAGGCGATGCTCAACCCGCCCACCATCAAGCCCACACAAGACGACCGCGCCGTCTACGCCAAGTTCCAGTGCTTGTACCCCGTGTACTTTGACGCCTCCCGTTCACGAGCCGAGGGCCGCCGCGTATCGTCCGGCCTGGCTGTCAAGAACCCGCTCGCCCGCGAGATTGCCAACGCATGCTCGCGGCTGCGTCTGCAGACGGTGCTCGAGCCCGAGAAGACGCACCCCAAGGACTGGTCCAACCCGGGCCGCGTCAAGGTTAACCTGCGCGGGGCCTCGGGCAACGCCATCACCAACAAGCACCACCTGTACCTGCTTATCGCGAAGCATCTTGCCGAGAACCCGACCACGGACAAGAGCCAGGGCCTGCGTGTGCGCATGGGCGGCCAGATCCATCCGCCAGAGGGCGAGCCGTACCCGAAGCCCGCGGTGCCGCGGGGCTGGAAGATGAACGAGTACGTACCGTATCTGAGTGCGGCCATGACAGGTGGCGGCGTCTCGGAGAACTTGTTCAAGGATATCATGGGCGCTATGCAGGGCGGTGGCGATCCCATGGCTGCCTTGATGGCTGCACAGCAGGGCGGAGGTCTTCCTGGTGCTGGAGGACCGGCTCCGGCAGCATTAGATGACGGCAAGAAGAAGAAGGATAAGAAGAAGAAATAAACGGAGGTACTCGGCAGCATCTGTTTGAAGGGGGGGGAAATGTTTTGTTACTTTGCATGGTGTGGGAACAAAAAATACGAATGATGGTTAGTTTGTTGTAAATGAAATGATAGGCGACACCAGAGCTCTGGGAATCAATACAATGAATGAATACATAAAGTACTACTACTGTTTTCTTGGTGGTTCACTAGGAAGAAATGCTTGGTAAAGTTTGATGGTCATGGTAAAGACGATGTGAATTACAATTATCTTTTTCTATAGAGTGTCTTTTTTTATGTGCATATAATACTGTCCGGTGAGGGAAAGGGAGGATGATATCTTCTTGTACACGCTAAACAACACAAAAAGAAACAAAGGAGACGGAAGAGGTTATGGTTTTAAATGGCCGCTGCAAGTCGGCTGCTCTGCAATGCTTCCCATTCTCTCGAGCCAACCACTTGGACGTGCCCGCGACGCTGGCCAACCTTTTGGGTGACATCGCCAGGAAGACGGATTTGTAGACGCGCGGCAACAGGTCCAGGCTTGCGTCGCTCGCCATCAGTAGGAGTAGTAGCGGGTACTGTAGAGCGTAGCGAGTGGGATTTGCGCATGACAGACGCATTCCAGCTCTTCCATGCGGCATAGTCTTCGTTGAGCTTGGCTGCTTGGAACTGCGGCGTCGTCTTGGCTGGGCGCCACGAGAGTCGGTCAGCAGGCAGTGAGGCAAGATCGAACACGCTGGAAGCAGCGGCCATCTTGACAAGTTCGCCCAAGACGTCCTTGCCCTCGGCGACGAGAAGAGCCTTGCGCTGCTCCACCACGCTGGCGGGCTTCTTGAGCGGCTCGGCAAGCCAGTGGTGCTTCTGCTGCTCGGGGAGTCGTGCACGGCGGTTGTCTTCGCGGAGATAACGTACCGCAGACTGGAGACTCTCAATGTCCTTCTTGAGAGCTTCCATCTCTCGTGCGGTAGCCACGGCACGTTCCTTGCCAGCCTTCATGCCCGCAGCATCAGCTCCATCGGCAAAGGCTCGGCTGTCACTGGCCACCTTCTTCCACTTGTCACGCTCCAGCTCGAGTGACTTGAGCTCGCGATCTTGCTTCTCAATGTCCTCCTTAAGACTGGTGACTTGCTGGTCTGCCGAGTCAAGTTGTGTCGACAGGTTCTCAATCTTTTCAATGTTGGCTTGGGCATCGCGCATTCTCGATTCAAGAGTCTCAATCTTGAGAACCGCTGTGCTAAGATGCTCGTCTCGCTGAGTAATGGTGCGGCGAGCCTCGCTGTATTCGTCCTTGACCTTGCGTAGCTCCTCTTCGGCGTCTACAGGGACAGTCTTCATGGTCTTGAGGTCTTGAGAACGCAGCTTCCATGGCGCAGGGCTGACGTCGAATTCTTGTGTCTGCTCCAGGTCGCTCGACAACCCTACCAAGTCTGTAATCTCCGTGGTGACCGTACGAAGCTTCGACAGATACGTTGAGAAGATGTCCGATTCGCTCATGGAAGTAGCATCCAGCACAGCTTGGTGGATCGTGTTTTGGATGTCTGTGTAGCTAAACGGTTCAGTGCGTCCCTCGTCTTGGGTCAGGAAAGCGTGCAGAGCGCTACCAATCTTGCGAGATAGCGCGGCAACGTCAGCGCCGTCCGCCTCTGCCTGCTCAAAGAAGCTCTTGGTCTGTGGTGACAGAGACAATGAGCGAGTCTTCAAGTCTTCCACAGCACGGACCGTCTTGCCTGCAATAACCTTGGTGCTTCTTGTTTGCATAATGACGTTCTCAAGAGTTCGGGACACAAGCTGCGCCATTTCGTCATCAGCCTCTTCGGGCTTCACGGCGCGCTCAACCAGAGCTCGGATGGTAGTGACAGAAATGGCTGCTGAGTCCAGATGGGATTGAATCATGACGGCCTTCATGTACAGCTCACCAGCCAGACCAGCAGTATCCTCGGGCAAGTGAACCTCGGCGAGGTGTGACATGAGTGCAATGGTGCGTTGCAATTCTTCGGCGCAGGTCTTCTCCTTGAGTTCGTCTCTTCGCAAGCCGTCAATCCAGCCATTGAGCGCTCGCTCGACAGGCTCGAGTTCGTGCAGTGCATTTTGATACTTTGCAAACTGTTCAATCGAACAATGGCTGATGTCGTCTACGAAGCGCTCGCAGATGGTGGCCACCCAGACCAACTTATCAACAGCATCACAGCCAGCAAAGATATCATCTTCGTGTCCAGGCTGAGGTTGGCTGCTAAGACGATCTTTGATAAATCCATTCAGCAGGTTGGCCTTGAAGGCAATGCGGCGGAATCGGAGCAGCGTAAGAACAGAGCCCTGCTCTTCCAGATATGTTTCCGGCAGGAACAGCTTGAGAATCTCCAGGTGCTGTTCAGCCTCTTGTGCCTCCAGTCGTCGCATTTCCAGATCAATCGTCTTGACCTGGGCCTTGGCAGCCGAGATCTGGAGCTTCATGTTCAGATCCATCATCGCTCTCGATCGGTCGTTGAGCTTCTCCGATTCACCTTCCGTAACAGCTTGTGAAGCACGCATATCATCCAGATCCGTCTGCAGGTTGGAAACTAGGTCTCGGAATCGAGACAAGGTATACTCCATGTCCTCCAGGTTCTCTTCCTGCTGTGCGGCCCTGCGCATACTCTCTGAAATCAAGTTGTCTCTGAAGTCAAGTTCCTCCTGCAGTTCCTTCTCGTTTTGTACATGGTTGATTTCTAATTCGTCATTAATCTCCTTCAGGCTTTCGAGATCTTCGATGATGGCCTTGAGCTCCTCCATCTTCTCAGAAAGACTCATATTGCGTTCGGTGAGATCTTCAATCATATCCTCTGCACCAAGCGCAGTTTCGAGTTGCTGTCGTAGGTCCTCAACGGCTGCTTCCGAAGTTTGTAGCTTGTCCTTTGTCGTCTCATGTTCTTCTTTGACAACTGCAAATTCTTTGACGTCTTCTTCCAAGCTCGTTATTTGATCCTTGAGCTCTTCTTCTTGAGCCTCCGTGATGTCGCGAAGTCGGATTAGAGCCTCTCGTAGTCTGTCATTTGTTCGTTCCATCTGCAGCCAACCCGTGCTAGCACGTTCTTCAGCAGACATTCCCTTGCTGAACTCGGAATTTTCCTCTCTCAAAACCTCGTTTTCTAATTCCAACTCCTCCGATTTTTGCTTCAACGCATCGATTTCGACTTTGAGTACTTCAGCAGTCTCCTCGGCCATCTCACGATCCAACGTAGCAAGTTCAAGCATGGTATCATGGTCAGCTTGCATAGCTTCCACAGACTCAAAGCGTGTAGCGGCCTCCTTGAGCTGCTTGCGAAGCTCTGTAAGCTCTTCTTGCTGTGGCTGATACTTTTGTTGCAGCTTTTGAATAATTGTTTCGAACTTGTCTCGCTCTTCTTGAATCTTCTCTAATAATTTGAGTTTATCTCGGTCTTCTAATCTCTTTCGCTCCAGGACTTTGAGTTTCGTCTTCAAATCCTCGATTTCGCGATTCGAGACGCTCATAGAACTAGAGCGAGATGCTGTTGGGCCAGAGACAGATCTGGGGAGTGGTACGGGTGCAGGTTCGCTAGCAGCGAGAGCTTGTGATATGGCTGATGGAGGCGCGGCGGCAGCGAGCTTCTCCAAAGTTGCGGTTCGTTCGGCGATCGGGCTTTTTGGTTGTGGTGAAAGGATCTCCTTGTCTTGTTTCATAGGGGATTCTGCTCGAGCTGGTGTACTGTTACCGGTACCAGCTTGTGAGTCTGCAGACGGTCGTCTAAGGCCCATGACTGGAGTCCGACCACTCGCACTCCTAGTATGTGAGATACTGCCTCTTGAGGCAACTGAGGATATCGAAGCTTGTCGTCGCGATGCGGGTACAGCAGGAGGTGGCATGGATGTTCGCTGTGCAGTTATTGAGGTTCGAGTGCGTGCGCCGGCCGAAGGTACTCTAGCAGCATTAGATGGCGTGCCAGTTCTTGAAGCAGTTGTGCTGGATGCTGCGCTTAGAGGTTTGGTCGGGGATTTTGCAGGGGACTAGGAGCCTAAGGTTAGCTTTTAAATAATTCCTAAGCATCTGATGGGCATCATACTCTTGCTATGCTCGAAATACTAGCTTGCCGTGTCTTGGGAACTGGGCTTGGGCTAGGGGCGTTCAAGCTTCGGCGTTTGCTGAGCGCCGGATCGGCAACAGCTTTTGTTGCTCCGGGATTGAAGCTCATGGGTCGTGCTGTTGCTTTCTTCACAGCTGAAGCCCTAGCAGGTGCTGCCGGCTGCGCAATAATGGTAGCCATCATGGGTTTGACAAACATGCCATAGCCCGCTGGGCAATCAAAGTAGCGTTGACCCTGAACACTGCCATCATTCTTTCCCGTCTTCTCGTCGAGCTCTACGCCGATCCATTCGCCGACCTGGAAGCTGGTTTGTCCAGCAAATCGTACGGTAGCCTTGCGTCCATCGTTGAGGAGCACCGTTTGGCCGGTTTTAAAGTCGGGCATTATGAGCGGCGCAGGTCGCAAGCGAGCATCGTGAAGCTCTAAGGTGCCGTGTTGCTTGTCTCACGGGAAGCTAGTATGCAGTGCTCAATCGAGGTCGCAATTCTAGAAGAGTGACTGTTGAATACAGATTGTACCGGGCAGTACGGCGGCCTCGTGCACTGTAAATTTGGTGATGTTCTGTGCTGTGAGAGAACAAAGTGTTCCAACTCTTTATGTCATTGGACGCGTTCCACGCTAAGGAAACGCGGCATTGGCTGTACAGTGTAGCCCCTGGTGGTCGCTCAAAGAGGAAGTGGGCCTGAGTTGTAAGGCAACAAAACAGACCATACGGTTGGATAGGTTGTAGCCCAAACGCAGCCTTTTCGCTTTAATTTAATGTTAAATTTCAAATTATTGTATTAACAATTAAATATAGTTACAATATGAGGCCTTACTGTCTGTTAATGTTCGAAGCGTCGCGACTACAGATATATGAAAGCGGATCACTACGCTTATTGAGCTCTCTGCAATAAGTTGAAGAACAAGATGTTGTTTTTATGTGCAGGTAAAATAATAAAAGTCATTCATAAATTCAGATTCCTCTATATTATAATTCTTTAAAGACTTCAAGCTTATAAAATGACATTGACCGTCGATCCCTCATAGCTCATCGTCAGAGTCTGTGTCCTCTGCCGCAGTTTTTGGTGGTGCAGTTGTTTTCCGATTTATGAATGGCAATTCGCGCTTTGGCGGCGGTGCTGAGGGTGTCTTCTTTGCCGTTTCTACTGGCTGTGGCTCTGGTATGGTGGCCAAAGGAACACCGTCCTTCATTTCTTCGTCCTCGTCTCCGCTGGCGGTTGATGCCGTTCGCTCCGTTGTGTTGCCATCATCATCCGAGTCTTGCGGCTCAGACTTGATGGCCGGTATAGCAGCAGATTCCTGTTCCTCATCTTCGCTCTCAACTTCCTTGGTTGTAGCCCTTCGGGTCCTAATGCCAGCCCGTGTTGGGGCTTTCCTCTTCGCTGGGCGGGACTTCTTGGGTTCAGCGCTTGACGACACCGTTGTTTCTTCAGTCTGTTCAGGAATGGTAGGTGGGGGCCCAGGTTTTAAAGTGCCATCAGCCATGATTGTCAGTTGTTCTCGTATTTTTGCTTTCTTCTCGTTCAATACATCGCGGAACTTTTGTAGCATGATTGCTTCATCGGTTTCTTTAGCCTGGATGAGTTCACGAAGCTGGCGTTTGAGGTCGTCAACCACATTCTCAAGTTCTGTCAGCTTTGTCGTAGCCTCTGAAGCTTCAGCTTTGGTAGTTGACACTTTTTCGGCGGTATTTCCACACCACTCAAAAAGCTCAATGGCTTCTTCTGGTTCGTAGTTGAGCATAATGGCACCGAGTCGTTGCTTCAAGAGATTAGGCGCTGTACTTCATGTATTGGATCTGCCAGGGGACTTACTGAAATGCCTTGCACCTGTTTTCGAATAGTAATTGTAACTGTTGACTCGCTTTGAACTGCCGCTGTAGCGTGTATGTCTGGCGTGGGAAGCTGACTGAAAATGTTCTGTAGGATAGCTAGCCACTCGTCATCACTAATGGTAGCGTTCTTTGCCTTGAGGGCAACAGCCTTATCATGTTTAACTAAGAATTGTTAACAATAGCATTTCTCGCAATCTCAGCCGTAGATATCAACGTACTGGTTGCAACATAAGGCGCTTCTCCTTCTGTCCCGACAAGCTTAAGATCTAAAGCCTTTGCGCCAATCGACTTGAGATGAAGCAGGATGAACAATTGTTTGTCTTCATCCTGCGCAATTCTGAGTACACTATTCGATGCTGCCATATTAAATGCCGATTCAAGAAACTGGCGTGAGTTGCGGAACTTGTGAAGCTGCGACAAGACTGTGGTAGGAAGAGGCTACTTTAAATGTTCACGTCGTGGTTTAGGCTGCAGCGCCCAACGGCCAACTACCTCAAGCCCCGCCGAGCCGCTAACGACCCTTCACGATTTCTCTGCTAGCTGTTGGCAGAGTGAAATGTAACTGTGGGAATTGAAATACGAAATAACTTTACGAGGTGATTATGGTCATAGTTAGCTTTTTACATTATTGTTGGTTGCATATCTCTCCTTATAACGTAACCTCTGGAGGCCATCCTGTACAGTACTGCGGGTGAGCATGTGTTGTGAGAGGAAGCTCGTAAAAGGCTACGCCAAACTTACGAATATAGAATTTTTCAGTTATTCAATACGCTTAATACATTAATAATACATATTTAAAAACATAAAAATATTTACCAAAATATTTAATATGGTTAAATTGGTTGATTGTTTGTGGTTCGACAATGTCAGTTCTCCATGTAGGGTACCGGCTTAATTCCAAATAGCCACTCCACCTTACGCTATGGTGTGATGTCAAGCGTTCCGTCGTTCCGGTGTCGCCACTGCACTTCTTCAGGGACAGATGAACGTCATCAAAATCTGTCTTTCAATTCACTCATTAAAAGAGAAGAAATAATCAACTCGAAGGGATTATCTTCTTCGTTGAAACACTTTATGCTGTCAAGACTCCGCGCACAGCGAGCCTTGAACGCTTTCAGCCGATCCATCATGTCGTCCTCTCAGGCTCGGCAATCGCCATACACTGGCTCAACGATGCAAGATTTACCCAAGTCTTGGAGGTTTACTGAGGCCCTTCCACATGACCCCAAATTCCCAACACCAGCAGACTCTCACAAGACACCACGCGACGAGATCACGCCTCGCCATGTCCAAAAAGCGCTCTTTACTTGGGTTCGGCCCGAGACTCAGGAAGAACCAGAGCTCCTAGCCACGAGCGCTGCGTCACTTAGAGACCTTGGTATTAAAGCTGGAGAAGAGAAAACAGAGGACTTTCGCCAATTTGTCGCCGGTAACAAACTCTATGGCTGGGACGAGGACAAGTTGGAAGGGGGCTACCCATGGGCGCAATGCTACGGTGGCTACCAGTTTGGTCAATGGGCTGGGCAACTTGGTGATGGCCGAGCAATCTCTCTCTTTGAAACGACTAACAAGGAGACTGGAATTCGCTATGAGCTTCAGTTGAAGGGCGCCGGTATGACGCCTTATTCCCGTTTTGCTGATGGCAAGGCTGTTTTGCGCTCCAGCATTCGCGAGTTTGTTGTCTCTGAAGCTCTGAATGCGTTGGGAATCAAAACCACGCGCGCGCTTTCCTTGACGCTGCTACCAAAGTCCAAAGTTTTCAGGGAGGGTCTAGAGCCAGGTGCCATAGTGCTGAGATATGCTCAGTCTTGGTTGCGTCTAGGCACGTTTGATCTGCTTCGCGCACGAGGAGACCGACAGCTTATCCGAGAGCTTTCCACCTATGTTGCTGAGGACGTATTTGATGGATGGGACAAGCTTCCTGGCAGGTTAGAGGCTCCAGAATCTGATCAATATGTTGAAGAACCACGACGTGGAGTAGCAGCAGATGCGCTCGAAGGGCCTGTTGAAACAGTCGAAAACAGATTTACTCGCCTTTATCGCGAAATTGTGAGAAGAAATGCAGCTACGGTCGCGCATTGGCAGGCATACGGGTTTATGAATGGAGTCTTGGTGAGTTTCAGCAGCTATGTCAATTTAAAGAGGTCGGAGCTAACGAGCCACAGAACACTGACAATACCTCCATTTATGGTCTCTCTATGGATTATGGCCCATTCGCATTCATGGATAATTTCGATCCCTCATATACACCAAACCATGATGATGGCATGCTTCGATATGCGTACAGAAATCAGCCAACTATCATCTGGTGGAACTTGGTTCGTCTTGGCGAAGCATTGGGAGAGATGATGGGAGCCGGCTCTGCCGTAGATAGCAAAAGTTATATTGAAGATGGTGTACAGAAGGATGAGGAGGCTGAGATTATCTCAAGAGCCGAGACTCTCATCACACAGGCTGGCAATGAGTTCAAGGCAACCTTTTTGGGGGAGTATAAGAAACTCATGACAGCAAGACTTGGACTTGTTACATTCAAAGAGTCTGACTTTGAAGAGCTTTGCAGCGAAGCCCTGGACGCCATGGAGAGCCTAGAGCTAGACTTCAACCACTTCTTTCGCAGATTAAGCGCTGTCAAAGTGGCCGACATCACCACTTTGGAAGGACGAAAGGATGCGGCAAAGGTCTTCTTCCACAATAGCAAAACGCCGACCCAGGATGGTATATCACGTATCGCTGACTGGCTGGAGAAGTGGCGCCTCCGAATCATCGAAGATCATAGCTCCGATAGTCAGGATGGTGCACGAATCCAGGCTATGAAGAAGGTGAATCCCAACTTTGTTGCACGCGGATGGATCCTGGATGAGATCATTCGCCGGGTGGAAAAGGAAGACGACAGGGAGGTTTTAGACCGTCTGATGCACATGGCACTTCATCCTTTCGAAGACGAATGGACTGGCCAGCAATTCAATGGCGAAGTATGGCAGGGAGACGCAGCTGAGGAGCAGCGCTGGGTAGGCGATGTTCCCAAAGCCGGCCAGTCTCTTCAGTGCAGTTGCAGTTCGTAACTGATTACGAGTAATTTCTTTACAATTTATAATACTGAATGAACAAGATAGATTTCACATTTAATGCAAAAGAATCAGAAAAAAAGAATGTAACGACCGGCGGTAAGAGGCAACGGTCATCGAGATGATCTCTCCCATGCTTCCATTATCGGCGTAAATAAAGATTTCTCTTGAGCACAAGATAGAGGAAGACTCGACAGAAGCAGTGCGTCCCGAAAGAAGCGCTGCTCAAGCTCACCTACAATAAAATGTGCCCGTGTACAATTAATTTGAAGAGAAAAGAGAAGAGCAAAGCTGTGGCCTACGGCTCCACGATTTATTTTGGCTGCGCAGAAAAAAAAGTGCGGCCTGAGGCACGGAGCCACGGTGTTGCAGCCAATCAGCGTTGTGGTAATAATCCTTGGTGCAGAGCAAGGTCTACCTCAGAGCGCGAGCATTTCCATCGCCCCGACCACACCCCAAAGACACCTCAACGAGCATCCGTCGACGGACTGCGCCCCAATTCCTCCGTCTCTGCCGCATAAAAGCAGAGTTTCTCTTCCTCCTTTAATATTTCCTCCATAGGGCTCACCATGCTTCGACACACACTCGCTCGCACCGCCTTACGGACGGGCAGACGGGGAGCCGTTGCCTCGCGGGTTTTCTCGACCACCACTCAGCGCCAGGCCGAGGTTGAGCTTACCATTGGTACGAAAATAATTATTCCAGGCGTGGTAAATGCAATTTTGATGGGCTAACCGGACGTTTTAGATGGCAAGAAGGTTTCAATTGAAGGTAAAACGAGTTGTACGGAGTCTGCGGTGCGATGAAATGCTGACAAAATAAACAGCTGGCTCTGCTCTTATTCAGGCCTGCGAAAAGGCCGGAGCTACCGTCCCTAGGTTCGTAACATTGGATACAAAAAATGGAGAAAGATTGAATTGCTAACTTTTTTTTTGTAGATACTGCTATCACGAGTACGATCCTAACCGACCCTGATTCTGACGATACGAATTTGTCTCTAACGAGCATATAGGAAGTTGATGATTGCCGGTAACTGCAGAATGTGCTTGGTCGAAGTCGAAAAGGCCCCTAAGCCTGTTGCCTCGTGCGCTTGGCCCGTTCAGCCCGGCATGGTTGTCAAGACAAACTCTCCCCTCGCCCACAAGGCCCGTGAGGGAGTAATGGAATTCCTCTTGGCCAACCACCCCCTCGACTGCCCTATTTGCGACCAGGGTGGTGAGTGTGATCTTCAGGACCAGTCTATGCGCTACGGTGCCGACCGCGGCCGATTCCACGAGATTGGCGGCAAGCGTGCCGTCGAGGACAAGAACATTGGCCCCTTGATCAAGACCTCCATGAACCGATGCATCCACTGCACCCGTTGCGTCCGTTTCGCCAACGACATTGCTGGCGCTCCTGAGATGGGTTCTTTCGGCCGTGGAAATGATATCCAGATCGGTACTTACCTTGAGAAGAACCTCGATTCCGAAATGTCGGGCAACATCATCGACCTCTGCCCCGTCGGTGCCCTCACCTCCAAGCCCTACGCCTTCCGTGCCCGTCCTTGGGAGCTGAAGCACACCGAGTCTATTGATGTTTTGGATGCCCTTGGCTCCAATATTCGCGTCGATTCCCGCGGTGTCGAAGTTATGCGCATCCAGCCCCGCCTCAACGACGACGTCAACGAGGAGTGGATCAACGACAAGAGCAGATTCGCTTGCGACGGTCTTAAGACCCAGCGTCTGACCATGCCCCTCGTCCGCCGTGACGGCAAGTTCGAGCCTGCCGACTGGGAGGAGGCCCTCACTGAGGTTTCTCGCGCCTTTGAGCAGAAGAAGCCCCAGGGCAACGAGTTCAAGGTCATTGCCGGTGCTCTTATGGACATTGAGGCTATGACTGTTGCCAAGGACATGGCTAACAAGCTTGGCTCCGATAACCTTGCCATTGACACCCCTACTGGCAGCCAGCCTCTTGCCCACGGTATTGATGTCCGCTCCAACTACCTCTTCAACTCCAAGATCTGGGGTATTGAAGAGGCTGACTGCATTCTCATTGTCGGCAGCAACCCCCGCCACGAGGCCGCTGTCCTCAACGCCCGTATCCGCAAGCAGTGGCTCCGCTCTGACCTCGAGGTTGGTGTTGTTGGCGAGTCCTTCGACTCTACCTTTGAGTTTGAGCACCTCGGTGCCGACCACGCTGCCCTGAAGAAGGCCCTTGCTGGCCCCTTCGGCAAGAAGCTTCAGGCTGCTAAGCGCCCCATGATCGTTGTTGGTTCTGGTGTCACAGACCACTCCGATGCCAAGGCCTTCTACGAGACTGTCGGTGCTTTCGTCGAGAAGAACGCTGCCAACTTCAGAACCGCTGAGTGGGACGGCTACAACGTTCTTCAGCGTGAGGCTTCCCGCGCTGGTGCCTTCGAGATTGGCTTCAGCACCCCCTCCCCCGCCGTTGCTGAGACCAAGCCCAAGTTCGTCTGGCTCCTCGGTGCCGACGAGTTCAACGAGGCCGACATCCCCAAGGACGCCTTTGTTGTCTACCAGGGCCACCACGGTGACCGCGGTGCCCAAATCGCCGATATTGTTCTCCCTGGTGCTGCCTACACCGAGAAGGCTGGTACCTACATCAACACCGAAGGCCGTGTACAGATGACCAGAGCCGCCACCTCCCTGCCCGGTGCTGCCCGTACTGACTGGAAGATTCTCCGTGCAGCCTCCGAGTTCCTCGGCGCCCCTCTCGCTTACGATGATGTCGCCGTTGTCCGCGACCGCATGGTCGAGATCTCCCCCGCCCTCGCCTCCTACGATGTTGTCGAGCCCGTTGCCATGAAGGAGCTCAGCAAGGTCCAGCTTGTTGACCAGAACAAGGGAGCCAAGACCACCGGCGAGCCCCTCAAGAAGGTCATCAAGGACTTCTACTTCACAGACGCCATCTCCAGAAGGTATGCACCGCTCTACTATCTACGAATTGTATCCATTGCTAACTGCTCTACTAGCTCGCCAACCATGGCCCGCTGCTCTGCCGCCAAGGCTTCCGGCGACCCCCGCACAAACTTCATGGCCCCCGGTATCGAGGAGGAGAGACCCATGGGACAGGTTGCGTACGGCTCGTAGAGACGATATCGTTTGAGCCACAACGCGTCTGTATTAAAAATTAGAAAGATAATTCCCTTTGTCACTAGTGTTGATGTTTGACTGCAATGGTTGAAAGAGGAGAGAGAGCATATGGCGGAAGACAGCGGTGGATGTTTGTACATATATACAATAACTGTCCTAGGTTTGCGGAGAGGTAGATATCCTTTTAACACTGCCTATTAGTTTCCTTTTTCATCATCTATTCATTCCCATTGACGCCGTTCTTGATCTTGCTCTTAAGTTCAGCTCGGCGTCCCTCGACCAGTAACGAATACCCACGGCGCTCGCTGATGTATCCTTGTACAAGGGTAAGCAGGTTTTTGAGCAGCCATTCCTCCGCCATGCCTTCTGGAGCTGCTGATAAGAGAGGGCCTGAGAGGAACTGTTTATCCTCCTGGGATGCTAAGTCGGTCCCTAGCATAGTAGCCCAGGTGTGTTCCAGGTCAGCTGAAGTTGGTTTCCAACCTGATGCTGCTCCGGGTGCGGCACTCATGTAATTGGTACTCGAACGAATGATACGGATTGATTCATGATAAAACAGTGTATCTATGTTTTGTAGTGCAAGTTGAAAATGCTCCTCTAGATGTGTCAATGATGTATTGTTGACGTCGTTATCGTCCCCGGCCTGGGCCTCTTCCAAAAGTGAGGACCGCGTGTTCAAGGGGACAAACGGTACACCACAGGTATCTCTGAGAACAGGCATTTTAGCGGTGATGGACTCGAATGCACGGCGTCTTTCCTCATTTTGCACTTCGTTTTGAATACGAGTTGGCGTGAGTCGTTGCTGGTGGCGATTCATCCGTGCCACTCGGCTAGGATAGCGCGGCATCTATTTCTGATTTACCAGCGGTGTTCTAGATATATGTTTTAGTTTCTATATGCTGATGGTTAAGCTTCTAGCTTGTGAACTGGCAGTGATTGGTGCCTGCTACAAGATGTTTTATCTACTGGTAGGAGGTGATAAATGGCACCTCTGCCAGCTGGCATCAGGTGATAGTCGCCATGGCTACGGAATTTTTGATTATAGAATAAGGGGCGACTTAAGAGGAAGAAATCTCTATTAGTAATATTGTACAGTTTCTGTAAATATATAATGATGCATATAGACCGCAGATATATCCCCAGTCTAATGAGATACATGTTTTTCGAGGATCGGTAACACCAGCCCAACTCTCCAAAACTGAAAGCAGATGTAAAAGTAAACCAGAAAAGAAAGTAAATGCTCGCTCAAATGAAGATCATGAATGTCGTGCGGTACGAGAAGTGAGAGGCAGTTTGCCGTGGAGGAGAGGATATGTCGAGGTTCGCCAAGCTCATCTAGTGTGCGAGCTTGAATAACCCCAGAGCATATCCAGACTAGCATGTAGTATGCGGTACGTGGATAGAGGGATGTGTAAATGAGGCTACTGAGCACAGGCTCACCTCGAGGGAAGGACTTTGCGAACGTATTCGCGGATAAGAGTCAACGCTGCACGGACGAGATCTTCCAAGCGGCGATCTTTGCGGCGACGCATCCAGACCAAGATGATGGCCAGAATCACACAGTCAACCACAAGATGCTTCATAATAACCCAAACAACCCAGCCCAGCCAGGACGGGAAGCTCCTGTCCTTCTTGGATCGCCATTCACGCCCTGTAGTGATTTGCTCGCGTAGCGCCGCCACCTCTGCAGAGAGCTTCATCAAAGCATGTTCCATTTTGCGTTGCCAGCGGCTAGAGCCCTTTCCAATATCGTGTCCCATTTCCATATCCTCTAGTTCCATTTGTCGCTGAGATCGTAGCTCCGCCTCGTCCTGCTCGCTCATCGGGCTGAGCACCTTCATAGGTCCGTCGCTGCCACTCATTGGTTGAGTGAATCGACGTGAAGACGATGTTGCACCTCCTTGCGGTGATGAATCGGTCGAGCTGGGGCTGTTGTGCTTAATCTGGTTCCATACAAATTCGAGTTCGGAGACAAGTTCTCTACCATCACTACCAAATCAACAAGTTAGCAAGCGTCCACCGCCAAACCTATCTCCGATAATAATAATAATACGTACGCTGTGGTTGCATATCGATGCATCGTCTCGATGAGTGCTTCTACATATCGTCTTTTTGCTTCGGTACGTGTCAGGCCCTTTTGGGAATTCCATGCATCCCACTTATCTCTCTCGCGCTGCAGCTCCTCGGGATTCAGCCCAGCGCCGGCCATTGGCTGTTCCATCACACCATCCACATCTCCCTCCATGGCCTGTTTATAGAGTCCATATAGACGAAGTCGCTCAGATGGCGGCGGCCTCGCAGCGCCCGTCTTCGGGATGCGCTTGACGGTGTTAAGGGCATGGACGAAGACGCGATCTGCACGTGTTGATTAGCACGATAGTCGCCATTTCAGCGCCCGCAAGAGCGTGTTAGAGCCATGTATTCAAAGAACCTACCGACAGAGTCCGACATTTTAATGTGTTGCCTCCAAACGAAGTGCTTCTGTTGTGCCGTCAATGCCGTTGATGAAGCAGTTTAGCAGCGACAGGGTCCAAAGTTTAAAACAGAGCGGACGCGGAGCCTCGGCACGATACTGCAGGTGTCAATGGCGTCAGGACCCCGCGAGAGGGATCGATCAAAACGAAAGCGGAAACGCAGATGAGCGGTTGATTTTGCTGCGGAGGGAATATTGATGCGGGTTTTGATGCTATTTTGAAGTTGCCAAGCTGCACAAAAGACAAAATCCACGGTGCGAGATCAGGGAGATGAATTATGATCTTCTGGGGAACACAATAGGTAAGGAGCGCATACGCGGTGGCTGCTGCTGCGACCCGCCCTTTCGGGATCCCCAGTGCCTACCTCGGGCCAAATTAGGCGCTGGCTTTAGTGCATCGCGGTCGGAAACGGGCGCCCACACGCGACCAATGTTAGCGGCCACAGGCATTGTAACCCGCTAAAGCAGCCGAAAGCGGCAAAGCTTTGCACGCTAAATCATCACACAAGGTGCAACACAGTGCATGTGAAATTGGCCGTGGTATGCAGTGGCAGGAGGGAGTACTATATAATACAGACCTATTATTACTTTGTTTCATTTTTGGGTGTTGGGCATCAACTTGATATGCAAAAGTGTTCATCTTCATTATTGGCTTTAATATACAGACGTATTCCTTTTGTACAAAATGCTTGCGTTTCTCGTTATGAGGCCGGCGCTGAGTTGTCGCCATTGCCATTCTCCAGTGCTGCCGCTTCTGCTTCCTTCAACTCCATGTATTCCTTCTTCTTTGCAACGTAAATCTTCATCAGCTTTCTGTTTTGCATGGCTTCGGTAGCTGCCTTTTGCCCTGCTTCCTTCACATTAAGAGCTGTACCCAGGCCCAGTAATTTGTGTTGCTCTCCCCATCCATCCAGATAGGCTCCAACAGCAAACAGCGGAAGGCCGAGATTCTTATCCTTCTTGGTGCACTCCATTTTCTCGTATCTGAGCCAGACGCCTTTCACTACAATCATAGCGGCCAACTCTTCCTTCGGGCTCAGAGATTTCTTGTTAGCTTCTTCCGTAGTAGAACCATTTGTCCCCGACTCGGCGGCCTTCTGCTCCTTCTTTGTTTCCTTAGCTTCAGAGAGCTCCAGCTTTCGTAAATCATCCACTATATGCATCGACCACAAATCTCGTAGCCAATCTGTGACATTATCAAGGCCATTGACAGGGTCTGCGACTATTACTGCGGCGGTATATGCTTCAAACATGTCGGCGTGGATCTTGGTGATGTCCTTGTCATTTGACCGTCCTTTTCCTTGGAATCGGTGAACATCTGATGGGAGTTTTGCACGACTCTCTAGGCCATATTGTCGAAAGAAGCTGGCGAGAGTTGTGTTTCGAACAAGGCGTTCCCGTATTTGTGCACAACGACCAGAGGGAAGCTTTGTGAAGGTTTGCGATATAAGAATAGTAGATATCAACTCGAGATAGGCGTCTCCCAGCCACTCAAGCCGTTCATAGTGCTTATCTTGAGAAATTCCAGGATGTGTAAAGGCGGTTTCTTCGATAATAGGGTCTTGAACTCGGGGAAGGGTAGGCAACTGTTTGGGAACGTATGCTAACTTCCATGGCTGCACCTTGCTTGGCGCTGAGATAGAGGCCTTTCGTATGGCAGAATTAAGGCGTGATAGTGTTCTGTCTTCTGGTAGGCCAGAATTGGAGGCAGCAGAGGCAGCATTTCCAGGTGTAGCCAATGTTTGAAGTGAAGCGACGACATCTTCGCTTATGTTGGCAAACCGACGATGAATGTCTAGTATGTTGGACCCTGAAGATGAGTCCCTTAATTCCGCTTCATGCTGCTTGAGCGCTTGGAGCTGCGCAATCAATTCATCGGCATTTTCAGCCAGTGTGAGAAGAGCTGCGGATGCGTTTGGAGGAAGCTGCCGTACGTCGCCTCTCTGTCGTCGTTTGGGATGTGATGAACCGCGACCATCGGTAGACGGCTCTGCGTCAGGCGACACTGATCTCTTCATTGGATATGATCTGGTGGTAACTATAACATGATATATCTTTTGTAGAAAATAAACGAATAAATTTGCTACAACCAGGAGCTTTATAGTTGTTTGGAACAAGATTTAGGCTACAACCAGCATTGAGACTAGAAAAAATATTGTGGGTCGAGATGGCCGCGCGCCAATCATATACATTTGCTGTGGTGCCTGAAATGTTCCACCCTCGACCTCACGCCTCCCGATTGGAAATGCCAATTCTCGGACGGCGACACTACAATCACCAACCATAAGCAAAATGAGCGTCCCGCGTGCGAGGCTATTGAGCCTTACAAAAGTATGATCACATGGTTGCATATGTGATAGCATTGGTACTGACAGAATTCCAGGAACAATGCAAAGTCTTCGCGACAACATACAACCCTGAGCAGGCCAGACTCGGCAACAAGGTCCTGCGCCAACGCCTCCGCGGCCCTGCATTGGCATCATATTACCCTCGAAAGCTCGTCACAATCAAGGACGTGAATAAGGAATTTGGTCCTGCGTTGGCGACATGGGACGAGGTTCAGGAGGACCGATTGACACACTTGGAAGGGTAAGGTTCTACGCAGTCCGGGTTCAACACAAGTTGCTGACATTTGGACAGATTAAAACAGCGTGGCAAGAGTGCGCCGAAAAAGAAGACCGCACCTCCTGCTGCCGGTAAGTCAATGGTTAAAGCCACATGAAATAGACAGAGTGTACTAATAATGATGGTACAGATGCCAAGGGCGCAGGCAAGAAAAAGAAATAAACCCTACGCTATTCAAGGAGCGAATCACCTCGAATGATTACGAAATACAACACAATATTAAACAATCACAATCATCATGGCGCTGTCTGAGACGGTGGGAAAAAGTTGGATGCGGAATTCACTGGTTGGCAGCAATCACCCCAGCAGTACCATCATGTAACACACCCTGTACTATTAACTGTTAGATATTAATTTACCGTCCTATGTTTATAATTTCTTTTTCGCTACGCGTCCGTCCCAAAATTTGCACAGTAATTCTCCTTGGAAGGCTGCGCGGTGGGTTACCATTCAAGCACGAGTAAGCTGAAGATAATCTGAAGGCATCCCAACAGCAAGGCCCGACATCGCTCTACGCAAAGGAACGTATAGCACATACCGTGAAACATTACCATGGACACCGACCACCGCCCAAAGAAGACAGACCGCTGCCTTTGTTAAGCGACGACGGTCTGGTACGCTCGCTAAAACTGGTGCCGACAGCTGGCAGCTCTTGCCCTCAGCGTGGGGGGCATTTGGGAAGAAGCACCCGTCAGTCCATTCTGTTCGTTTCCACAGCAAAAAGTAGCCTACTTTCCTGACCGCCTTGTGGTAGAGCACTTGGTGGCTTCCCGTTATTTGACCCTCTCTACCTCACACTGAAGCACACGACTTTTGCCCCCTCTCACACTGCTGGTATCATCGACAAGAAACACTGATAATTCGACCAAAAAAGAAAAAGATACATAAGCTCCTCTTTGTTCTTGCCGCTCTGCTTGTTCCGTTCTGTTCTGTTTGATTTTGTTGGGCCTTGTTCGTGTACTCTTTGCTCTTTTCACCTTTATCGTGTTTCTTTCGTTCAACTCACCACATTCTCAACAATAAAACTATGCACACATCTGGATCTGGTACTACTCCACCACGTCGATCTGGTCCTTCTCCAGCTCTCCCAACTAAAGACGGACGTATCGAGTACAATCCTGGTGATGCTGGAGGGCGTTCCACAACTACTCCTGTAAGTCTACAGATGCAGGGCCATGCTTGCCACTGGTTCCTATAAAAACAACATTAACTCTCTCCTAGGCCGGCTGTTCGGGGCTGGACGGTTTTAAAACCGTTAGACCGTTACAGTCTAACAAGTTACTCAACCTCGCAGTGAATTCGGTAAGGATTCATTTCCATGTCCCTGATATAAGCTGACCGAGTCTCCCACAGACACCACCAGAACTTTCACGTGGTGATTCATATCCAATGGATAAGCTGTTAGCAAAACTCTCGGAACAGCAGGCTAAGCTTAAACAGATACCAGACTCAATGCAGCTTAACGAAGCAGAGTCTCCACGAATGGCTACATGCGAAGATCTGGGATCGTCGGCCTCATTGCCGGCCACCCCAACCGTCCATACCCTTCCTACTCCGGATGCTGAGCTGCGACCGTCTAGCGCAACGATACAGCAGGAGTGCCTTGAAGGAGACGAAGTTCTGAGGCTGAAGCTTCAGCTGGTGCAAGCACAGAACAAAATTTCTAAACTAGACCAGGAACTTGCACAATCAAGAACCAGCCGGCCCAACTCTGTGGGCCAGAAAACTGCCCCTTCAAGACCATTGATGAACCAAGTTCCGCGAGACACCGCTTGGAGTTTGGCAGAAGATGCTCAATCCGATACGAGCGAATCATTTTCTACATCTGGACTCCCTAAACGCCGAGCTATATGGGGAAACACCAAGGCGAGCTTCAGCGGCACAGCTCTTCATACCCAAGCAGCTGAACCGTCTCCCAGTAGTTGGCTTGACGGCCGAGCAATTGGTCCCGGATACATGGATCACTCGTTTGGTACTTCCGAACTACAGAGGAATGAAGTAATAAGCACTGAAGCGGACTTGCTGATGCGGTCCTCAGTCAATAGACGAAGCAATCGTTTTGATTCCAGAATGGGCGGACCACAGCCACTAGGACCTACATTCGCTGGCCCAACTAGTCCATTCGACCCGATGATGGCCTCTATTTCTGCAGCAAATATGGGCATGCCGCCAGGCCATGGTGGCATGGGCATATCAATGTTTCCACAATATCAGCAGCAGCCAATTGGTACACCTTTGTCACCTCATGCATCGGAGTTCACTTCGAAAAGTGGTTGGAAGTCTGAGGTACGAAAGGTTCCAAACTGACTAGAAACAATCATCTAACATTATTTAGACTTCCATGTCCGAGGCACACACGTATCTTCCACCGACAGAACCACTTAACTACCGTCGCCTTCTAGACCGGAACGTTAACTGCAATTGGAAGTATATTGTGGACAAGATCGTGTGCAACAACGACCAACAAGCGTCCATATTTTTGCAACAGAAATTAAAGGTTGGCACTCCGGAACAAAAGTACGAAATAGTGGAAGCTATAGTAGCCCAAGCTTATCCTCTAATGGTCAACCGCTTCGGTAACTTCCTCGTGCAGCGCTGTTTTGAACATGGCACCCCAGAACAAGTTATTAAGATAGCTGAAGCTATTCGTGGGAATACCCTAAACCTGTCTATGGATCCCTTTGGTTGTCATGTCGTTCAAAAGGCTTTCGACTCTGTCCCTGAAGATTACAAAGCGATTATGGTTAGAGAACTATTGCGGCGAATTCCAGAAACCGTGATTCACCGCTATGCTTGCCATGTATGGCAGAAGCTTTTTGAACTTCGGTGGACGGAGTCACCTCCTCAGATTATGCAATTTGTCAATGATGCATTGCGTGGAATGTGGCATGAGGTTGCGCTGGGCGAGACTGGCAGCCTGGTTGTGCAAAACATCTTTGAGAATTGTCTCGAAGACGATAAGGTACGGATACAATCACTCGGAGTTATAAGGTAACCTTTGACTAATAAAAGCTCTTTAGCGACCGTGTATCGAAGAGGTTCTTGCCAACATCGACATCGTGGCCCATGGTCAATTCGGCAATTGGTGTATCCAACATATTTGTGAACATGGATCACCACCAGACAGGAGCCGGGCCATAGATCACGTCATCCGATATGCTGCAGAATACAGTACCGATCAGTTTGCTTCCAAGGTCGTTGAAAAGTGCCTTAAAATCGGAGGGTCTGATTTTCTTGGCCGGTACCTGGATCGTGTTTGTGAAGGCCGCCGAGACCGTACTCGTATTCCACTAATCGATATTGCAAGTGATCAATACGGCAATTATCTTATTCAATGGATTCTTGACAATGCCACCCCTCAGCATCGCGAGGTTGTTGCTGCTCACATCCGAAAGCACATGGTTTCCCTAAGAGGGTCGAAGTTTGGCTCCCGTGTTGGTATGCTATGCACTAACCATGCTGTCACTACCAGACCAGGGCATGGCGCTGGACCAAGCCTCCCAGGACGTCTCCCTGGTGGGAGATACAGCACAAACACTTACCGCTAGTTGTCATATCTACAGTGTCTCAAGTTGTGCATTGGTATGACAAGAGCACGCCAAAGATGGAACCAGTTTGGCCTTGTTCCCAATATATTCTCTTGCAGCTAATTTACAGATTATTCGACATCCTAAGCTCGGCATGCTACAGCTTGTTTGAGCACATTGGACACATTATGCTTTATGAATTTTGCAATATGGACTCCGTTCGGCCTCACCTTGGTGTATAATTCTCAACGATACGGGAGCGACATCATCAAGAAGAACAGTGAAATAGACGAAAAGACAAAAACAAAGAAATATTTTACGGACAACGTGTGGTGGATATTCTGACAGCTTCGGTCGTCCAAATACCAGGATGGCGCAAGGAATGTCTGACGAAGTACGCGACATCTGCGATATACGGCTGATTATATATTTAATATTGCTTTTACATCCAAGTCATGACAAGAAATGAGTGTAATGGACTTTGAAAACTGCTTTTAGGCACTAGGAGAGAATGAGAGATGACAATATATTTGTATTTTACCCTTCCTTTTCGGCCAAGCTGCGTATGTGATGATGATGTGAGTATTTAAAACGGGTTATGAGATTATGTATGGAGGAGTATAATTGTATGTAATAGTTTAAGCTTCTTCTGTGGTGATTGAATCGACAGGGGGAAATTCGGTGTCTAGTGAGCCAATCCTGTACGTATCGGCAGCGGGTGCGGTATCTCTTTCCCATGGCTTTTTTGGAACGGTCCGAGATCCCACCGGCTTGACAGACTACAATCGATTGGTTAGTAGGTAGATTCGTAGTAGTATAATTGAGCTATCTATCTTACCGGGTCTCGAATGACGGTGTTGGGTATTTGCTTAATTCCTGGGACTTCCTTGCCCTCTTGCAAAAGCTTAATCATTTCCGCAAATGCCATGGGGTAGGCAGGTTGATCGCCACTCTGACTTGATGCTGCAGCGGCTGCCTTGCGATCAATATAAAGATCAGCCTTGGGTGCAGCCTTTTGCCAATCCAAGGTCGCTGGCTGCTGTTGCTCGGCAGGCTTGTACTGTTCTGGAAGGATATCTGGTGGTTGGTGGGTTGGATTCTTTGATAGCCAGGACTGGTAATTGGAGAAGTCAATTGTGACACCTATGCGCTGAGAGTAGTAAAAGATGCGAGCATGCGTCGCCATATCGGCGGGGGATCCTTGCGGATTAGGAGAGTTGGGATCGCCAAGGATCGCATTCAGGCCGGACTGTGGTTTGTTAGATATAACTGAGGACAGTGCAGGATACCGCGGGATAGAAAGTATAGCGTACCATGAAGCTCTTGTCCTTTACCCATGGGTACGAATCAAAGGCGCGGAATACGGCATCGTCGTCTTTGAGGGAACGAATGCTGTCGGCAGCTGATACTGCTGGTTGGGCCATGTTGTTGCGAATTCAGTTGGCGGGCACATAGGCAGAGGAGAATGAAGCAAGCACAAATAGAAGGCAATTTTCAAAATCTGTGCTTGTGTGACGAGAAAAGAAGAGGACTTCCGGTCAGAATTGGTATGAATCCGGGTTCGTGCAACAACATGTGATGGTGTTTCGGGTTGGCAGCATTGGATGCGCCGACGTCGACATCGGATAAAGCACAGTGCTTATGCGACGCCTTGTTCAGGGCATTACAGCGAGCCTCGGTAGCCGGCGGACACCGCGCGGTGCCCTGTGCGCCGCAGGATGCACTCCATAGTCGAGACCGTGTGGTGGGCAGGCTGACACTGTACGCCAGCGGGTCAATCTCCCCCACTGGTGGACCCCAAGCTCCATCCAGCTCTCGTTAGCCACCACTCATCATATACGCCATCCTTCCGCCGTCGTCTTGTTCTTCCAATTGCAACCTCAGAGCGGCATCGCGTGTTTTGTGTGCTTCGCCAGACTGTCCTTTACGACCACCGAGCTCTTTCAGTCGCCGTCTCAATGCATCGTGTCGTTTCCAAAGCGTTGAGGACGAGCCATAGAACCACTGTCCGCGCGTCGCTGTTCCGCGCTGCTGCACTGAAGCGATCCTTTGCGACACCTACGAGATCGTCGCAGCCTGCTGCCCATGAGCCCTTGAGATCCTCCATGTTCTTCCGTCGCCTGCCTACCGCGCTGGTATCCAGCATCGTTGTCGGCTACGGCGCCTGGTACTCATACAACGGCGGCAACGTCACGCTCTCTACGCCTGCTCTGGCTCGCAGCTTGGTGTCTAACCAGGGGCAGCAAACACCAGTAGATACTACGCCTGCCTTGCCTACGAGAACGGTTCTTGTTGTGGGCGCCGACGAGCTACGCCAGGGAACGATTGTCGGAGAGGATCCTATCTCAAAGTACACAACTGGCGACGATCGCCGAATCGTGGAGATGCTTACACCCGATCAAGCGACCGAGAAGCTGAGGAAGTTGGAGCAGTCTTTCTCTGTTAATAGAGGGCAGGGTGTTACTAGATACGATCTGGTCCAATTACCTAGCAACGACCCCATTGAGGATGACCACGCGGAGAAGATTGTCGAGGTGCCTACCCGGGGTAATGGAAAGAATGACTGGATGTTCTGGGGAGTCTTTGACGGTCACTCGTAAGTGTTCCGTTTTAGGATCGCATGTGAAGCATGTGGGCTAACTGATATGGGATATAGCGGCTGGACTACGTCTGCCACGCTTCGGGAGAGCCTGATCAACTATGTGGCTCGCGAACTTAACGAAACCTACAAAGCTGCCGGTGAGGTTGCTCCCGCTGATGAAGCTATCGACAAGGCCATCCGAAGTGGCTTCACAAATCTCGATAATGAAATCGTGCACAAGAGCGTTGAGAAGGTGTTCAAGGGCAGCTCCAAGGCTGTTGCCGCCGAACTCCTCCAGCCAGCCCTCTCAGGGTCTTGCGCCTTGCTTTCATTCTACGACACACAGAGCAAGCTGCTCCGCGTAGCCTGCACTGGCGACTCCAGAGCTGTTCTGGGAAGACGCTCTGATTCTGGCAAATGGACTGCCACTGCGCTGTCTGAGGACCAGACTGGCGGTAACCCCAACGAGGCCGCTCGCATGCGCAAGGAACACCCTGGCGAAGAGAACGTTGTACGAAATGGTCGCGTTCTGGGCGGTCTGGAGCCAACACGAGCCTTTGGTGATGCTGTTTACAAATGGAGCCGTGACACAGCGTACAAGCTGCGCGAAAACTTCTTTGGCCGCAGCCCATCACCGCTACTCAAGACGCCCCCTTATGTTACAGCTGAGCCTGTCATTACTACCACCAAGGTCGAGCCTCAGAACGGCGACTTCTTGGTGCTTGCCACCGACGGTCTATGGGAGATGCTGACCAACGAGGAAGTGGTAGGCCTTGTGGGCCAGTGGATTGAGTCGGAAGGCAAGCGTGGCGCTAGCTCACAGTTTGAAAATGCTTGGGCCAAGATCTTTGGCTCTGCTAACAAGCCGCTCCCCGTGGAGGAGAGCAAGACGGGCAATGGCGAGGGCCAGAAGACACCTATCCGCGTTCAGCAATGGGGACTTAACCCGGAAGCCAAGGACCGCTTTGTCGTCAAGGACAAGAACGTTGCTACTCATTTGGTGCGCAATGCCCTCGGCGGCACTAATGAGGACCAGATGCGAGCCCTTCTCACTCTTCCTGCACCTTTTGCGCGAAGATACCGTGATGACTTGACAGTGCAGGTCATCTTCTTTGGTAACGGCGAGAAGACGGGCGAGGTCTCGGTCAACCATGAAGCTACTGCTGGCAATGAGATCCCTAAACCCAAGCTCTAAGCTTTGGGAGGGTTGTATTCTTATAGATATTGTAGCAGTTCCGAGGGACTGGCGTTGCTAAAATAATTACAATATACCATATAATTGCGTACTAAATCGTTTCTAATCGATTGCGTCAAAACATCTTAAATAGCTAAACACATCTATCTGGGTGCTGGCCAAAGCAGCTTCCGGCAACTCATGTTGTGTACCATAACAATAAAGACTGCTATCCAGATGGCAACCAACAAAACTGTCACTGTTGTTCCAAACATGCGGAGCCCATCACTGTCAAAAGCCTTGGCCATGGCCTGCGTAGCTGTAACCTATTTGATTGGTCAGAATGCATTAGAAGAGAAACGTTGGGAGTGATGGAAGCTTACAAGTGCTGTGTTTGGGAATACAAACGACCACCACGACATGCGAAATGGGAGGCGATTTCCACGCTTGAAGTATTTGCCAAGCGAACCGACCGAGACAAGAAAGAACCACATGGATAACCCCCACAACCAGAGACCGACAAGCATGCTCACAATGCGGATGATGTCGGCGCTATGCTGGGCTTGTAGGAAGTTGGGAGGCAGAATCCGATTTGCTTGGTTGCCTAGCTGAACAATGCTGGATGCAGTGAAGCCGAACGGACCAATGGATATAAACTAGTAGTGTTAGATTAGAAGAGACCGTATATAAAAAAGTAGTCGTAGACGTACTACACCAGGCCGCTGGATATCGTCTGGTAGCTTATGGGTCATGAGACGATACACAAAAGCAGCGGAGATCATAAAGGCAATGAGACAACCAGCACCCTGCGCAGCTGCTGCTCCAAACACCATGGCTGTTGTATTCAAGGCCAGGTTTCTATTGGATAATGCCGCTGCGTCTATCAGATTGGCAGCCAGTGGCGCAGTGAGAAGCAGGGGGTACGCTGGGAAGACCCAGATGGGAGTCATGGATTGTATTGGGAATGTGCTATCCGTATGTTAAAAAGCGTGTGGATTATTTGGAATGGGTTGTACTTACCATGTAGACCAGATAATTAGATACACTGCGGCGCTGGCGACAATGCTAAATCCAGTGTAGATCCAGAAGCAGGTTTCCAACGTGCGGAGCAGCCAGATGCCAGTAGATGGGACTCCATATTCGCAAATATTTATCAAAATCAAAGCAATTCTATAGAAAATATTAGCAACCACTCCCATCTGTTTACTGATTTGTTGATAGGCAAATCATACGTAACAAACTATGGCATCATTAGTCGGTGGCAGACGCCGAGCAAGCATAGCGAGGGCTAACTTACAAGAGACGGGATGTAAAGAGCCTCGTCTGGATTGGTAAAAGAGGCAGAAAAGCTTCCTCGATTGAGATAAAACCTGAGAGAGATTCCGATGCAATTGATGAAGAATAAGACAAGGTTCATGAGAAAGAAGAAAATGCCAATGGCCTTGACCCAATCGGAATGAAATGGGACTGTGGACGGCGTAAGCAGCAAAGATAATAGAGGTAAGATGGGTTAGTTGCCTACTTTTGAATACAATGTTGGCAATGCCACCGGTTGCCATAGTCTAGCCACGGTCAGGTTTGTGAGTGATTTCGTACCACTTGTTAATAAATACCATGGTAAAAAAGGTCCATTCGTAACAAGATATTCTGTCGCGAAGGCCAATGGGGCGTGTTGCCCTACGTTGTTCCTTGGACATTGAATCACCTTCCAAAGAGGAAAGAGATAGAGACTGTATAGAAAAGTCACGTTCAAACATGGAAAGGTGAAAGGGAGGCTCATAGTACACTGGCGATGAACCAAATGATACTTCGGAATCAGGGAAGGAGGTCGTGCCTGCCATGTTTGTGGATATGTCTAACGAGAATGGAATGAGACCGGGACGAATCTGTTTATTGACGAGACAATTGAATCGTTTTATATTGATTTTGTTTCAATGACGCGAATTTGGAAATAAAAAGTCATGATGTAATGGCATACTCGAGGTGGTGATACCGCACGAGGCGCACACGTGGGCTGAGGCAGTGCGCAGTGATGGCTGCCTGGATATGAGTTTGTTTCGAACTCGTACGACATTTCGGGGATGCCGATTTGGGACCTTGATAATAATGGGCGAAATAACATTCGTGCATAAATTCACGAGAGTTGCTTTGGTACGTTGGCCTTGGAGACATGGTAGCATCACATCCGTGTAAGTGACAGAGTATGTAAGTTATAATAGTAGCGCATAAAATCGTGGCAATTTTTAGTTTTTTTCTCATCATATTCATAATTTACATTTCAGACAGTAAATGAAAGCATTCTTAATTTTTAAAATATAATTTTATGGCATACCGGCCTGTATTGGCCGCCTTGCAAATCGCCATCGAGATGCAACTGCCGTCTCCAACTCGTCCCCCACACCACGTGACGCCATCGAGAAAGCCACATGTCACCGGCCAAACCAGCTCCAACGCCTTGCTTGTGCCTGCAAACCACCAACTCGTCCGACACGGCGGCTACGTGGTACACCTGAGCGCCGCATCGTTTTTGCTAGTGATTGCTTTTCTACGAACCGATTCCGACTAAATCGACGATTCACGGCATCCGTACCCGCCCGTTCCGGTGCAATTGACGTCATTCGCCATCCTGAAATAGGGAGCGCATCACCAGATTCGTCTGTGCCACACAACTCTTTAACACGACACGACGAATTCTCCCCAAAAATGACATTTACAAACGCACCCGTGTCTAGACTGGTAGTCCTTGGCCTTGTATCGGCCTCCATCGGCGCTAGTCTGCTGGACATTAAACACTACTTTTACATCCTCATCGACACCCATCTCTTTCGATACGGCCAGTTCTGGAGGCTGCTGGCCTACCAGCTATGTTATACCAATTCGGCAGAGGTCCTCTTTGCGGCCATTGGCTTCTATAATATGCGATCTGTAGAACGGCTCTGGGGCTCGAGAAAATATGCGGTACGTCAGAGCTTGCTGAAGCAAACAATCAAGTACTAACCAGACTGTAGTCCTTTTTAGTAACATCGGCGTTATTCACGGCCATTATCCCGCCGATTATTCAAACTATCCTACGTCCATTCGCACCATCTATTCTTAATTATATCCCGGCCGGCCCGACGCCCATCTTGTTTGCGGTGCTGGCACAGTACCACGCCATGGTACCGCACATGTACAAGTACCGTATTGCGACATCCCAGGCGCCACCGTCCAGCGAGCCATTCTCTGGGTTAACGTTGTCTGACAAGTCCTACCAGTATGCCATGGCGGGCCATTTGGCACTATTGCAGTGGCCGGGGTCGCTGATTGGCGCCGTGGTTGGCTGGCTGACTGGAGTAGCGTACCGGAACGGCGTGATGCCCTTGGCTATTATCAACTGGCGCGTGCCGGGTTGGATGGTTGGGATCCGGGCGCAACGGCGAAGCGCCGAATTTGAAGGGCTGCGACGCCGTTTGGAGGATGACGGAACGGCAACATCGACGGGTGTCGCGGGGGCAGACGCGCAAGGCGATCGGCGGCGGACGATGGGCCAGCAGATTGTAGACCAGTTTAGAGAAGCGTTGTAATAGAGGCGTTGCGTATAAATAGATTTAATTGACAGCGGCTGCTTGCTTGTCTACTGCTACTGCATTATACTGGGGAAGATATATGCACAGGTTTGGCCAGTTACGGTGGCACTGATACAGATATTGGCGGTTGCCTTGTTGGCCAAATTGTAATGGTATCTATGGAATGTTTCTGTTTTTCTTTCTATTATCGTGTCATTTTATTTTATAATTGGGCTTTGGCGAATATTCTAGAAATCGAGAGCATTTGGCCGGGGGTGATCCTTGTTAGTCGATGGCATCCATGCCGGCGGCCTCGCTCCTCTACTTGCTGGTCGGAGTCATCAGCCCAGCAAACATGCACTATTGTAGTTAGTTGGGCAAGGAAGTATATGCATTTTTATTGTTATAATGGCGTATATAAATGGGATTTTATCCTATTTCCCCTATTATATCCTTGTGTGGCTACTATTTAGAAGCGCAGTCATTCAGCGTACCGACAAAGGAAACGGCATGTGGTAAGCAACACTACGCTGGCGCTGCTCTTTCGCTACAGAAGCTACTTACAGCGACGAAAGGGGGACTGCCAGGGGGGAACACCTGTCTGGAAGGGCCGCACGGCCAATCACAGCGCTGCGCTAGTGCCGGTCTTGTACGGTGGGACAGCGCCAGGGGCAGGGGGAAGGGCGGCCCGTGTGGTCCAGCTTTCGGGCTGGGCTGGGCTGGGCTGAGCTGTCGGTGCTTTCGGGGCGGAAATACACTACGGCAGTTGTGTTTTACAGTGAAGAGTTGGACTGGGCGAATGTCATTCGGGCATTTTCCAGCGCTTGTCTGTTTGGTGGGCGCACGCACAACGCACTGGCTGTCAGCAGCAATGTGGTTTGAGGGTAACGCTGTTAGCAACAGAACTACACACTAAAAGTACAGCAGGCACAGTTAGTTACAGGGCAGACAGAAGCTACGCCGAGCGATGACACGATACATCGCCCGGCCAGTACCAAAAATAAACCTGGTCAATTCAGTTTTTTTTTCTGTTCTTTTGCTGCCTCATCTCATGATCTTAGCTAACTGTCAGCACCACCTTTCGTGTTTTTTACTTATTCATACTATACTTCTTTCTTTCTTCTCTCCTCTATATTCACTAGCAGCGGCCTGTAGTTGACAGTTTCTGGCGGCAAGCTGATGGAAAGGGGCCCCTCCTCCTCCTTTTTTTTTCCCTCGGCGCCCCCCAAAAATTCCTTTCTCCTACGCAGCCACCACTACCAATTAGCCGCTAAAGCGCACACCGCGTCCACTAAAAGCTACCTCGCTACAGCGCTCTTACCCGTCATTCCCGCGCCGCCGCCACTTTATTTTTACACCTCAGCATTTACCATCACCACCACCACGCACAACCACCGCTTTGGCTTCGCTCTGTCCTCTTTGCTTGTTTCGCATCCGCCCATCTTTTGCTTCTTGCTTCCGCTTCGCTTCTTCTGCGACACGACTGCAAAAACACTATTAGCTCTCTACACCGATTTTCATTCCAGCCTTTTTGCTCGAATCTTGGGACACCTGCGCGACTCGCAACATCCCCGACTCTCCTTAATAGCTTCGCCCTCCGACAGAGAACCAGCGTCAACTCCTGACTGCTGACACAAATCACCACGCCACACAGCATCTGCCTCGAGTCGAAACTTGTTACTCAGACGTCCATCTTATCCAATACGCGACACTCTGCCGCGTCGGCGCCGACTCACCCGTTGAGCACGAGATCTCGCAGACAACAAGCCGCCCCTTTCGCAATCGCGTGTCGCTGCTCTCGTTTGTTGCTATATGGCGAAAGGATCGAGTCTCGAATAGCCCAGCATCCACTAGCTCCTCTTTCCTTCTCTCACGTCTTGATGATTACGACCCTTTTCCGGCATTTTAAAAGTATTCGCTTCCGCAACCCACCACCACCACCACAATGAACGGCTTTGGATCCTCCGGGAGGAGACAATACGACTACGGCGATGTCCAGGCCGCACCCCTCGACTCTACGGGTGTTCGTGGCAAGGCTGCCATTGGCGCCTTCAAGCGCGATATGCTGACCGGCCTCGACAAGGATGCTCCTCGATTTGGCCAGGCTATTCCCCGCGATCCTATAGCCACCACGGTAGACCTCAAGGATCCCATCCAAATACACCTCTTGACCGAAACCGCCCTCACCGACAGCAAAGAATACCAGATTCTTCCCCAAGAAGAAGTCGACGACCTCAAGAAGCAGGTCCAGCTGATGACCCAGCGCGTCGACGCCACCCGATCCAACCTTGCTATCCAAGCCAAATATAGAGATGCCGCCCTTTCCATGGCCAAGCTTGACACTGGAGCTACACACCAAGACCCAGAGCTTGAGGCCCTTGAGCAAAAGTGTGAAGACCTTGCATTGGAGCTTTATAGCCTGGAAAAGAAGCTTCTTACACCACAAAGACGGCTCCTAGAGCACACTGCTGGTATCTTACAACTAACACATAAAGCCTCGCGACGAAAAGCTGCCAAACAGGATGGTCAGATGGCAAATGGCATCCCAGGCAGCCCCGAGAGCCTATACACATATTCACACAGTCGCAACAGTTTCGATGCTCATGGCGATGACTACTTTGACGACGGCATGTACGGCCTCGACGGTGCGGATGGTCCACGCCGCAAAAACGCCATTGAAATCCCCATGAAGTCGCCCGTCCGCGAGGAGACTGCACAATTCAACAAATCCGTCTCGGAAATGGAAGTCAAGCTTCGCAACCTCAACACGACATTACGTGATATTATCGTCCGCTTTAACCCCGGTGTCAACAACGAATACGACGATCCCCCTCCCAAGGCACCCAACGCTAAGCCCGGCGAGATGCTCAAGGCCCAGGTTGATTACCTGGAGACCGGCTTGGTCGCCATTCAAGCTGAGCAAGAGTCATTCACTGGCGCTGTTGGCGCAACCCTCGGTGGTTCCGATACCACTATGAAGAGCCTCTGGAACGTTATTCGAACAGATTTGGAGAACACCAAGCAGCGCAAGGATGAACGCAAGAGGGCACGAACCGACAAGGGCTTGGGCGACGACGAGGATGCCTCTGAGGATGAGTTCGACACAACTGAAGATTACTCCAACGCTGGCTTCTCCGCCCGTGTACAGTGGCTATCGTCTCAAGCGGCTACACTGAAGGAGCAGCGTACAGTGCTCAAGAGACAGATTAAGCAGCAACGTGAGCTTAACAACAAATCCGATGCCGAAAAGGACGAGGAAATTGCTCGCAAGCACGAAGAGCTGGAGGAGAGCCGACGGCTTCATGCCCGAGCAGAGCATGAGAGCACGGAAACCCAGCGTATGCTTGCCGATGCCCTAGCTGAGCTCGATGAAGCCAAGGCAGCGGCCGCCGGTGGCCACAAGTCTGCTGCCGAGCTTCAAGATCGCGAGGAGACGATTGAGCTGCTAGAAAAGAAGATTAAGAAGATGTCAGACGAAACCGCTGGCGTATCGTCAGCCCATGTGGCCGCATTGGAAGCCGAGCTAGAGACACACCGCACCAAGGTCAAGGACACAGAGAAGAAGCTCGTCGAAAACGAGGACGAGATTGAGCAGCTGAACATGACACTGGCAGAACTCAAGACAGAAGTAACGATTGCGCGCGCCGAGCTGGACGGAGCCTATGGATCCCGAGCCGAGCGGGCGGCCGACGTTGCTGCTCTCAAGAACAATGCCGAGATTGTCAAACTGACGAACCAAATCACCAAGCTCAAGAAGGAGCTGGCTGGCACAGTTCAAGATTTGGAAAACGTAACCAAGGAGACGCTGGGCGCCGAGCGCGAAAAGGTCGAGCTGGAGGGCAAGCTAGACCACGCACAGCAGAGCCGCATCAGCCTGGAAGCAGAAGTCAAGAAGCTCCAGGAGCACATGGCCAAGCTGCAGGAGGAGCTGGATGGCGAGAAGCTCAAGGCTGGCGGCGCGGGCGGCACCAAGGGCGCAGTGATGCTCAGCGAGCAGTTCCGCACCACCATGCGAGAAGAGCGCAAGAAGTTCCAGGAAGACCTGCGCGAGGAGCGTGGCAAGTGTCGCAAGCTAGAAGAGGAGCTGTCACGCATAAAGCGAAGTCAAGGGCCTGGCAAATCACCACTAAGCCCGAGAACATGATGAGTTTTCTTCCTAGCTTGGCTATACACCATCTGTCTTGCATATCTTTGGCGTTTCTTCTTCTTTATACCTCGGCATTCCTCTCTTTTGACCAACTTTCATATGCGCGGCGTTTCGGCATAGGCTCATTCTTCTTGTTTTTCACATTAGACACGGTGGTCTAGATGTTTTGATTCATGGGAGGGCTACAACAACATAGATTTCTCTTTACATCTCTGGCGTCACTAGTTGGCGGCTACCAACTACATCTTGGCGTCTTTTTTTTTCTGTTTACTGCTTTTGGGATTTTTATATATAACCGCACCTTTATTCTTGGGATAGATAGACACGGTCCAACCATAAAAAAATAATCAAAAAATCATTTCTGTTTCACACCAAAAAAGATGATTCAAAGCATAAAGGCTCGCCTTAAACCGCTCGTCACACACACACCCCCCCTCCCGTCCTCCCTTGCAGAACACGTTGAAGGGAGGTAGAAGGAAAACGGAAGTGTTTCCCCCCCTTCCTTGTGGTTTCCCCGTGAAAACGGAAAAGGGAGCACCGTAATTAAACACGGTAGACGCCGCCAAAAGAAGTGTTGTTTTGTTTTATTGGTCGGCGAGATATTCAGATGCCGACAAAAGGGCCGATCTAAAGACCACTCTTCGTTTGGCGCCGCCACAAAGAAAAGTCTAGATTAAAACAACTAAAAATGCATGAATTTAATTAATTAAAAAAGAAAATGACAAAATAAAGATTGCAGTCAAACATGGATGCCCACATGCTCGGGTACTTACATACACACATGTATGCATGTTGCAAATGCAAATGGGAAATACAGTCTAACCAAGTTTACACCAGGGGAAGTAACAACAAAAAGGTAAACTAGCCTAGCCTAACGTGCCTACATACATGCATACGTACATCAATTTAAACGCAAGTGCCTTCATGCAGACTCAGATGCAGATGCACAGGAGTGGACCAAAACACAATCCTATTTAACGTTGGCTTTTGTTTTTTGATTACTTGTTGACTCGTCACTCGGAGGAACATGCTCATTTCGTTACTTTTGTCAAAAAAAGGTGTATTGACTCGTTTATACTAATCTTTCTTCCCCTTGGGCAACTGCCTCAAGCAGCGCCACTCAATCTTACACGCCGCACCAAAATATGCAGCTTGACAAACTATCCACCGCGCGGCGGCTTGTATCTAACAAAGAGACAACGATGCGTAGAAAAATGAGAAAGAAAAAAAATGAAATGGGTAAGTGTACTCCGGCCAAAAACGCCCCTGAACAACCTCGTGAAATGAGGCCCATAGCAAAAAAAAAACAATATAGAAAGGGAACTCTTGCGTTCACTCTTCATCGCCGCCCCCCCCCCCCCCTCAAAAAAAAAGAAAGCTGCCGGATTACAACAATGAGGTAGAATGACAAATGATGGCAGCTCTCACAGCAAAAATATCAAAATGCAATGGGAAAAGACAAAAGAGCAAAAGAAAAACGCCGGTTGGTATCTCCTCCGCGGTTGTGGTGTCACATGGAGATATTGCTTCTCTCTACCGCTGTAGGTTGTAGAATCGAATGATGAGAAAAAGGAAAAAGGAGGACGCCGAGTCTAATAAAGAGATTCGAGATGGAGGAAGCGGGAGGGTGGGATCCGCACATTAAGGAGCGCTGGTAGGAGTAGTAGATGATTAAAAGGGAGTTCGCTTATTGGCTAGGCTCGTCAATCGCCATGCTGTCGTCGTCTTCTTCGTCGTCGACATAGGCCAGCTGTGCCCAGACGCGCCAGTGAAGAATACCGACGTGAGCAAGTCGTGCTGCCATGTCCTCAATGACGCCCTCGTCGTTGGAGTCGCGGAGGGGCGACTCGAACTCGCGCTCGCGAATGGCAGTGCCAGCGACGCGGCTGCCTGTTGAGACTGAGAAGAGGGAAAGTCCAGAGAGCGAACGAAGCTCCTGGACGCGGCGGGCGAGGTCGCTCATAAGACGAGCATGGAAAGCCTGCTCAACCTCCTTGTAGAGATTGGAGTCCATGCGGCAGATGCTGCTGGTGAGCTTCTCCTCAAAGGTGGCGAGCAGCGACGTTGGGGCGTTGGTAAAGCGGAAGATCTGAAGAGCCATGGAGGGCGCAATGGACTCCCAGCGGTGAGACGCCTGCATAGTAGGCTGAGTCGACTGCAGCAACGAAATGAGCGAGCCATACACCTTGCGGGCCTTGCTCTTAGCATCGCTAGTTTCAGGGGCAACGTAGGCGGGCAGGCCGACCGACGAGCGAGGCGAGGAGTTGGCAGAGTCTGCCGAGGCGTTGCTGAAAGCGAGGCTGGAAGGGCGCGAGGTGTCAATTGGCGAGTTGAAGTTGAACTCGGATGCCTTGAGTGTCTCTTCGTCCAGGGCAGGGCCGTTGCCGAAAACACCAGAGTTGCTGAGGCGGCCAATGCGCTCCAAGTCTTCGTACATTCTCATGCAAATTTCCAGGTTGACAGCGTCAAGCATGTCGGAACGGAGCTTGAGGATACGCTCCTCATCAAAGAGGAAGTTGCTCGGCAGGCGGCTTTCAGGGGAAGAAGGCAGGATAAGACGGGAGAGGCCTTCAAAGAAAATACCAGAGTCGCCAAAGGCCTGGGTAGGGTGCGTGTCGTCCTTGCCGTAGCGAGCCTCGACACCCTTGTACCAGGCAGTAGCCGGGCGAATGTCAATCTTGCGGGCCTGGATCTTCTTGAAGAAGAACTTTTGCTCAAAATGGATGGTGTCCTCAATGAGCACAGGTCGGAGGCATCGAATCTGGTGGTTGGCAACATCGAGCTTCATGGCCTCGAGCACACTAAGCAGGCTGCGCATGCCGTTGACAAGTTCGTCGAGGTTCGACTCGCGGTTGCCCTTGCTCAGCTGGTTGTACATGGCATCAACCCAATCGTCCCTCATAGGGGCGCAGTGGGACTTGAGCACTTGTGAAAGCCAGAGAGCAAGCTTCTCGAGATCAGCAACACCCTTGTGGAACTGCTGCATAAGCAGCTCAACATTGAGGCCATCGTCGAGAAACTGGCGGTCGCGCTGAGGAACGAGGGTCTGGATGATATCCTTGACCGACTTGAGGAGAAGAGGCAGGGTCCAGTCATCTGTGTGGCCATGCTTCTCGTAAAAGGTAGGTCTATCGGTAATGAACTCGGTGAGCTCCTGCTTGAGAGCGGTCCAGAAGTGGTTGGCACGGTCTTGCTTCTTGCGGCCCTTTTCGCCATCGAGGTTCGGGCGAAAGTGCAGTTCGGGATCAAAGTTGATATCGTGTCTTAACTTGGGGTTGTGGATAATCTTGGTGACATCAAGTTCACTCAAGGTAGCTCTGGTGACAGGAGGCTCAATAGGCCAAGTAGTCGATGTAGGGGAGCGAGCCTCAGCCTGAGGTGTCGATGTTCTGGAGACGGTAGGGGTGTTGTGACGGAGAGAGGTGCCGGGCGAGGTGGCTCGGGGTGCGGATTCGCATCTCCTCGGCGATTCTTGCGAAGGCTGTGCAATAGTGGCTGTCTTCTGCTCGTCCTGGACGGGCTTTACGTGCTGGACATCGGTCTCTTGTCTAGGTTCGTTCTCGCCAGCGGCGGAAGTAGACATGGTTCTTCTCGAACGCTCAACCGGGAAGCCGGTGCCTTGCTCTGGAACCATCTTGTCTGATGTGATGTGTTATATAGTTGAGATTGGGGTTGATGGGTGGAAGTAGATTCCGAGTCGTCTGTTGCAAGGCTTTGCCAAGAAGCCCGACGACAACTGTAGTAGTTGAACCCTAAAAAACTAGGTGGCGGTGGTATATCGCCTCGTATAGTCTGCAATGTCAAAAAAAATGGTCAGTAAGTGAAAATGCGCAGTGCGTGGCGTCAAGCCGATGAGCGAGTCAGGGGAGTGGGCAGGATGAATGGGTGACTGTTGGTCACGCGGGAACGGCAAGGTGCAGCAGCGAGGCAAGCGACAGTTGCGTCCAAACCCAGCTGCCAATCCTCACAAATTTCTGCTGCCAAAAAAAATTGGCACAAGCGTTGATGTTGAGCAGAAAATGTTGCTAGGAAGGCGGCAGGTTGGTGCTGCAAGTCGAACCAACACCTAATGCAGATGCAGGAGGCAAAAGGCCCGCGTCGGAATAGCCGAAACGTGAGCCTGGTTGATGTACGTACGGTATGCGAGGAAGATAGGAAGTTGTTGGCACTGCTCTCTAGCTCAGAGATGCTGGTGATGGCTATTGAAGTTGTTGTCGAGGGATGACGGCTTAGGAATGTGTGCTTTGATGGCGTCTATAGCGACACACTGTGGGAGTCTGGCTGCGGATGTAGAACGAAGGAGACGTTGAACGAGTGTGCGTCGGGTTGAAAAAAAGAAGGTCCGGTGGTATTCCCTCTTTGCTATCTCGATTTGCTGTTATAATTTGCAACCGAAGAGAAAAAAAGTCGTCGTCGAAGGGCGGATGTTTCGGCACCGGCGATGTTGGCTGCTGCGAGTTGGGTCTGTAGTAGTAGTAGGGAGTGCGGCTAACGAGATGTTGGGCGGCGGTCGTAGGAAGGTATGTCGACGAGAGCGAGAGGTTGAAGGAAAGATGTGATGGAGAGGAGGAGAGAAGATCCGGGGAAGGGAATCTGAAAGCGAATGAAGGTGGGCAGGATGTGAAATAAAAAGGGACGGGAGGGAAGGGAAGGAAGGGAAAGGGAACAAGCACAATAAGAGTGTGAGAAGCGAGTGAGCCAGCGGTAGCGTAGCAAAAGGTGGCCCGGGACTAGGACGAGCGAAAAAGTACGGCTTCCGAGAGATTGGGTTCCTTGGGGGGTGTCGAAGGGGCAGAAGGGGAAGGGAAAAAAAAGAAAAGAAGGGGTGTGGGTGGAAGACCGCTAGTCTGAAAGGGGGAATAAAACCGGAAGGGGAAGTAAAAAGGAGCAAAGTCAAGGGCAGGCACGGCGGGCTGCTTTGCGCTGTGTGCTGGTGCTGTGTCGTGTCGTGCTGTGCGTGGGTGCGTGCGTGGGTTGGTGCTGTGTTGCAGCGCTGTGCTGTGTGTTTTAGCATGCTTGTTGCTTTTTGGGGGGAAGAAGGACGCGGCGGCGGCGGGGAGGGGGTGAGACTGGCAGCTGGCTTGCTGGGCTGGGCTCATAATTTTTTTTCAGCGCCTGTCTCTCTGCTCCCTAACCCGTTTACAGGGCGGGCCACTGCTGCAAAACAGAGTCAGTCGGGTGCAGCTGGGAGGGGGAGGCTTGCCGCAGTTGGTAGTTTTACAGCGCATCCACCGCCGGAGCGCAGAAACAGTGACCGATTTGCCCTTCCCAAAGGGGGGTGTGGACGGATGAAGCTGTCACCACAGCGTCGGTTTCGCACGCTGAGAATGGAGAAAATGGGCGAAGAATTAGGTGCCGGCCGAGAACCTCGAAGGGGAAAGGGGGCGTGGTCCCAGCAAAAAAGACGAATAAAAAAGAAAGAAATAAACGTAACCAGAAACCCCACGCCTTTCTCACCCACGCGGCGCAGAGCCCACTGCGATGGCAGCACAGCACACGCCAGTACCACCCAGGACAGCAGCGGGGGGCAGTTACAGTGGACGACGCTACAGCGCCGACGAACAGGCCATACGTACGCCAGGGCATTGGCCAGCAGCGCGCCGGCGCCCCCAAGTGGACGACGACGACTCCCTGGCTGTATAGTGTAGCATGCCCATCATCCATCACCACCACGGCACGGTTGGCTGGACGTGGGCATCAAGTGATTTGCTCACAGGCGTAGAACGGGCCGCAAGAAGAGAAGAAGAACAAAAAACGTTACGCTACGCTGCGACAGTCGCGTCTTCTTTCGCTTAATGCGTCTTTTTTTTCTCTTCCTATTGCCCCGTCTCTGTGTGTCTTCTGTGCCCTATCTGTTTGCTCTCCATTTGGTGACGCCTTTTTTTTTTCTCCCGTGTACTTTATCCAAAGGGTAGCAGCAGTAACAGCAACACCACAACACCACAACCACAACCACCAAAAAGCAAGCGGGAAGCAAGCCGTCTGTGCGTACTAACGTTACTTGTGTGCTGCTAACACCCGCTGAAAGACCAGTGTAAAGCGAGCAACTTGCAGGCGGCTGCGGCGGCGGCGCTCAGCAAGCAAGCAACAAACACCACTCATATGTAAGTACAGTACCTTGATCCCAAGCCCTGTGGCGTGTAGCATTATGGGCTTGGCCCTTTTGTTCGCGCGCTGATTGCTTTCCCTTGTCTCTACATTATCGTCGCACAATGCCCGTATAATGTGATTTCTCTGCATTTGTGTGATCGCAGATAGATTCGCATGTCAGCTCACCTCCCAATTGTGCTGGGACTGTTTTATGCCTAGCTACCCTGTGTCAAGTCCAAAACACAGTATACGGCGTTTGGACGTCATCTAAAAACGGCAACGGGGCAAAGGGCGAGAAGGGGAATGTCCCGAATAGGCAGTTTTGGCAGCTACAGCGCCCGGACTGAGCGACAGGCGGTGCTGCAGAGCCCAGCTGGAAAGAGGAGCCCCCCAGGCTGCGGTGGGTGGTGGTGCGCTACGGTGGGAAAGAAAAAAAAGAAAAAAGAAAAAAAAAGAAAAAGATGGGGCCAAGCCCGCTGTAGTAGCCACTGTAGCATGTGCTGTTGAGACGCTGGAGAGGAGAAAGAAAATTCTAGGTTTTAGCCGCCGCGGAAGTTTGCGTGCTTCTGTGGTGCTGTGCCCCGTCTGCCGGAGCGCCCGTCTTGGGCACAGCGTGGTGCGCTCTCCACCCAACTGCTACCACGGGCCTCGGCGGCGTCGCATTGTCTACCGCTGAGAAACTGGTGCTTCTCCTGTCAAAAGAATTGCTCCCACCCACTTGCCGGCGGTGCAGCTAGGACCGAGACCTAGATGTCCCAGAAGCCAAGCAACAAGAGGAAGAATTAGTGTTATATCCGTGAAATTTACCGACGTAGCAACCCAACTCGCCCCCCGCGGAGAGACAAGACATGGAACAGATGGGAAGCCCGGCCACGAGTCTTGGGTCTCACTGGCGTGTTAAAAAAGACGGTACGAGCATGGCTGTGATGTATGCAGGTAGATGAGTAGCGCTCTGCGACAGGTACTCTACTGTACACACTGCTTGCTGCACCAGCACCACCACCACCACCACCCGGTGCTGGGACTAACACGGAGTTTGTCAATGACATCTTTGATGACAGCCAGTTTCGTCAATGCCTCGTATAAAATTCAAACGCGGTCTCAAAAATAAAAAAACTAAAACGCCTCCCCTTCTACTGCATTTCAATTAAAAAAGAAAAGAGGAAAAAAAACCCTTTGGTACAGACAAGACACGGCGCGGGACAAAATGCAACCTGACGGCTTGTTCCTTTAGCTTTTGCCCTTGAACTCGACTCATTCACGCGACACACCTACTGGGGCAGGCTGGCACTATAGGCTCTCGCCATGTCTTGTGTGGCGCCAATCCTTTTTTCCCCATCGTAGGCTGTTTTTCCAGGTACCAAAGTCACCAACTGTGCAGTATTACATACCTACAGTGGAGGGAGGGGGGAGGGGGGAGGGGCGCGGCGCACCACCACCCCCAGCGACTGACGCACGACACGAGTCGTCCACTGTCACTGACACACACAGTAGTCACGACGAAAGCGGCTAAACTGGGCGCATGGCATGACCTTTTACTCTGGGGCGGACCTGACTACAGGGCCAAGCCAACCACCCAGACCAGGCTGTCAGACTCGGCTCGCCGGGTGCTTGCTTTCTGTCGCTCCAAAGCGTCGCATCGTCGTCGTTTGTCGGATACTTCTGATTCAAGGCGGCAAGCTTGGCCATATGCTGACACTTACTTTGAAGGGGCTCCTGCTGCTTGAATGCTTGCTGGCTACAGCCGAAGCTGGCTGTGTAAGTACGACGTAGCTAACCTCGCTCTGTTATTCTCCGGGCGACAGCTAAGCAGCTAAGGTAAGTATCTCTCCATCTGTCACTTTTCTTGCCCCTGCCCGAATTTGCCATGACCTGAATCGCGGGGAGGCGTTGGCCAACGTGGACATGCTTCCTTTTGGGCTATGCTTCGTCTAGCACACAGTGGCCGGAGTAAAGCCCGAAATCGCATCTGACGAACCAATCTCACGCCATCGCGATACACCACACCGTCGGGACAACACCGGCCGTGGGGGAGACAAGAAGACCATTTGGGAATTTGCTGTACCTTTTTGGGGGCCGCCTATTCGCCTTTTTGAGAATGGCTGTGCACTTGTTGGGTTCTTTTGCTCAGCTCGTCTTGCCCGTCACCAGGTGAGCGCGGAGAAAGCCTTTTTCTTCCCAATTAGGAAGTGCTCCTCTGTATAGGTACAGTACCTGGCGCAAGTACAGGTTTTAAGCCTCAATCGCTAGACGTCAGAACTAGTGGCAGACGAAGGAATCAGCAACACAGTAAAAATAAATAAATATAATACGTCATGGTATCATATCCATCATTCTAAACAATAACAAATATCCACAGCTTCCTCAGAGCCGTTTGTAGTTCGCTCTCCGCGGTTACGCATGAAACAAGTCCCCAAACCGTAGCCGCTACAGCGCCATGGCCGCCGAATCATAGGCGTCGGGGGAAAACGGTCTGTGCGACGGCGGCAAAAAAACAAAATATTACCAGTAAAAAAAAATAGAGGGCCAGATCGGCCAGAAGAGGTCCTCACGATCTAGGCCAGCCAATGACGAAACAGCCAGGGGTGTGTGGTCCGTCGTTTTGGCTCTCATGCTTTGTTTTTTTCAGCTGTGGCTCTCTCCTCAGAGGCCTGTCTACTAAGAAACGCCTCAGTAGCCAGGCAAAAGGGACGACGCCCCCCTGACAGGCTGGACCGCCGTGTCGGGCAGTTACTTAGTATTACGGGCTTATTCGGTGGGCTTGGGTGCCGAGTCGTAGTGTGCAGCGAGGCGCCTGCGTGATGATGATGAAGCATGATGACGGGCGCATACGCCGCACACGGAGGGCATGACACGACATGACATTGAGTCACTTTTTTTTTGTTGCCTCTGCCTCCTGGTTTGCCTCACTGCTGCTGCAGCATTCTTACGCATGCCTTCGTTTGTCCCTGGCTGTATGTAGCCTGGCTGCAAACTGCACAGCAAGGGCCTGCGTCCGGCGCTGCAGAGTGGTTGTGTACCCGAGCCTCCTGTTGGCCAGCGCTGGTTGTTGTTGTTGCAGGCACCTGCTGCAGGCTCTAGTAGAGGCACAGGGTACGTACAGGCGGGATAGTGGGCGGACGACACGGCCGGGCACGATAGGCTGGACCAGTCGGATCGAGACAAGGCCCAGATGGTAAGCTGCAAGGTGCAGCACTGCCAAAAAGCCGCAGCGAATAGGATGTGGGAAATTGCCCTCGGCGCCGTCTTGTGCGCACGCTACTGCAAGCTCTTTGGTGTGGTGGTGGAGGCATTACCAGTAGAAGGGGGAGGGGGGCCCTGGCGGCGGCGTCAAGCATGCAGTCATAGAGAAGCCTGGGTTTTCACAGTCTGGTCTAGTCGGGTCTAGCGTACCGTTGGCTGGATGCGAAGAACGAGGGCGTTTGATGACCTGAAAAAAAAAATCAAGAAAGCATGCCATGCAGGAGGAGTACTAGCACAAGACCCAGGATTGCCCGTTGGATCCGATTGGTAGCGGCAGGGCTTTTTCTCTGCCTGGAACTACAAGGAAGATAGACGCACACACACGAATCACGACGGGCAACTATTACCACTTGCTTGCTTCTAGTGCTCTCGCGATGCAACGGTGCTTGGGTGCAATATTGCAACGCAGGACGGGCGGGCGGCCTCAGTTGGATCGTGTCAGTACAAAGCAAGACGACGACGACGCCATGCTTAC